GCGGGCCTCATGCGGCCCGCCGTGGGCCTCGGTGACCTTCCATGTGCAGTGCCTGCCCCAAAATGCCCTCGGCTGTCCTTATCCGCGAGCCCCTGGCCCTTACCTCCAATGCCTTCACTCCAGGCAGGGCGTGGCCGCTGGTCGCATGGCCGAGTGTACCTGAGTAGGGCGGGGTTTTATGCGCGCACGCATTGGTGTCGGTACTCGGGCAGGGCAGGGATGCATGCGTACATCACCGCGGTAAACGGGCACAATGGGTGTGCGTACCCGCATGGCAGCCGGTAGTCGGGCATGGGGAGTATGCATACATGTATCGGTGCCAGTTTATGGGGCGGGTGGTTATGGATTCAGAATCGGCGCTGATGTGCGGATGGGTGCGATGGAGATGGATGGGAGAAGGGTGATCTTGCACGCACAGGGGCCTGTTCCTGGCAGAACGACTGGATGTCTATCTGCATGCATGAGCGCATGAGGCGGGGATGCATGTGCATGTGGGTGCCAGTAACTAGCAGGGCAGGGATGCCTGTATGCATGGGCGGCATTCGTTGAGCAAGGTGATGGCTGCACGCGCGGGGAGCCATTACTTAGGTATTGCGGCGGTGCATGCCCCAGCGTATGAGCGTGCACACTGTTGGTGATCCAAGGAGGGAACTAGGTGAAAAGGCAGCTACATGATGGGGAGCGTTGACATCGGGGTTGGGGCTGGGAGCAGGGAAGGTAAAAGCGGGCCTTGGAGACTGCAGTGGAGGACACAGACAGATACGCAGGGGGATTTGTCCTGTGCTCCTGTGGCCTGCTGTGTCGCTAGGCTTCGCACATCCGGGCTTTCAGGACGGGGTGTTGGCCTGTGCAGTAGCGGTGGCAATAGCTCTATCTAGCGCTAGCGGCGGGCGAATGGGGCCTCGGGTATTCGCCGCTCATCCGGAGGTCATGCCTTCTCGCATGCACGCTTGTTGTTGGCCAGTGCGGGGACTGCATGGGCGCGCCGGGCTTTGGTCGGGGCTTGTGGGCGCCGGTGTTCAGCAGCGCGAGTATGCCTGCACATGCAGGCGCCGGTAGTTGGACGGTCCGTGGACGGATGCCTCCCTCTGCTATAACCCGTGCGGCGCCCCTGCAGCTCACCTGCGTCGCCCCGTGCTTCGCTTGGCTTCCAATGCCCTTCCCCCTGCGTCTGCCCTTCCTCGTGCGGCCCTGCCTTTCCCCGTCATTGCCTGAACGGATGAGCGGCCGCTACATTGGTGTTTTTTTTGCGTCTGCCTACCCCTGTCCTTCCATGTCAGGCGTCTGCCTGCCCTTGCCCTTCCCCTTGCATTGCCTGCCCCTCTTTGCCATCTTCTCTGTGCGGCCGCCCTTCCCCCCGCAGCACTTGCCTCCCACTGCCCTTCCCCGTGTGGCGCCGCGAGTGCGGCCTCCCTAGCCCCTTCACCCCCGTTCGGGGACGGGGTCATTCGCGAGGGGCGGAGAAGGAGGGGGCATGCATTCACGCGTCGGCGTTCATGCATGGTTGGGCGCAGGTGGTTGGGAAGGGCAGTTATGGGAGCTGTCATGGCAGGATGAGAAAATGTCTGCGCGCTTGAGCACAGACAGCTCGAAAGGTAAGCATGCGCATGTGGGTGCCGGTAACTGGCACGGCATGTACGGCCATCACTCGGCTTTGCAGCATATATAGATGTTTACCGCAGGGTTTGTTGCCAACTAAGATGCTGTCACAGTTGCTTTACCTGTTTGGGCTTCAGGAGTAGCGGAGCCCGAGCGTGTTGCGTACGTGTACGCCGCATTCCATCGTTACGTATTGGACAGGCCTTCACCTTTTAGTGTGCACGTAGATCCGTTGCTTTCAAGAGGACAAGTATTCCTCCAAGCCCTTCCCTGTGCGTCGCCCGTTTTGCACTCCACTACCTACCGGTATATGCCTGTGTTCTTCTTTGGCTTCCACAAGCCGTTTGTGCTTCCTACCCGTCTAGCAGCCCTGGCGACAATCGCTGCCATTCCTTTTGTGCTTCTGCCAGCATCCTTCTGCATCCTCGCGCCCTACATGCATGCGTGCAACCGCACCTCCTCGACATCACCTCCCTCCCGCGAGCTACGGGCAGCTCCCGCCGAAGGCGGGCCTTACTAGTGCGACTTCAAGGAGAGGCGCCCAGGGAGCCAGCAGGTTGTTAACGACCCATGGGTCGGCACCAGGGTTCGCAGCAAACCGCGACCCGGCATTCTTGAGCAACGGCTTGCATAGAAGCCTGCACCTCACGCATCGCAAGACGGGATGAGCCTTCTGCCATTGCACTCTCAGAAGTAGTTGTAGGCCTCCGATTGACGGTTTCCAACGGTTACCTTGGACGCATACGGCTTACACACGTCGTAGGGTCACGTGGTTGCGGTGTTGGCAACTACCGCTGGCAGTAGCCGCACCTTCATTTGCTTTTTTTAGTTAAACCTGAATTATTAAGCTCTTGTGGTGGGTAGGGAAAGAGTGGTTCCTAAGGAGAACGAGGATGTCCGTTGGCCAACCTTGTTTAGGAAGCGCGAGCTCGAATTCAATGTTACTCATCTAAGATGGTGTACGTTTACAAGACAGATGTAGCGCTAGCAAAAAGGCCGAAGTGAACCTCTTCTCGCTAGCAGTGTTTCACCAAGTGCAAACTGCTATGGCTCTCGCGTACTTAGCACCACCCACCGCACCAGAACCATCAGCAGCAAGCTTTACGTCTTCTATAATGAGCAGCCGGCGACCGATTCCCTTGTGTGGCCCGGCGCTCATCTTCGTTGGCGGAACAAGTGCGCTAATCGTGGGCTTCTTTGAACGCAAGCCCGCAATCTTCTGGCCCGTTGCCACCTTGGTGCGTATATGCTCGCATCCGTATGCTGCGTTTGATGCGACCTTCACGGTGTGGTAGGGCGGAGCTACAAGGGTTGCTACGAGATATGTGGTGACCTGCTGGGGATGTCCGTGTGAGCGGAGAGCGATGCATGTCACATGAAACAAGCCGAGGGCAGTAGCGATTGCAATGCCATGCAGGGTGTGACATTGTGCGTGGTGGGAGTAATGGTGGCCCAACGCCGCGTTCAGGTGGGAGCAACCTAGGCCTGATACAAGCTCTAGTAATAACCTGCCGATTGGGATTCCTCGGCTCATCAGAAGGTCTCCTCGATGGCTCCTCGACTCAACATTTACTCTTCCCGTGACCTTGCTTTGCCCTGGCGGCAGTTAATCCGGGAAATGGAACGGGAGCGACTGGGCTCCTTCTGGCGCTCTGTGTCCCAGCAGGTGAGGAGATGTCGAGCAGCAGATTGCTTGTTGAGTTGTGGGACAGACTGCATGTTGTTGCCATGTCATCAACTCGTCATGTAGGATAGGCTGCAGGAGAAGGCCTCCAATGCCTACCTGGTATGCTTGCCGGTGTAATGCACAGAAACATCGGCAACAACTCGTAGGCTGGCCGCCCTGCCGCCTGCCATGAGACCGTTGCGTCACATACCCGGCAATCCTGGCAAGGGGCGTAAGGATTCTGCTGGCATGAGGCGCCTTAGGGGTTGCTGTCCTTACGTCTTGTCGTTCTTTGCAACCGCTACGCCCGCAGTCGGACCTCAGGATCGAGCAGGCCGCCGGTCAGCCTCATACCGAGTTCAATGTCCCAATGTATTGCCTGGAGGCGCCCTCTCGCCTGTTAACCCGCGGCAACATCAGCAGCAGCATCAACAACGCGGGTCCAGAGCGGTCGTCCGTAAACGGCAACAGCAACAGCAGCGGACGCTACTGGTGCGCCCTGGGCGTGCCGTTGCACCCCGATGACGTAAGCGGCGGGCAGCACGAATACGAGGACCGTACGGCAATGGCGCTTGTCGTACAGCCGCATGTGTTGTACAGGAGGACACGCACGCCCGTACCTGGCAGCAGCGGTGGCAGCCTCGCAGCTGCACACATCAATGGAGGTCTGAGCCTTGAAATCGGCGGAGAGAATGGCGAGCGGAGGAACGCAGGGGCCAGCGGAAGTGGTGGCGATAATACCTGCGGCTTGGAGCCGCAGCTGTCGCTGGATTCAGTGACACTACGTCGAGCGGCGTCGTCAGGATTGCAGCAGGCGGCTGCAAGGGCAGTGCGACAAAGCCAAAGCTTCAGTGCTGTCGGGGGCGAGGTGCCGGTAGAATGGCGAGGTAGCCGGGTGTTCGATCGCATCAAATCGATGTTTGCGGGGGTGGTTGCAAGACGTGGTGGCAGCAGCAGCGGCGGCGGCGTCGGCGTCGTCGGCGGCAGAGACGAAAGCGCATCTGAGGAGCGCCGGGATATTGAAAGCGGCGCTGCCATCGCCCTCACGCAACACCGCAGCTTGGCGCCAGCGGACACGGCGGCGGCGGTGGCGGTAGTGGCACCACACCAAGCGGAAGTCGGCCCGGCAGCGTTGACGACCACCAACAGCACCGCCACCACCGCCGCCGCGATGACGACAGCTTCGCGAGCTCCAGCCGCCGCTGCCCCTGCTGACGCCTGCGCCGCTAGCTTGCCACTCACGCAGGAGGAAGGCGTCAGTGGCGGAGCAAATGTCGGAGCGGAGGGATTGCAGATGGGGAAGAGGCAGGGGCCGGCGACGGAAGCACAAGGGCTGTGCGGGACCAAATCAGTTGGCCAAGGTGATGCCTGAGGAGCTGGGTTGGCGGAGAACTGTTTGATACCATCATGGCGACTTGATGTTAACCGTTGGCCGAGACCAGCAATATAACCGTAAATGTAGTGTACCGGCATGCGATTGAGCCCATTTGATCTATGCCCATATTAGTTCTGGTACGTTTAACTAACTTGTACGTCGCTATAACGGCTGTATCATGCCCGGAATGTAGTATGCTGTTTGTGGCGCTTTCAGTCGTAACCGCCGCAACTGAAGGCTATAGTCACATTGCCAAAGGACTTTGTCCAAGGATCACCAGTCTATCACCGTGGTACGTAATCCCTTGCAACACCGTTCCAAAGCAAGCGGTGTCCAATCGTCCATAGTCTACAGAGAGCCATGGTACCTGTTCATGCCGCCAACCATTCAGTTACAGTCCTGTGCCAGACGTACTTGTCATTGCATCACAATAACGGCTGGTTCGTCAGCCCCAACCGACCACCATTCTTGCCAGGACTGCCCATTACCGTATCATAATACCTACGACGCTAACATACCCGCGTCTTTACGACCACCGCCGGGAGCGTACCGTTCAGCGGGACGGGTACACCGAAAGGCTGCGCGCAACAAACGCTAGTGTACCCGAACATGCCGTACGGTTCCTCTCGCAACCCGTTCCGCCGGATCCCAAGCAGAGCATGAACTCCGCCGTATCACCACACCTTCTGTCATGGAGCCAAAGCACGGGGTTAAGGATTTCACCCACGTCGATATCAACGAAGAGGGATAAGCCACCAAGTTATCTTCCCAAGTTCACACCACACGTCAAGACATCGGCACAAGCCAGCAGTGATAGCAAAGAATAACTATTGAAGCAGCAGCATAAGCAGCAGCAGTAAATATGTGGTAAAAAAGGAAAGCGGAACCCCGCTCTTCATGTCTACATGCGTCTGCACACTCAACACACGCACCACCAAGAAACTGTAGAGATTGAGTGCACACACTTTCGTTTCTGCTCAGCCAGCTTTCCCAGGGACCATACGCGAACGGTCAGGTCCCACACAAATGTGAGACAGACCCATCCACCCTTTACCCAGTGGTCACCGTATCTCGGTATCTCGTCCACGTAGACGGGAAACCATTACGGGAAAACAAGAGCCTACCGCTACGCACCTACTTCAGAGGACCTGCCGTCCCACGCGCACAGAATACCTGTAGGCGTTGGGCCCGGGGTAGCGCCATCTCTTTATCGCAGCACCAACCCAAAATCAGATCATGTATAACCCGGGTGTACCAAACAAGCCCCAAGTGTAAGGCTCCCATTCCCCAAACTCATGCTCCCCTTGCATTCATAAACGTGTACGTATCTTTTCTTCTCCAGCCGTCATCATCCCTCTCACAGACTCACAATACTCAGTCGTCCACTCTGTTCTCGACCCCTACACCTAAGAAACCTCCACACTCCTCACCAAACAAAGCCCTCTTGCCATGCAAACAGTCGCGCCAGGCCACCCCACCGCGGCAACTAGCACCACCCCCGGGACTACACAGAACACGACGAAGAGGATGAACAGGGCGCAATCAAGCGCCCTCGGGCAAGCACTTCATGACCCCCGTAACGCGCCAGGGAGGGCAGACGCTACGAGTCGGCAGCAGCACGCTTACGCCGTCCCGTTATCCTCCGCACCGGCCGACTTGGCATGGCACGTGAGCTTGCCGTCCTGCAGCTGCCAAACCTCATTCGACAGCGCACCCACAAACTCGTTGTGGTGGCTAATCATCACCACACCGCCGCCAAACTCCCGAATCGCCTGCGCCAGCGCTCCCAGCGAGTCCCGGTCCAGGTAGTTGGTGGGCTCGTCCAGCACCAACAGGTGCGGGCAGTGCCACAGCGCCGCAGCCAGCACCAGCTTCACCTTCTGCCCGCCCGACAGGCCGCGGATGGCGCTGTGCGTGCCGAACTCCGGCTCCAGGCCAAAGTCCTGCAGGTACTGCTCGATGCTGGCAAGTGTGAGTGGCCGCGCCGCCGACTCGCCCTTCTCCGCGTTGATCTTGTCGTCCATCTCGCGACAGAGCTTCTCAAAGCCGCGCTCCACCAGCACCTCCCGCATGGTCCAGCGGTTGAACTCGATGGAGCTCAGACCCACCCACCTGGGGGGGCGGAGCAGCAGCAGCAGCAGCGGGCGGAGGAGGGTTGGTGAACAGGTAGCGAGCTAGCAGAGCAGTACGCAGGTAGACAGCGTGTTTCACACACAAGCAAGGAGGAGGACAGACATGTGCCTGGCAATCCCCCCAGGCGCCCTAGCAACTCATGTCTGTGGCCGCAAAGACAACAACTTACTTGATTTCATACTCGAAGCTCTTCTTCTTCTTGCGGCGGCCCAGCAGCTTCTCCAGCACGCGGTTCTGGCCGTCAATGACCCAGATCTGCTTCTTGATGGCCTCCTCCTCCTCAGGGGTCAGCACGCGGGTCACCTACGCAGGTGTGGTATAAAGATGGAGTTACGCAGGAGTTACACGGCAGAACGAATGATTATGACACCGCAATGGCAACAGAGCAGCATGTTGATGGCAACCGTAATACATGACACAAGACAGGCCCGTGGTAAGGTCGTTCCGAAACCCGCCATGACCACCAGAGCTAGCAACCTTGCACCGGCCCCACCCACGCACCTTGTGCTCCTCCTCCCTGTCCTCTCCCTTGAGGTAGCGCTTGCGAATGTACTGGTTGGGCGTGAGGTCCAGGTGGTCCTCCAAGTGGTGCAGCGCGTGCTGGCTCACGTAGGCCACACGCACGTTGACGTGCTTGGAAACAGTGCCGACCTGCGCGGTAGGACAAGGGTATAAGAAAGGAGGCAGGACGGTTAGTCTTGCATGCGCATGCGCAAATGGAAGAGCGGGCGCTTCTGAGGCGGTACGCACGGGTAGGAGCAAGGGCTGCGACCAGAGGCACGATGGTGCACGCCACAGCTTGAGGAGGGCGAAGACAACGACAACAGCAACAACAACATCCGGAAACAGCCAGGCCGTGACACTTACGTCGGGCTTGAGCTCTCCCGTCATGAGCTTGATGAGGGTTGACTTGCCGGCACCGTTGGGGCCTGCGAGGGTGGCCAAGTGGGGTAGGGCTTCAGCACTGCGCACATGAATCGATAATCAACGCGACTATGGGCATCACGCCCTTCATCACTCCTTCAAACGGCCAAAACACCACAACTGCTCGCCCTCTCCCCTCCCCTGCTCACCCAGGATGGCCACGCGGGAGGACATGCGGCAAGCGCACGTGACCTGCACCAGCTGAGGCTTGGGGCAGCCGGGGTACGTGAACGTCACCTGGTGGGGGCAACAACGGGGGCAGCTTAGTACCTTGGCGCCGACAGGAGTGTTCCGGGTTTAGCAACACACCATGAGGGCAGCATCCTTGTACCCCAACCTCTTTGTGCCCAATGCCCCTGCGCACGTGCTGTCATCAAGCACCCCGCCTCCTAGCGCTTCCATTCCTGCCCCTCCCGACTTCACGACTCCACTTCCAGGGTAATATCCTTCATCTCCCACCCACCTTCTTCATCGACAGGATGGGCTTCTCGCCGCTGGTGACTCCATCCAGGAAGGAGGGCTTGGGGAAGTTGAAGCGCAGCGTGGCAGCAGCCAGCGTGTAGTACGACTTGGCCTCGGGCTTGACCTTGACAAACTCCGACAGGTTGCCGTGGTAGTACTTGAGCTTGCGGGTCTCGTAGTGGATGATGTCGGTGCAGACGGTGTCCAGGAAGGAGGAGTCGTGCGACACGATGAGGCAGGTCACGTGCGGGATGACCTGGGCGGGCGTAGGAAAGGGCAGGGGAGACGGGTTGGTGGTCGGATGGCCGTACTGCGTGTCATGCCGTGCGAGGCGGGACATCTACGTGTGGCATTATTACTGGCTTCAAACTTGGTGGTAATGTATCCGCAGGGCTACGCACGAAACGTGCGGCCTTGTAGGATTGTTGCAGTTAATGGTTTGCATCATCAGCCAGCGCCCACGTAACGCTACGATACGTCGTTAACTACCGAACTCTCAACAACCCACAAGAAACCCACAACAACCCACAGTAGCTTCAACCCCTAACACACACCTTTGTCAGGTAGTCCTCCAGCCAGGCCACGTTGACCACGTCAAGGTGGTTGGTGGGCTCATCCAGCAGCAGGATATCGGGCTTCATGAGCATGGCGCGAGCTGGGGCGGGTGGATGGATGGGAGGATTAGAAATATTGGTGGATTGAAGGGCGGGATTGCAGGCCAGGGCGCCAAGGAGTGCACGTGCATGCGGGTGCTGCCAGCTTGCAACGGAGCTGGTGGGAGGATCCTCCTGGGATGTCGCATTGCTGGGGAAATGGCTTCAAACTTGGTGGTAATGTATCCGCAGGGCTGCGCACGCAAGGTGCGGCCTTTTAGGATTGTTGCAGTTAATGGTTTGCATCATCAGCCAATGCCCATTTAACGCTATGATGGAGAGGGTTATAGACTACAATGCACCCGCAATGCACCGCCTGGCATAGGCACCAACAGCAACGGCAGCGCGGCATATCAAGGAACGACAAAGCGGCAGCTTCAAACTTGGTGGTAAGTGTTTCCTCAAGGCCACTTGCGTGGCTTTAGGATTGTTGCAGTTATAAGTTTGCATCACCAGCTACGGCCTGCACAACACTACATATCAAGGAACGACAAAGCGGCAGCTTCAAACTTGGTGGTAAGTGTTTCCTCAAGGCCACTTGCGTGGCTTTAGGATTGTTGCAGTTATAAGTTTGCATCACCAGCTGCTGCCCAAGTAATGCACATGCACCCCTCTGTCTGTTAAACCTTCTGTGAAAGTCTTCAATGTGAAAGCAAGGCAAGACAGCAGCTTCAAACTTGGTGGTAAGTGTTTCCTCAAGGCCACTTGCGTGGCTTTAGGATTGTTGCAGTTATAAGTTGCATCACCAGCTGCCGCCCAAGTAATGCACATGCACCCCACAGTCTGTCACGAATACCCACAGTCTGTCTCGTCTAACGGGAGCAACGTCTTCAATGTGAAAGCAAGGCAAGACAGTAGCTTCAAACTTGGTGGTAAGTGTTTCCTCAAGGCCACTTATGTGACCATAGGATTGTTGCAGTTATAAGTTTGCATCACCAGCTACTGCCTGTAGGACACTACATGCGCCAAGTGTATGTAATACAGCCCAATGTGTTTCCCTAGCCATGCCCGGCAGCCCCGATGGTTCTTATAAAAAATGGCCTCAAGAAAGTTGATTTACGTTCCTCATGACTATGCACATGTGGCGCATAACCATATCGGATTGTTGCAGTTTTTGTTCATCATCAGCCAAGCAAGTCCTTTGCTGTAAGGCATGCCATGACCACATTTTCGGTCCAACGCCGTTGCTGCCGAGATCCCCTTCACTGTTGGACCCAAGCAACGGTACATGTTACCATCCTTCACCATGGCCTTCGTTTTCCTCCCAGCCCCAACCCCAGCCCGCCGCTTACCTAGCGCCAGCTTCATCTTCCAGCCGCCCGACAGCGAGCCCACTTGGTTCTTCTGCTTCGCCTCGTCAAAGCCCACGTTGGTGAGCATGGCTACCACCTCCTCCATGCTCGGGGGCTGGGCCTTGACTGCAACAGCATGGGCACCGCAGGACAACAGGTTAGACGGTCGTTGGGGATCCAGCAATCCGGCGGACGCAGAACCCCCGGCGGCTGCAAGTGATCCAAACACTGCTGTCGAGGCGACGAAAGGCACTCCCCAACATCCAAGATCTAACTTGGGCCGTCCCCAACTCAACCCCTCGCGTCCCCGGCTCCGGCTGCCCTCACCTCGCAGCGTGGGGTCGTTGAACACAAAGTCCACGATGGACAGCTCGACCAGGGCGGGGTCGATGTCGGACTCCAGGTACACCGAGCACACCTGGGGAGCGGCCGGGGGGGAGGAGGCAGCGATGAGGATGGGCGTAGGCAGGTGCGGAATGGCAAGGCGCAAGGATGAGCACAGTGCAAACATACGTTAATAAGCAGGGCGTTGCTCGCTGCTCTAGGCATCCAAACGCAACCATGTGGGCGTGCAGGCCCGTGCAGACGGACCCATGGGTCCTTCAGCTTAGAGCTTACCTCCTCCTTGGGCGGGAAGCCCTCCACCTTCTCGTTGTTAATCGCGCGCATGAGGGTGGTCTTGCCCACACCGTTGTGGCCGCACAGACCGTACCGCCGCCCGCGCTTCAGCCGCAGCCGCGCGTTGTTCAGCAGGATCTTACCACCTGCGCACCGGGATCCGGTTAACGGAAGTTAAAACCACGAGACACCATGAGGGTATGTATGCAGCATGTCATTCAAGACAAGAGGACATGGACTGGGAACCATCCAAAGGGTCAGTTATTCTGGCTTGACGGACCCGAAGGCCCTACGTATAGATCTGTTAGTGCTTCAGCGTCGATCAGTCGGGGAAAGTGTCCTCCTTCCCAAGGATAGTCCCAGAGCGTGAATGCATGCGACAGGAACGGGCAAGCGAAGGTATGCCAGGCAGGATGGCATGTGCCCAGAAAGAGGGCGGCGGCGGCCAAACCATAAGGCGGCGCATGTCCATTCAGTAAATGGTTGGAACAAGTGATATCGTCATTAGGCTCCGAGTGAGCTGAGTGAATGGTGTCATCACCATGCACACCGCTAGCCTGATGCGCCGCCACATGCGATATGAATGCCGCGTGAGCGAGAGTCAAGAGACGCATTGCGTCGGTCAATAACGGGATAACGGTATTGTGTTGAATTTCCATGGCAACTTCCCGAGTGCAAAACAGTTCCAAAACTGGCACATGGCAAAATACAAGCACGCTCAAGCATGCCATTCTGAACCGGCCCCAATTGCCCCTTCGTTTCTCCGTACACCCCTACAAGCCGCACAACACCGTACATCCGCAGTCCAACTGACGCGCGCCCAGCGTCCCCCTCCCACCCCTTCCCCTCCCGCCCGTCCCCCTCACCCCCACCATAGGCCAGCGAGAACTCGCAGTTGCACAGCACCATGCCGTCCTCGTCGTCCGACAGCCCCAGGTCCACCACCACGTGGCTGGCGGCCTCGCAGCGGGAGGACCAGGCGGTGGCGACGGAGGCGGCGGTGGCCTCGCCACCCGGCAGGAAGGTGAGCAGGTAGGGCTCCACGATCTGAGGAGGAGGGTTGGAAAGGGTTCAGGGCGAAGTTGAGAAGCAGGATCAGGAATGTCGAGTACGGCAAAGCATGAGGTAATTGGGAGGTGAGACAAAAGATAAGAAAGGGAAGTGTGAATGGCAGCAGCTGACGCAGAAGCCCCAGGCTGTGCCCAGCTTACCTTGTCCTGCCACATGATGGCGTCCGTTGACCGCTTGTTGACCAGGTTGGTGGCAATGGAGGCGCAGTAGGCCACCGCGGTGGCCAGCAGGTCGTCCTCGGCTGGGTCAGCGCCGTTAGCCTGCAGGCGTTGGGGGATGAGGACGTTACAACATCGTGAGCTGATTCTGCGCAAGAGCTACGCTGGTAAAACCTTGGCCACCGGAGACACGTCCTCACACCTTCACCCCCTTGAATACCGCCCCAAGTTGCGGCACACACGGTGTGCAGGTCCATCCTGCCTTGCAGTACATAGTATACACCTCCCTAGTCCCCTGCAAGCTCCCCACTCCCCAACGCAATCCCCAACACCGCCACGACTCCCTTACCTTAAGCACCTCCCGCAACATGCTCTCCACCTCCGCCTCCTTGAGCTGCTTGCGCTCCTCCGCCTCCGCCTCGCGGCTGGCGGCGGCGGCGTCGGCCACACGCCGCACCGTGGCGGCGGCGGAGGCGCACACGGAGCGGCACTCGGGGTCGGGCGTCTCATTGGCGGCAGCCTGCGTGCGTGCAAGTGACACACCAGCATTGGGTTGGCGCACAATCATACAAACAACTTAGCCTGCGCTAGAATTTGTGTACCGTATGCATGCGTAAAGAAATAACTGGTTCCTCTGTTCCTACTTCATGCAGCCCCACAGCAGCAGCAGCAGCCCAGTCCCAGTCTCTAAGCAACATTTCAACAAGCAGAGCCGGCGCGGCGCCGTACCTCCAGACGCGGCATCAGCTTGGGCAGGAAGGTGTCCGCATCCGCGGGGTTGGTGACCAGCTTGGACATGTTGGAGATGATGTTGGCGGCCTTGCGCTTGATGGCCGTCTCCTCCTTTAGGCCCTTGATCAGCAGCGGGCACATCACAGCCAGGGCGGGGGCCTGAAGGGGGCAACAGGGCGGGGGGCCAATTGCATCAAGTGTTATTACAGTTACAATTGTACAACACGTGTACCATGATCAGTCGTAAGCGGTGGAGCACCCCACACCCGACAAAGGCAGCATGCCTTTGCGCCCGTCTCTAAGTCCGCCATGTTCCAACCTTACCTCCACGGCTTGCACGAATGTGGTGCCGCTCAGCTTGAGGATCGCGTCCGCCGTCTCCTTGGGCTTCCGGATGCAGGAGAGGAAGGAGGGGATGCAGGGCGCAATGTCGCGGTTACCCGCGAGCGCAAAGGAGCTCTCCGCAGCCGCCACCGCCGCCTCCTTCACCTCGTCACGGGCATCCACCATGCCATCGCTGACCTGTGGCAGTATTGAAGCGACACATGGCATTTAGTCATCAACGAAAGGGTGAGTGCATGCCATCTGTTGTCGCAGCAGTCCCGGGTCGTAGTGAACACTGCATGCGCATTTCGCATGGCTGTACCCGCGCCCTTGACCCACCCATCTCAACACAGACCCTGCCAATCCATCAGCCGTTCTCTTAGGGGTTTCCAACTCACCACCGGCACGATGTCTGGTAGGGCAGCCTGCACCGCATCCGGCGCCGTCTCGCACAGCGTGGCAATCATCTTGAATGCGCCCTCCTTGCACTGCCACTTGCGGCTGGGCGAGGTGGCGGCCAGGATGGCGGGCAGCGAGCGGGGCACCGCCTCAGGGTGCAGCAGCCGGGCGAAGGACTGGCAGGCGGTGTCAGCGGCGCCGCGCACGCTGGTGGCCTGAGGGAAGAGGAAAGGCGTGCACGCGGGAAGAGGAGGGAACGTAAGGGGAAGGAGACGGCGAAAAAAGAGAGCAACACGGCGCATTCCATGATAACGCTTTCACGAGGCGCGGTCTTGCTGTATCCACACAGTGCTAGGTAGGAGGGGCGGATCATCAATGGCGGGTTAACAGCCAGAACGAATCGCGCTCCCTTGCATGTTGTTTGTAGTCCTTAGCCCCATCCTGAAGCCACAGGGCCATTGCCACCGTTACCGGCCCCATGCTAGCCACCCAGCCCACCTACCTTGTCCGCCAGGCGCTCCAGGAACACGGACAGCACGGGCGCCACGAAGGGCTCAACCGAGGAGCCCACGCAGTCGCACAGGGCCGCGAAAGCCAGCATGGCAGCCTGGGGAAGGGGGAAAATGGGGCAGTTTGGACGTAGACGTTGCGCATGCTGTGTCGTGTATACACGTCATGTGGCGTATGCGAGGGGCCGCCCATAACAAAGTCGGCTGCAGCATAGTATGGCAATCGGTACTTTCTACAGCTGTGGTAACGTGACATCGTACACATACCAAGCCTTTCCCTCTGCAACTCACCTCGCGTGCCGTGGCGTTGTTTTGGTCCTCGGCCATGATCTCCAGTCGCCGTTGGAGGCCGGAGGACTAGACGGAAGGGGCACAAATGACGGAAGAGGAGCGAGAGTGAAGAAGTTAATAGCACGTCCTTTGCTCAACACCCCCACATGGCATCACATAAAAATGGTCAGAACCCTCGTGCAGCCATTCCACAGGCCGTTATCCCTCGAACGCTGCACCTCAGACAGGCCACAACCCCGCTGTCCCCACGCAATACGCACCTTAAGCGAGGTAATGCCGCGGGCTTTAACATACTCGCCAATCTCCTCTGCCGCCTTATCGCGGCTTACGCCGGCGCCCCCTTTGGCGCCGCTGCGGCTGGCCGTGCTAGCACCCCATATGCCTGCCGGAGACGGTGCCGCGGCGGGTGCAGGACCACTAGCCTTGATGATCTTAATGCCACCAGCCATAGCAGGCTTGGGTGCCGCCGCCGCTGCGCTCATGACAGCGGGCTTAGGAGCAGGCTTAGCTGCAGCTGATGCGGCCTCCTCCTTCACAGCAAGCGAAAGGCGCTCGAGCATGTCCTCGATCGCAGCAGTCTCTGCGCTATTGAAGCCTCCACCAAAGCCTCCACCGCCCATGGGACGTAACCCCATACCAGGTGGTTGGAAAGCCGGGGCATTCGGGTTGAACATCGGGGCGTCTAGGCAGCAATCTGTGCCGCAGCCGTTGAAGTCCCTGAAATTGTTAAAGACAAACGCAGGATTGACAATTGTAATATCAAAGTGATCTCCAACGTAAATGCACTAGCCGAACACGGTTGTTAGGCGGCTGCACTAGGCGGCTTCAGCCGTCGACAACAGAACCGACCCCTGCCCTTCTGCTGAAGCAAATAGGGCAAAACAAATCTTGGCAACCGCAAAATGCCACAATCAATTAACGTTCAGCATAACTACCTGTTGGGGTAGAGCTCAAAACGTTGATGAAGATTGTCCGCCGCCTTACAGCAGCCAGGGGGAACAGATTATTTGTGGCGTCAGAGTGTTAGCGTAAGGGTGTATGGTATATGTTGTTCAAGGGTCTCCACAAAACGGTGTGCAGAACTGAGGACCAAGCGGTGTTCGTGGACTACAACCGCTCCTTGCGTAATTCAGGCCCAACAAGGGAGGCCAATGTATAAAAGAACACTTCTTGCAGAGTAGTACTAAAATACTGGCATGCTGGTCGGCTTGCTCTGCAATTGCCGTTCCCCGTACGGTAGTCAGAGAGGCGGAGAGCAAATCCTCTACATAACGTTACGTACGTGCTTTCAAGCTAATCTGCTAGAACTTCGTCTGCGCTACATATGACTGCGATTTACAAGCAGGGCGGTGGTTGCAGCTAGCATGCAACAGGCAGGAAACGCTAGCCGTGCACCAGCTGCCTTTAGGGTATCGATATGCACTAGGTTTTCGAGGACACGCCATCCTTCCTCTACGCCAGTATTGGTAGTTCGCCGTGGTGAACGTCGAAAACCCTCCGTACGCATGGGTCTCCAAACAGCGGTTGCAAACACCCCAGGGCCCAATGACCCCTCGGCCAGGCTAAGCAAGCTCTATGAGGAGTTCAAAGTGAAGTTTCCTGAAGTAAGTTCTCAACATGGGTCCGACGATCAGGCCTGGGTAATACCGGTTGCTGCCTAACCTTACCTACCTAACCTCAACCCATGCCTGTGTCCCTGCGACCCCTCTCCAGGTTCCTGAAGTGTCTGTGGGGGAGCTTCACGATTGGGTGAAGGTGTGGTGACATAGCTTGCTTTACGATCTCCAGGCCGGTATGATAGACGTTTGCAAACCAGATTCCCATGAGTTGAGCACTGTTGCGGGCCCTGCACCGAGGCCAGCACTGCGATGCATGAGCCGTTGCAGTACAGTGCAGTAGGGGATGCCACTACCTCTGTTATGGTAATAACGGGGATAGCATGTTACCCACCTGTGGTTTGGCCTTTGTAAGATTCACAGGCGCCAAAGCGGCGAGCCCAGAACCGACACACGCTTCCACAACGCTCATCCTGCACGCGCTGAGTAACGTGCTGCAACTTGTATTGTCGCAGCAAGCGGGACCTCCCGACCGACCCGAGGGTGCCCCACCACCGGTGCTTGTGGATGTACGAACGCGTGAGGAGCAGCAGGTGCGGTGCTGCAGGGGCAACTGGTAGACAGGTGTAGATAGGTATGGGCCACTTGGGTCCGTTCGAAAGTGCTGGAAAGGATTCCATGCGTCGAACGGGTTTAGTGTGGGATTGTGTTTTGTGTGGGTTTGTGGGGCACGGCTGGGAAACGCAAGTCATTATATGTAGGCGGGGCTGTTGGCTTTGAAGAGCGGGGTGCAGTGCCTGGCCGGCAAGCCAGCGGATTGATGCTTTGCTGGCATCACAGTGAAGCCATGCATAGGTGGATCCGGTACTTCTTCGTTACTGTTGTTCACTAGTCTACCAGTGATCTTCCTCAAGGCCTCGACGGCAGGCACCCCAGGCAGCTCCCACGGGCCCCACCTGCGTGCTGCTGCAGGTGTCCATGCTGCCAGGACCTGAAACGCTGACTCAGCGGCAGTTTGAGGAACGCGGACCGGACTCCTTCCGAGGGCGCAGGTGGGTTCTGTGTCGGACAGCTCCAGTGGTGGGGCGACTCAGCTTGTTGTATCTTGCTCCCTAGGGCCTCTTGATCCCTAGCACCTGCTGTTACCTGGCAAGATGGTGATTCGAGCTGTATAGAAACAACCTAGCTTCCAAAAGTAATACTCTTTTACTCGGCTGTGCCTCGCTCCTCCCCGTTAACCCTCCGCATACCCGTCCTCGGATTCCCCGCTGGCCCCAGGATCGTGTGCTACTGGTGGGTGCTGCACTTGCTGCTGCGGGTGCTAGTGAGACGGGTGCTCTGGTGCATGCGACGTTTACAGCTCTTGCCGCCCTTGCCCTTTCGCTGGCAGCCGCCTCCAGGGCGCCATCGCTCCATCGGGGTGTAGGAAGTAGGGACCACGTACCAAGGCGATGTGGGTCTGGTCGTAGTCCAACAACCCGTGAAGGACGGAGATGTCCGCATCGCCAGGTGCCGTTCGTACGAATACGGTACCGCGCGAGGGCCAAACTGTATGGCCGCCAGGACGGTCCGTCTGCACGTATCACCTGCTGGCTCACCGCGAGTCTGTGAGTAACCCGCATGTCACTGCGGGGTTGTTGTGGCAACTGCCGGCATCGGGGCCGTTATTATCCAGGATCAGACAGTTGGCGCCTCCTTCAGTGTACTAAGTGCCTGGATATCAACGGCCCCGATGCCGGAAGCTGCCACAACAACCCCGCAGTGACGTGCGGGTTACTCCCGGACTCTCGCGGTGGGCCAGCAGATGACACGGCAGACGGACCGTACTGGCGGCCGTACAGTTTGGCCTTCGTGCGGTACCGTATTCGTACGAAAGGCACCCCGCGATGTGGACATCTGCGTCTGCGTCCTTCACGGGTCGCTAGACTACGACCAGACCCACGGCGCCTTCGTGCCAGGTTCCTATGCCGCAACGGAGAGATGGCGCCCTGAAGGCGGCCTGTCTTCCCTTAACGCATAAACGGCTGTCAGCGACTGTTGCCAGTGACGGTGGTACTCCACCGTGTGTACTCCACCATGTACGCACCATCCCACTGTATGTGTCCCCTGTATGTGTTCCCTGCACCCACCCACAGCACCGCCGGCTACCGTAGCGGCCTTTACGCGCAGAAGCTGCGGCGGGAAAGAGGTCTAGATGCCTACAACCTGCGCGGCAGTATACTTGCTTGGGTGAGTCGAAAGGTGCTTTGCATCATTTCATGGCAATTAAACCGGTTGCCAGCAGCACTGCCAAGCAACCGGTTGTCCGAAGCCAGTAACCCTGCATGGGGGGTGTTGTCTAGGTGTTTGGTGGTATGGGGTTGAATAGCCCGGGTCATGGGTACCTTCCCAGCCTTGCTGCTTGGCCTGCTCACTACGACACTACCCATGACCACTCCTTCCTAGCACGCACCTCCTGGCTTCCCCACCTGCCTAGTACCGGTACTGCGCTCCTCCCAAACTACTCCACCGGCCTCATGCATGCATGGCGACATCCCATCAAATAACCATTGATTACGTGATTTCATTCATCCAACACCCAACCCCCACCACCCCAACATGCCGTACACGCGCACCTGGCAGACCCAGGCGGGGCTGCCCCTGGTGGACCCACGGGACGGCAGCTCCACCACCCAGGTGCATGTGTACAGCAAGGATTGGGCTCTGCAGGTGCGTGTCAACCACACTGGCCGGTAGTCAGAACGCACTTTGATTGCAGGTTGCAGGTGCATGCGTGTGATGTAGACCATACCGGTACTTGATGATCAAGCGGCATGGTCCTGTGCACACATGCAGCAGCCCGGGAAGTTTCCTTAACGCAGCCCTGCCCATGGCCCACGACCGCGCCACCTTGCAGGGCCAAGGTTACTCGCCAGTGTCGTTCCGTCGGCCGCTGCTGCAACTGCTGCGAGATGCGGTTAGCGGTTGGTGGTAGACACATCGTCGAAACCACTGTACGGCTGGCCAGCCATAATTGCGAAGGCGATAGCAAACGTTTTGGAGGATGGCCGTAGAACTCATCAACTTTGTTGCTGTTGCTCATTCAATGTGTTTATGAAGCTACCGCATTGCTGTAGCAGTGCTATTGATGAGCGGTTAACGTGTAATGCATAATAGAGCCGCATGACCCGTATGTAGCTGCCAGTGCGCCGTGGCTTGTGCAGGGGGGTAGTGAGACGGCAGTGGCACGTGGACATGCAAACATGTACGCCGAAGCTGTAGCCCTGCTGGCCCGTGGATCGTACGTCAAGCTTTCGTACGACGAAGGACGAGCGTGCATGTGCTGAAGTGCTGAAGGTGACGGTAGAATTACAGAAGCACCTGTTATCCTACTATACCTTGTACAAAAGCGAAGCCCTGCTATCTATCTACATCGGAATTCCTAGGGCCACTGATCATGGCATTGCTCATGTCCAAGGTAGCTGCTGCGAGTGGCGGCGCCTGTGTAGCCCGCTGCCGCACGACTTGCATTCCAAAGCCAGCAAGGATTCCTAATCTGCTGTTGCACCCAATCAAGGGCGGCCGCCTCAGTTCGGGACTTTCCCCCGCTGCGGCTGTGAACCCCGCCTCGGGCGGCTCCCTCTGCAGTCGTCTGGGCGGCGAGCCAGCCGTTGAAAAGGCCTCGTGGACATATTCTCTTCAACCGCGACTGCGTGATGCGGGGTGGGTGAAGCTCCCTCAACCACTTCTCGTGTCCTGTGTAAACCGGACTTCAAGACACACGATCCACCCGGCGCCAGCAGCTTCGGCAGCAGCTTACTACACTTGGCCCTCAACCGCTGCTTGCTACGCTCCGCCCCCAACCTTAGCGCAGCCGCTTCCCCACCTGCCCACCACCCGCCGCCTGCTCCCCACCCGCACCCCCATCATCGCGCTTGCGGCGTCCCAGGATTCCGCCTCCGTCACCTCCCCCGCCCCCGGTGTCCCCCATGCTGCCTGCTGCGCCTCCCCGGCTGCCGGCTCCTGCGCCGGGTCTCGTGATGTGAGCTGGCTGCCACGCAGCAACCACGGAGACTGCGGAGGCGGCAGCAACATTCGCCATCGTCTCCACTTCCCCTCCCCCCAGGTCACCTCTGGCCGCTAGATGCATGCGAATGGTGGCTGCCACTGCCTCCCTCAGCGCCGCATCACCGCTAGGGCCAGCCGCCCGAGCTGGGGCAGGCACTGCGGCGGCTGCGGCTCTGCTTGGGGCGGAAGGGGCCGCCGCTGCTGCCGCGGCCGCCTCCTGCTGTTGCGGTGGCTGCTGCTGCAGCGGCGGCGGCGGCGGTCCCTGCCCCTCATGCGGCTCCTCGGGTTTCACCCGAGGGCTAAGCTGCAGCAGCTGCGGGTGCTGCAGCACTGCCAGGCCCCCTCCGACCCCAGGTGCGACCCATGGGTCGGCTTGCGGGGTCGCAGGCATGGGTGCGCTTTTCCTGGGCGGCACCGGCCGCCAGCCGCTGCCTCGTGGACCGGGGCCGCGGCCAACAGGGCCGCCAGGAGCAGGGCCGGGAGCAGGAGCAGCGGCAGGAGCGGCATGGACTGTGCGTGTCGCTGACCGGGGGATGTTGCTGGCCGCATGCAGCTGACCGCTTCCTTGCAGCTGCTGTCGATGAGCCCGAAAGCCGCTGGCCCCATCACCAGCCGCCGCAGTAGCATGAGTGACGGGTACGGCGCCCGCCGCCAAGGGATCTGGTGGCGTGGCGGGTGCGGTAACGGCAGCAGCGGCAGCAGCCCCTCCCGACCCCACACCTGGGCCGACTGCTGCTGCTGCTGCTGATGGCGGCTCCTGTTTCACGCCTGCATGCGGCGGCTGTGGAGGTGCCGGCGGGGGTCCAGGTGCCGCACCGGCGGTACCCTGCACCGCAGCCGCCAGGACCCCGGACATGCCGCCTGCTGCCGCCGTCACTACTCCAGGGGAGGTGCTGCTTGCGCCTGCTGGCTTGGCTGCCTGCCCCTGCTGCTGCCCGCCGCTGCCCTGCACCTCCACCACGGCCCTCCCGTCCCGCACCACCAGCTGCCACCCCCCGCCCCTGCCGCTGCCCCCCTGCTCCTCCAGCCTCTTCCCCAGGCCTGAGGCGCCACGGAAGTAGCAGCGGCCCTCACTGAACTTCAGCCGCACCTCGTGCCGCTGCAGGGCGCCCCCGGACGTGGCGGCGTGCAGGGTGAGGGCGGTGTGCTTGGTGGCAGCGGGAAGGACCGCGCGCAGCTCCTCCGCGGCGCATGACAGCTGCCTGCGATTCAGCTGCAGCCGCACCGGGACTGACAGCGCCGGAAGGGGAGGGGCGGATGTGGCTGGGGCGGCGGCAGCAGTGGCAGCGGCAGAGGCCTCCTCCTCCTCGTCCGATGTATGGCTGCTGTCGTCGCTGTCGTCGCTGTCGTCGCTGGCATCACCGTCATCGGCCGCGTCAATGCTCTCGTCGTCATCACTGCCGCTGGCGCTGCTGCCGTCGTCACCGCCCTCACCACCCGCCGCCGACGCCTCCGTCCCCGCCCCCTGGTTGTCCCCCGGCCCCCGGCGCGGCCCCACCTGCTGCAGGGTAACGCTCACACCGTTGATGACGTCACTGCTCCCGTGCGCCCTCACCGCCGCCAGGTGCAGCAGGTCCCCGGCCTGAGCGTGCTGGGACGCTAGCCAGGAGGTGTGGCCGGTGATGAACCATTGCGTACGCGTGTTGCCGCGCGAGTAACACGTCATGGTTCCGACGGACCGCTGAGATAGCCGGCCTGCCGCATCCACTGTCCACACCTTGACCTTCTCACCCAGCGGGCCCTCTCCTTGGTGCCCGTCGAGACCGAGCAGCTGCACCACCACAGCCTTAAGAATACGGACCCTTCTCTTGTCCAAGAACGACTGCGTCACCTTCACCCCGCAGCCGACAGGCTCCTCCGGTGGTTCCACATCTGCCTCCAGCACCACACGCCCACCCGGCAGCCGCTGCAGCTGCACCTCCGACCCATGATGCAGGCCCAAGGCCTTGACTAGCTGGGCCCCGCCTGTCAGATGTGACCCCCCGGCATTCAAGTTTATGTCGTACTGCCTGCTGACACCGCCCCGAAACCTGACGTGCACTTGGACTGGCTGGGCGTGATTTGAGCTCTTCGCTGCGGCCAATTGCTGCACGAAGAGATGCTGAATGGCCCCAGAACCAGTCAAGAATCTGCTCTTCTGGTTGAAGTGCAGGAAGTGCTTGATGCTGCCTGCCTGCCTGCCTGCCCGTCACCCCCCGCCGAGCCAGCGGCCTCCCCGGCTCCACCACCGCTGTTGTGACTGCTGCTGCCGGGACCGATGCCGGGATTGATGCCGGCGCTTCCACCGGCCTCATCCACTGCTGCAGTAGCACCGCTGCTGCTGCTGAGGCCGTTGGCGTCGTGCGATGGGGTGGCTGCGGGAAGTGCGCGTGGTAATGCGTGACGGCGCCCCGGGTCGCCCTCCTCCTCCTCCTTCACTGTTCCCCGCTGGCGTGGAGCCGCAGCGTTCCCACCAGCTGCAGCTGCGACATTGCGGTCCTCCATCAGCAGCTGGATGCGGTGGCGAAGCTGCCTGCGTGCGTGATGCGGGGTGGGTGAAGCAGCGCTGCGGTCGCGGCAGCAGGCGAGGTTGTTCGCGATCGAGCTGCAGCTGCTGCCCTGCTCTGGCTGCTTATCAGGCAGCAGCCAGCAACCCACCAATAGTTATGCAAGGAGCTGCGCGGAAGGCTTTTTGTGTGACTGAACTTTTTAGCCGCGCGACGAAAGGTGACGAAAATTAGCAGGACTGGCTAGATGTGGCAAGCAGCGTTTTTTATACGTTTTATGGATACTCATCAACAAGCAATATCGAACAGCTTCGGGAATGAGCCTTAGGAGCAGGCATGGGTCATCTCAGCGCTCTTCGAAACCAGAGAACCTCGACAAAAGAATACGTAATCAAGGCGGCAAAACCGCAGCAAACGCATCAATTATTTTGTTGTTCAAGACTCCACTACAACTCTGGTGGTGGTCGTGTGTCTCGACCGCGCCACCGACCCGCCGGGTCACCGACTGTCGGGTTGCGGCCCACCCGTATGCCTCAACCTGCCATGCCACCAGCCCCGCTGCCAACCACAAACCCATGTATATCCACAGCTGTTGTGGACGCCCCCGGCTCATTCACGGCTCGCATCCCCTGCTGCCCACCAAGCATCCCCCAGCAGTGCAAGCACAGGTGTGCTGAGTGTCCAGGGATGGATCATGCCCTCTCGCTGGAATGGCTGCACAGCAGAGGGACAGTGAAGGAGTCAAGCGCGTCTCAGTCGAGCGTGACGTAGTAAAGGAGCTCCGCACGTCTCAGTCGAGGTGTGCATGACTGTTTGGTGAGATCTCGAATCTGGTTTCGGAGCTGTGTACGGCAGGGGCTGCGGAGCTTGGGGTGCAGCTGGCGGGCGGGGAGGTGGAGAGGCTGAGGGCGTATGCTCGCAGCGTGGCGCACTACCCCACCGCGATTAAGGAGAGGTAAGGGTAGGATACGTGTAGTAAGGTAAATGAAGGGTGCAACTGCCGAGCATACACACATGCACTGCACCATTCGCATTTCCCTGACCTCCATCTGGCTGGGCTCACCCTCTGGGCTCACACACACCTCCGTAGCTCCACACGTGCTGCCTAGTCATCATGCCCCGCCATGTACGTCTCAGCACTTGTGTTACTGGACAGCTTCGGCTTATTAGCTGTGCTGCTTGTAAGGCACGAAGGCTGGTATGTACCGGTGTCGGCCAACCAGACAAGTGACTGCTTTCTGTCAGATAGCGCCGAGTGTTAAGTGTCGTTACAGCATCCTTGCTGATGCGGAACTGGCGCCGTTCTTTAGCGACATTGACGTCGTGCAGGGTTTTAGGCAAACGGCAGTGGCACGTGGATGTGCATACCGGTACATGTACGCTGATTAGCCTTGCTATCCCGTGGGTGGTCGTTTGCGTCATTGTATGCTAAAGCTTTTGTACGACGAAGGACGAGCGCGCATGTGCTGCAGCTGACGTTCTAAAGGTCACGCTAGACGTGCAGAAGCACCTGTTATCCTACTTTGCCTTGTACAAAAGCGAAGCCCTGCTATCTATCTACATCGGAATTCCTAGGGCCACTGATCATGGCATTGCTCATGTCCAAGGTAGCTGCTGCGAGTGGCGGCGCCTGTGTAGCCCGCTGCCGCACGACTTGCATTCCAAAGCCAGCAAGGATTCCTAATCTGCTGTTGCACCCAACCAAGGGCGGCCGCCTCAGTTCGGGACTTTCCCCCGCTGCGGCTGTGAACCCCGCCTCGGGCGGCTCCCTCTACAGTCGTCTGGGCGGCGAGCCAGCCGTTGAAAAGGCCGTGGATATTTTCTACAACCGCATCCTTGCTGATGCTGATCTGGCGCCGTTCTTCAGCGACATTGACATGAAAAAGCAGCGGCGCAAACAGGCAAGGATGTTTTTACGTGTCTGTCAAAGAGGGGGTGTTAGCGTAGCAGCAGTCGCGCACTGACAGGCCAACGTTCGTTCTTCATCCTTTGCTTGGTAGCTTCCGTAGGCTTGCTTGGTAGCTTCCGTAGGGCCGCTGTCGCGGAATTAGTTAGGGCGCTTTCGTCAAGAACAACTTCCTTAGAAGGAAGGAAAAAAGCAGCACCGCAGCAGGGCGCAAAAGAAAACCGCAAAGCGCGTTGTTATTGACCTAAACTTTTACGTTCTGTCCTGCGCCCTGTGGCAGGTTGCCTTCATGACGTATGTATTTGGCGGTGCGGGCGCCTATCAGGGCCGTGACCTGACCTCTTCCCACAAGAGGCTGGTCGAGGGGGGCGGCATGAACGACAACCACTTCAACCGCGTGGCAAAGCACCTGTTGGAGACCCTGCGGTCCCTGAACGTACCGGAGGTAGGAGCGGCGGCATAAGCCCAGGCGACTAGTCCACGCTGAATTTGTGGGATTTACCTTTTCATTGCCTTGAATCCTGTTAGGTCCATGGTTCTCAAACTTGGTCCTCATCCCGGCTCGAGCGAGGTGCCATGGTGCCTTGCCTTGAGTGGGTAGCACGGAAGTGCTGCATCGTGACCCATGGGTCGTTCCTCATCCTTGATGCAACACACGTCTCCCACCACCACGCTGCGTGCAGGACATAACAAATGAGGCGATGGCTGCTGTCGAGAGCTCGCGATCAGCGGTGTTTGGACGCCACTAAGGGCGAGCAGGTCCCCTGTTGGTTAACTCGCCACGAGGCGATGAGGGGATGCAGGGGCGTGGGTGTGTTCGGGCGGACTCCCGCGGGTAGCTTGTGTGATGAACTGTTCACAAGACGTATATGGGTCAGCAAGTAATATGAGCTGTGGGCGCTCTTCCGGTAAATAACAGTGCCATGCCACGTAAAAAGAGGGGGCTGGGCACCCATCGCGCGCGCGTGGCTGAGCTCCACAAAAACTAGGTTGACTATCACGGCCACAGCATGGGGGTGCCCGCAGGGCGGCGAATGGCCTATGCGGGTACCTGTGTGACGCATTTCTGAGCGAAGAGGGTGCTGACCAATTGCAGCCTGTGTGCGCGTGGTACCTGGGAGGGTCACCTTGCAGTGTAATGTATGCGGCGTGGCGGTTTGGATGATGACGAGGAGAAATAAAAGCCCCATACTATGTTTATTCATGCGTGCTTAGCAGTGAATTAGGCTAACGGCTCTTCATACTATGTACAAGGAGACAGGCGCGGTTATACTACGGCTGTTTGCATATGCTGAAGTCAAATGGAGTTGGTGCTTAGACTGGTGTTGCCCATAGGGTGGCGAAGTTGACAATGCACGGCCTGTGCTTTAGGGCCGCTTGCCTTGTACGGCTACTTGTTGTGCGCGGACACGCCGCGGGGCAGTGGGAGACGGAGTATGTGAGACGATGAGATGCAGTCTGCAGGCTCCGCAATTCACTTGTTGATTACATTGTTACTATGCCACATTACTGCTTTGCCGTCAGTCGCCGTATTGTCCATGGCCAAAGCAACTGCTATACTTCGGCACCTCAGAAATTAGCAATGAACGGCGTAGAGCGCGTTCCCTTGCCGTGCAGCACAAGTCAACATTCCCCTGCGCATGCTGTAGCCGACAGCGGCCACACCGCAACATCGCACAAGCCACGGTATGCTCACATCTTGTCCAGGGGGCAAACTGACTGCAGACGCACCTCGCGCCCTCAGCGGCCCACGGGTCTGCCGCCCATGCTCTTGCCGGTCGCTCGCATACCTTCAGCACTCCTTGAACCGCCCCAAAGGAACAGCCATTCCCATCCAGCCCCTTCACCGTCACACCCAGCCGTAAGCTGCCCAATTCAAACACAGCGACTCGTATGCACACCGCCTATACCTAATAAACCTGCAATCAGTTCAGCCTAGCTCCGAAATCCTCCTACACTCGCCCTACCCCTCACCCAATCCCATCCTAGGCAGCTCATCGTCCGCCCTCCAGCTGCGCCACCAACGGGTGCTCCCCCAGCCCCACACCACGCATCGCCGCCGCCAGCCGCCCCTGCACTGCCGGCGACGCCGAGGGCAGTGGCGCCGCCACCAGGCTGTCCGCCAAGCGTGCTAGCGTCGCCTCGCCGCCCGCCGGCAGCGGCCACTCCGCCAGCGCGCGGAGCATGTGGAAGGCCTCCCGGTGGCCAACACCTTCAGGAGACTGGAGCAACCCCATCACACGTGCATGTGCCACGGCAATGACATCCTCCCCGGGGCTCAGGGCCGAGGCGGCAGCGGCAGCTGGAGATGTAGATGCTGCCGGAGCCGCGGCGGTGCTTGCAGCTGCAGCTTGCTGCGAGGCTGCGGATGCTGCGGCGGCGGCGTTGTGGAAGGCACCCAGCAGGCGACTGAGGGTAGTGCCGTCCATGCGGGAAACCTCCGGCAGCGTCGCCGCCGCCAGACGGCTCCAGAAGCTCCGATCGGTGTGCCCCATGAGCCCCAGCGCCAGCGCCACCGAAGCCACGTGACGCGCTCCAAACTGCGGCAAGCCGCGCAGCAGCAGCATGTCCGCCAGCAGCCGCGGCAGTGCGCCGTACGGCTGTCGTTGAGCGCCGCCGCTGATGCCTCCGTACGCCTCCGCCAGACCCGTCGCCAAGATGGCCACGTCATTGCATGACAAGGATGGAACACGAGGCGTGAGGGCGTCGCAAATCGGCCCAAGCATGAGCTTGGCTGTAGCGCCGGCAGCTGCAACCGGATCAGCGGCAGCGGCGGCGTCCCCGCCGGCGGCAGCCGGCGTGGTGGCTGCTATCTTCACGGCGGCGAGCGACAGGTCAAAGATCACGGTGACGTCCAGGTCGTACAGACGCGGCTCCAGCGCCGTCCAGACCGCATCCACAAGGCGCTCCTGGCCGCCGTCTAGCGCCACGCCCCCGGCTGCCGCGTACGAGCGCAGCACGCTGGCGGCGACCTCGGGCTGCAGCTCCGCGGCGTGGCGGGCAGCCAGGCGAGCGGCGGCAGTCCAGACGCCCGAGTGCGCGTCGTGAGCCAGGGAAAGCGCCTTGCAGAAAGCCCGCAAGGAGCCCTGCGCACGTAAAGGAGCAACGGAAGGGGATTAGACGAAGCAAAGCGCTAAGGATGCAACGCAAACATGTTTGCATGGTGTGCACTCTTGCCCCTCCTGATATGCCTGTCCAAACAATCCCAGGGCACACTTGCATTACGGGGCAACCCACTTCACCTCAGGCTGCATCCGCCTCCTCATGCATCATCTTTCTACCCCTCCCCAGCTCCCCGCTCCCACCCCCGCTCCCTCCCTAGCTCGGCCCCACCTGGGGCATGGAATCGTCCACCTCCGGACCTCCCTCGCCGCCCACCGGCGCCGCTGCTGCACCTTCCGGCTCCTCGCCCAACGCCCGCAGCAGCTTCGCCTCCGCCGCCGCCCGCACCGCCGGCCAGAGCTGCTCCTCCAGCACACCCGCCTGCCCCGCTCCCTCCCCGGCTGCACGGCTGCCGGCCACACCCTGCTGCTGCTGCTTGCGCTGCAGCGTCAAGAACTTGGAGGTGGCGAGCAGCAGCATGCCGACGGTGCGGGGATCCGCCTCCACGCCTGCGGGGCTGCCGCGGGGGCTGCGCGCCTGCACCCGCTCCACCACGGCCTCCATGAGCGCGCGGCCCGGCAGCAAACCGCACTCCGCGAGTCCGTTGAGGGCGGTGGCGAGGCTGGACATGGATGCCGCCTGGGCTTGCTCCTGGGGTTGGAGGAGCGGGTTGGGTTGGGCAGGGTTGGGTATGTGTAGGTGTAGGGAGTAAGAAGCAAGAGAACGCGCCTTACAAGCCCTAAGGACAGGACCCGTACTCGTCTGCAGCTGCACCTAACCGAGTTAACCAAGCGTTTTTTTTCCAACCCCGCGCGTTTACGGTACCTGCAGCAGCACCATGAGCGACTCGCCCACACGACGCGCCAGGGCGGACGGCGAGGCGGAGGCGGGAGTAGCCTGCGCAGAAGCAGCAGACGATGTGGTGATGCAGCATGAGAGTAAGGGTGTTAACAGTTATGGTGCAGTCGGTGCGGGGTGCACGAACGGTGCTCTGTACGCCAAGAACCGTTTAACCGTGGCCACGTCCCTTTGGAGGTGAGACCCCTTACGCACACAGCACCCTTACACGCATCCCTTTCCCTACAACATTACCGGTACTAGCTCCACACGCCACCCCACGTCATGCTCGCCCCGGCCCACCCCACCTGCTTCAGCTTGTGCAGCCGCGCCAGGGCGGTGCACACCAGGAAGGCGTCCAGGTCCCGACCGCACTCGCGAACAACAACCTGACGGCGCGGGCAAAGAAGGGAGAGCAAGGCAAGGAGAAGTGTTGAGGGACGTGTGGAAGGTACTGCTTCCCGTGTCTTGTCAACAGGAGCAGACACACCAGGGAAGAGGTCGGTTGGGAGCTGCGAAGGACTATACTCCCAGTGCACAGGCATGCCAGCACATCCGCATGTCTGTCTGCATTCCACCTTAATGGACGCCTGCATGGAAGCTGGCCCAAGACATGCACCCACCCTCGTCCCAGCCAGCCCAGCCCACTTCACAGCCGCAGCCCCCACCTGCATCTCCTGCAGGTCCCGACACTCCAGCACCATGGACCGCAGCTCCGACAGCACATCCGTGGAGCCCTGGGCGCCCCTGCGCCGGCTGCTGCTGCGCCCTGCGCTCTTGGAGTCGCCCGCCTCCCGCAGGATGTCCTGAGCTACGCGCACGTCCCGGCCGCTCTCGCGCCATCGCTGTGGGCCGTGTGGGGTGTTAACATAAGAGGGAAGAAAAGCGTGGCATTGCTGTTGTGTGTACGAGCATGGTTTATGAGCGCACAGCCAAACCGTATAGCTATGCGTGGTGTAAGCCCAGAATGCCGCTTTGGCCAAGTACCTCATCCCAATCAGCACTTCCAGCCGCTGTGTTAGTGAATGTTCAGCCCATCGCGTTCGCCATCAACCCAACCCCACCTGGAAGTTATCACGGTTGAGAACTTTCGACTTGTTGTAGCGCGTCAGGTTGGACTGGAACCTGTTCAGGGTTACCCGCGAACGGCGCCAAGGGTCAATAACATGGTGTACGTATGGGTGGCAACGCATGAGGTATGCTTATGTGCGCGAAGGAGCGCAGAGTTGTTCCCAGCCCTCCCCAACCGCAGAATGGTACCCATACGTTTGAGCTTTGGCAGTGAGGGTTTACTGGCACCTACTTGTACGACGAAGTCGCTGAAGTTGAAATGCCCCTCCGCTGCTGCAGGAGCAGCAACAGCTGCTGTTTTAGCCCGCCCAGAAGGGGCCCTGTCGCAGCAGCGGCGCTGACGCTAGCACTGCTGCTGGTACTACAGCAGGACTGCCCTGTTCCCGTGGCCCTATCCTCTGAGGCCAGTTGAGCCGCTGAAAGGTAGGACAGCTCCCGGCATGGTTGCTGCAGTGCTTGTTGCTGAAGGATGGCGCGCTGCAGAAGAGCTATGGCTCCGCTAATGCTGCCGGCTGCCGCACGAGGGCCTGCGAGGGCAGCATCACGGGTGTATCGGTAACAACTATTACTGCTATGTAGAGAAGAAAGACCAAACCTAAGCTATGCCACAGGACAGGTAGAGCGTGTCGAGGCCTGTCGATCAATAAGCCGCAAAGCACTATCTTGCGCGCAAACTGTAATTAGGAATATATTCAAAAGACTTGTAGCCACGAAGCAAAATAAGTTCCATGTTGGCCCCTTGCTTACCGGCAGGGCCCTCAAGCAGTAAGCTCTGAAGCATCTGTCGGCTTGCTAACAGTAATCGTAAAATGTAAGCGCTTTGGGATACGGTACTTCACGATGATTGATAGACCTAGTCCTACTCGTCAAGCACAGGCTCCTTTCTGAAGTGACGCACCAGTTACGGACAGAAGGCGGCTGATAAAACAAGCCCGACACTTGCAAACGAGCAACCCAACCGTATCTGTTTGTAAGCGACTACGGCCACTGGCATTGATAGCACAAAGCCGCACATAGCGGGGGTAGCTTTCCGTACAGGTTGGATCCATTGCCATACTCAGCTTTGGCTAACCTTGCAAGCACGACGACCATAATTCACAATTGGGTATTCACAAGGGAAATACCCTACTATTGAAGTAATGACCTCTAGCTCGCCGCAGAGCTACGGCAACCACTATCGTTCGTCGCACTGGACTCGTTCAGGATTGCAACGCTGCTTCCGTCAATCTCTTCGGCGACCTTGGTCGCTTACCGTGCAATAGCCGTCGCAATGCAAGGGCATACCGCAGCGGTTGGGTGCCCGACGCGCCGGCTGGGTTTCACAATTGCCCACCATCGGACGGAAAGGACTGGCTTGGCGCTGGCGTCACAGTGCTTACGAGGTAATCTTGTAGCCTTAGATAGACTCCTAGCAGTGTCACACGGCAGTGATCAAGTGTAGGACCCCCTGCTGTGCGAACGGTAACGGCCTCTGGTGCCTGAAACAAGCCAATGGGTTTGCCAACGGATCCAGGCCAGCAGCTTTCATGCTCAGTTCGCATGCCTGCGACTGATACCCTCTACCCCATGTGGCCACCTTCACTCCTCCCTTGCCATGAACTACATGTCGCCACAAGGAGTGAACAAGTCTCCGAAATACCCATTCTCCTTGGGCTCCTCCTAAGCTTGTACCGGACCTCCCTGCCCTTTTTTTCCGATGCCCTGTTTCGCAGGCTTCCCGTCTCTTCCTGGCAACATGCCAGTCGCCGTATCAGTACCGGGCAGCGGTTCTCCTTGCCACCATGCCCTTCCCTTGCGCCCACTTCTAGTCGCAAATGCAAGCGTGCGCGCAACTTCTACACTCACGTCAGGCTCAGCTTCAAACACAGCCAGCACCACTGCTTTTCCTGCATCCATCTTCGCCTCCCTCTGCCCTAACCGTCATCCAGTCAGACCCATGGGTCCGTCCGCCTCCTTGGCGCCTTCCAGATCCCTCGCCACCGCCGTACACGCATCTGCCGTACCATCGCTCGCTAGCGGCTCGTACAGCACCGCTGCTGCTGCATGCTACACCCCGGCAGCATCTGCCTCAGCCCCCGTTGCTGCAGGTACTCCAGCAAGCAGCCCCCAGCAACAGGCTTGTACGCAGGATACGTCGCAGGCTGGGGCAGGGCGGCGGCGGCAGCAGCGCCCCGCTGCTGTGGTGTTGGGTATTGAGAGCAGCTGCGATGACACGGGGGTGGCGGTGGTGACGTCAGAGGGGCGAGTGCTTGGGGAGGCGATCGCCACGCAGGCGGACGTACACGCGCCGTGGGGTAAGCCCGTACACACTTGCAAAGCTCCGGGTCAGCAACCACTTTCGCCGGTTACAAAGAAACCGCTGCTGGAGGCTTATCCAGTCATCCTGACACATCAACCAACCAACCAACCACATCCCGCACCGTATAAACCACCTCCCCCAGGCGGCGTGGTCCCCACTCTGGCTCGAGACGCGCACGCTGCCGCCATAGACCGCACCGTAGCGGCTGCGCTGGCGGCTGCGGGGCTGCAGCCGCAGCAGCTGAGCGCCATCGCTGTCACACAGGGCCCGGGGCTGGGGCTGTGCCTGAGGGTGCGAGGGATGGAGGTTTGGTGGGGGGGAAGTGGGCGGGGAAGGAGGGACGGTGGCACACGCGGCGGCATGGAGAAAGGGAGGGAACCAAGACGGGTTAAATTTAGGGTCTGGGAGGATATGTTTGGTTTGGCTCGGTATGTAACCTGTTTCAGACCCCACACAAGGCCTAGGTCGCTAGCAACGACGGGAACAACAGGAGGTGCCGAACTGCCGATGTCTGTTCCTTACGTACATTCTCCTTCAGCCGTCCCAGCGTGTCATACCTTCTTACACCTCTCCACTCTGCCTCACAGGTGGGTGTTTCCAAGGCACGAGATCTGGCAAGGAAGTACGGCATTCCGCTGGTTTCCGTACACCATATGGAGGCGCATGCACTGGTAGCCCGGTTGCCGCCGGCTGCAGCGGAGGCGGCCGCGCCTGCCGTACGGTTAGCCGCCGCCACTGCCCCTGACCAGCCTAGCAGCTCATCTACAAGTGAACCGCAGCAGATGGTTCTCAGGTTGTTGGAGCAACCACAACAGGATGCAGTACAGCAGCAGCAGCAGCAGCAGCAGCAGCAATTGGCGCAACGACAAGAGGAGCAGGAGTCCCAACAACGGCAACTGTCTGAAGCGTGTCAACAGGAACAGCAGGATGGAGGGTTATCGCAAACTGCAGAGCTCGTGCACCAACAAGAACAGCAACAGCAACAGCAACAACCCTGTCTCCCGGCTCACCAGGGCCATCAACAGCAAGCCACCCCTAATCAAAACACCGCAACAGAAACACCATCATCCTTCCAATCAAATGGCGTTAACTCCTCAACCAACAGCAGTTCGTCCATCCCCAATACCGTCAACAGCTCTGCCGTACAAGCCCACGCTGTTGTACGCCCCAACAGCGCTGCCGTACAAGTCGACGCAGCAGCTGTGCTGGGGGACGTGGGCGCCGCCACGGCTGGCCTGCCGTTCCCCTTCCTGTGTCTGCTGGTGTCGGGGGGCCACAACCTGTTGGTGCTGGTGCGGGGGGTGGGCAGCTACGTGCAGCTGGGGACCACCCTGGATGATGCGCTGGGTGAGGGGTGGGGGGGGGGGGAGGGGGAGGGAGGGGGAGGGGCTGGTATGGGGGGGAGGTGTGGGGGGTGAGGGAAGGAGGAGGTGCGGCTGGTATGTGAGGGAGGAGGTGGTGGGGCTGAAGTGAACCTAGGGGTTTGCTTCTGAGAGGAGCCAGGAGCCAGGGGGGTCAGTTCGCGGCCTGGTTGGAACGACAAACGGGGATGGTGTCAAAATGCCCAGATATTCTCTTGCACGGTGTGACGAGTCGAACGAGGAAAACCTTAGCCGCCAGAGGTGTATGTGGATATGCCTATCCCATGTCCCAGCTGCTGTCCCGCTTGACTTCTTAGGTTCCCGGTCGCACTGCCGTACTGCAGGTGAGGCGTACGACAAGGTCGCCCGCCTGATGGAGCTGGAGCTGCGGCCGCACGGGGGGGCGGCTCTGGAGGCGCTGGCAAGGGATGGCGACCCAAAGGCCTACAAGTGAGGTGTTGTTGTCTCGTTGCTGCATGCTTTAACTGCGAAGGGCACGTATTTGCCGTACCTTATCAGCTACGACACCGCACCTGAAGAATTCTAGTCTCGTGTTAGGCCGTAGACACGTTTGGTGCTTGGATTAGGCACACGCAGCCCTTGACCATGCCCATGCATGAAAAGCCTTGTGTCTTCACCTCTACAGCGTACCGCTACCTCCCCACGACACCAACGACTAGCCCGCCCCCGCCCCCTCTCCTCCTCCTCCCCCCTCCACCAGCTTCCCCGTGCCCATGCGCAAGCACGCCACCTGCGACTTCTCCTTCGCCGGCCTCAAGACCAGCACCCGCCTGGCAATAGAGCGGGAGCTGGCGCCCCCGGCCTCGCAGCACCTAACACCGCAGCAGCTGCACCAGGTGAGGGGGGAGGGGGGGCTGGGGGTTCAGGGAGCTGGGTTGGCGTTGCCGTTGGGCCGAGCTGCCTTTCCTGCGAGCTGCCGCCTCGGTGGGGACAACCAGGGCTGTAGCAACATGTCTGTGAGTTGTCTAAACAGGTTGGCAGTGTCAGGTTCCCAGGGGGATCATTCGCTCCTCACCACCGGGGCCGACCACCAACCACACTACCCTCCCCCCCCGCTACCCTCCCCCCCCCCCCAGGTCCGAGCCAACATCGCCGCCTCCTTCCAGTCGGTGGCTGTACGGCACCTGCTGGACCGCACCCGCCGCGGAGTGGCCTGGGCGCGGGAGCTGCTGACGGCGGAGCACACCCGGCAGCAGCAACAGCAGCAGCAGCAGGCTGGGCAACCGCAGCAGCAAGCAGGGCAAGAGCAGGCTGAGCAGCAACCTCAGCAGCCCGAGCTTCATCAGCAGCTCGAGCAACCGCAGGCTGAACATCAGCAGCCACAACAGCCGCAGGCCGAACAGCAGCCCCAGCAGCAGGCAGCCCCCCGGCAGTTGGGCCACCTGGTTGTTGCGGGCGGGGTGGCATGCAACCGGGTGGTGCGGGACAGCCTGCAGCAGCTAGCGGGTGAGATGGGGGGGAGAGGGGGGTAGTTGAGGTGGAGGGCAAGGGTTGACGTGCAGCAGGTAGTGCTTCACGGTGGCGGTAACTTCTGCATCTGCAATCGCGCGACCTGCCGACCGTGCTGCCTGGTGCCCCCGCCCCTTCCTTATTTTCACCCCGCCCCTCTGCATGCACCTCCGCCGTGTTGCAGACGCGGAGGGGCTGCAGCTGGTGCTGCCCCCGACCCGCTGGTGCACCGACAACGGGGTCATGGTGGCCTGGGCGGGCATGGAACGACTGGCCCGGGGCTGGGCGGAACCCCCACCGCCGCCCCTGCCGCTACCCCTACCCCGACAAGCACCCTCAGCTACCCCTACCGCTTGCGAGGACGGGGCAGCAAGCGCAGAGGCAGGTACGGCAAGCACGGAACCGGCTGCCGGTTCCGGAGCTCCGGTGAGTGATCTAGCTGCTGCGACGGTGGCGGCGGCGGCGATAGCTGCGGTGAGGGAGGCGGAGGAGGAGTGGATTGAGTTGAAGCCGCGGTGGCCGCTGACCAGCGAGCTGCACCCCCGCAGTGCCGCCGCGCAGGGCGAGCAGCGGAGGTCGATGAAGAAGGTGCGACTGGCAGTCCCTCTGAGCGATCTGGCGCCGCCGGGGGCTGGGGCGGGGGCGGGGGGTGGTGTGGGGGTTGTGGGGGTGGGTAAGGAGGAGCTGGAGGCGGGTGCCCCCCCCGATGGGGGCGGCGGTGCCCCGATGATTAAGGATTGTATGGTGCGGCCCGGGGAAGGTGTTAGGCTAGGCTTGCGGAGGCTGGTTGGCTGAGGAGGGGTGACGGGACACATGGGGTGTGGTGGTGCGGCTAGTCGGCGGGTGCGAGAGGGATTGGGGGAGGTGGTTTCAAGGGGGTGCCTGCGCGTGTGCTTGCATCCTGTCTTCCTGTGAGAGGAGGGGGGGCAACCGGGTAGCAACAGGAGCAGCGACACCTTTCCTTCGTTAAAATGAGTGGAAGTGTGTGAAGTTATTGTTGATGCAAAACCCAAAACCGTATTGGTCTCTAGCGCTTACGGCTATGTAAGGTTGTTGCGCGACTGCAGTGATGGGTATTGCCGTCGAACGGCAGTGATGGGTATTGCCGTCGAACATGTATGGAGGGCTGCAACGTGGTGCATATGTAGCAAGCGGTCCGTGTGTTGCAGCCCGTGCACCTCCTGTTCCCCTCGCCCCCCTCGCCCCCCTCGCACCACCGCAGCGCAGCGCAGCGCTGCACCCCCGCGGGCCGCCACCAGCCTCTCCGCTTCCGCCGCACCCACTCAGCTAGCCAGGCAGACAGGGGGGCAGCGAGGTAGGCAGAGCACAGCAGCTGCCCGCCCCCCCCCTGGGTGCAGTGCAGGTCGTGCTTCCAGAGCCTGGACGCCCCACACGCCACAACTTCTCATACGGTAACTAATGAGCGCATCCCCTCCGCATAGGTTAGATGCGCAGGGTCACGGTACATTACATACGGCATATAAAGAGCTCAGAGCTCACATCCGCCCCCCTACGTCTCTTCTACCACCGCCTCGAGCGCCCCTACACCACCCAACCGCACCCACCAGCCGGCATCACCCTGCAGTACACCGCGCAGCCGCCCTGCCTCCGACCCACATCCGCATCCCACTTCCTTACACCCCCGCCTACTCCCGCATATACCCGCCACACCTCCCCAGCACCAACCAAGCCCCCTGCGCCTTCCCCCCAACACCGGCCTACACCCCGCCTTTTACTTCCCCTCCTCCGTCCCCTGGACCTCCTCCTCCCCCCCGTCCGCTGGCCCCTGCTGCTGCTGCTGCTCCTCCTCCTTCCCCTCATTGAGCACGGTGTTGTCGATGAGCCGCACGGTGCCCCGGTCCCGCGCAGGGAACAGCGCCGCCACCGCCAGCAGCACGGGTTGCGAGGTGAGGTCGGAGACGGGGGAGAGGTGCTCCGCGTGAAGCAGCTGGGGGGGGGAGGGAGGGGGATTAAGATGAAAGGTGCAGGCGTGGGTGCATGGCCACACGGCCCACCTCCCAGGCGATAAGGGGCTCCTGAGTCAGGGAAGGGGAGCGGGCAGCAGTTCACCAGCGGGTAGGGCGCCAGCGGGAACTATACAGCACAGCTTAGCCCCCCTGCTCCTGATTCCCATCATGCAAGATGCGACACATGTGCACCATCCTCCCCCCCATCCCCCCCCCAACCCCCTCACTCCGCCCGCACCTCCACGTAGTCCACCTTGCCGCCCGCCTCCTCAATCAAGCCCCGCACGTGCGCCGCCACCGCCGCCGGCTCCGCCACCCGCCCCTCCGCCACCGCCGCCTGCGCCCAGGCCAGGCCGCGGGAGATGCACAGTGCGGCGGAGCGGGACTCGGGGGACAGCCGGGCGTTGCGGCTGCGGTTGTGTGTGGGGGGGGAGGGAGGGGGAAGGGAGGAACATTAACTGAGAAGTGAAGCAACAGAGTCCCAATCCCATATCCCAACTCATGGGAAGGAAGAGGGGTGCGTGGAGTAAGGGATTAGGGGACGGGACATAGTCCGCACGTCACGGTAGCGAGGAGGAGGAAAAGGAATGACACCTCCACACCTCCTGAAACACGCTTTGTAGGGCCTCTTTCCCGAGCCCTCCCCTCCCAGCCCCCTCTTCACCCTCCCAACCCTCCCTCCCCCCCCTCCCACCTGCTCATGGCCAGTCCGTCCGCCTCCCTGCAGATCGGCATCCCCACCACCTGCACCGCGAAGTCCAGGTCGCGCACCATGCGGCAGATCACCCGCCACTGCTGGTAGTCCTTGCGACCAAACAGCGCCACATCCGGCTCCACGATGTGGAAGAGCTTGGTCACAACGGTGCACACGCCGCGGAAGAAGTGCGGGCGCGAGCCGCCGCAGAGGGGGCGCTGCAGGCGCTCCACGGACACCCAGGTTTCATGTGCGGCGGGGTGGGCGGTCTCGCGACCCACCACGTTGCTGCCCTCGCCGCCGCCGGGGACTAGAGGGGGGAGTGAGAGAAGGGGGAGGGAGGGAGGGAGGGGGAAGGGGGGAAGGGAGGAGAGATGGGGCGGGGCGCTTGGATACAGGAGGGGAGCGGCGAGGGGTGTGGGGGGTTGGGCGCTTGTGTGTTGATTGCACCTGCTCTCAGGTTGTGCCGTTCCGTTCCCGTTTCCGCTATGCATCCTCTTGTAGAGCGCGCCTAGCTTGGCATGCGTTACGCCTTCCTCCCGTTGCCATCCCTCCCCCCTCTCCCCCTCTATCCCGCCGCCCCCCTCACCCGCCACGTACAGCGACTCCGGCTCGAACACCGCGTGGCAGCCCGCAGCGGCCAGCTTGGCGCGGTCGGCAGCCTGGGGGGGGGGAGGTGGAGGGGAGGGAGAAGAGGGCGGGAGGGGAGGAGAGGGCAGATGAGGGTTCACAGCCGCTCGGGCGCACATGAGGGTCCCCAGCACATGAGGGCACATGAGGGTTTCCAGCTGCTTTCGACACCTCCACACACGAGAGGGCCCCGCGCTGCTCTCACCACCACCACCACCACCACCACCACCACCACCACCACCACCACCACCACCACCACCACCAGCACCACCACCTCCACCAACTCCACCAACTCCATACCGTCCAACCCTCCGAACTGCGCCGGACGGTCATCGGAGTCCGACCTCCTCATCGGACGCCTCCAGCCCCTTCCCGGCTGGCCAAGGACGGCCCTCAGCAACGCATCTGCCCGGCATCTCCTCTGTCCCTCCCCTGTCCCCCGCCCCTCCTACCGCCCCCCGCTCTCACCGCATCCCGCGGGTACACGTCAAAGTCCTCATGCGCCGCGAACTGGGTGGGGTTGACGTAGATGGAGGCGACCACGATGTCAGCTCGCTCCCTGGGGCAAGGTGGGGTGGGGGGTCAGAGACCATACCAGAACCACAGGTTAGGGCGACGCAAAGGGGATAGAGCGATGGGTAAGGTGGAGGGGGTGGGAGGAAGAGGTGCCATGCGTTGAATGGTCATGTAGGGGAGGGATGGGATGGGAATAAGGCTCTCCTAAGGTGGCAGGGTAGCACAGCTAGGGTTGTAGGGTTGCATGTACTGGAGCACATGTACAGATGTCCTGGTACTGTACACATGTCACCTACTTGGCGGCCTTCACCAGCGACAGGTGGCCTTCATGCAGGTAGCCCTGCGGTGGGCGGCAGGAGGGGATGGCGTCAGGCGGGTGCAGGGACGGGAAACGGAGGGATGCAGAGGGATGTTGGAATGTACGAGAGCTGTACAGCAACCGCGACTACTTCTACCGACATTAGTCAACAGGAAAAGGTATGTGATGCATGGAAGTGCTGGGGACTTACCATGGTAGGCACAAGCGCCACTTTGCGACCAGACTTCTTTTGTTTCCGAACCCAATTGCGCATATCGGCCGCCGTCGTGAAGACAGGGAGTTCTTGTTGGTCTGCAGACATTCGTATATAATGCCTTTGGGCGCTAGCGGTGAAACAGTAACCACGGCAAGTATGATGTCCCCGATGGCAATAACAGTTCCTCACGAACGGCGGCTTTTTAAACGATGTAACAAACTTGCAAGAAGTTACAATGTATCCGTTAATGATGGTGTGCAATGAAGTCATGAGGACTATCCATAGCCAAATCTGCCGGTGTTGTCGTTGGGCCTTACACAATTACCGGTATCAGTCGCGCTCATTTGCATGGCAACCCCATTCCATGCTCTATACTTCTCGTTGTCTAATGTTTTGCGTTCGTGGGATAGGTGCATGTTCATACCGCCTTGCGGTTGGCATGTTTTAGCTTCGCAAACTAGGCAATAGGACCATCACGAATAATTAGCTAGCCATGGAGCTGTTTACATTAGCTCTAACGTACTTTGCTGCAACTGCGTTCTTTATATTCATCCTACTCTTCGGCGAATCGCCATTCTTTAAGAACACACCGGTAGCAACGCTTCACTGGCTCGTGACTTCTGGACTATGTAACAGCTTTGAGTGAGTACTATACACTGCATGAGAGCAACTGATCATTGTACCTCACCGCAGGCTTTGATCCTTTGCCCCTTTCCCAACCACTGTACGACGCCCGTCGCATCCGAAGCCTGTGTTCGCAACCCCAAGTGCCAACCTTTCCTTCCGAGCTTCCGTTCCCTACTTTCCCTTATCCTCTCCTCCTCCGAGATCGCTCTTCGCTGCTCTCCTGCTTGCCTTCCATCACAGTTTACAGGCGCATGTCCCACTTCCACTCTGCCTTCCCCTCACGCGCGTTAGTCCCCCACCGCATGCTCCCCTCTCCCTCTTCTTCTTCCCTCCCCTCCCCCTCCCCCTTATCGTCCCTCCCCTCCCCCCCCCCACCCCCCAGCTGGCTCGTGGAGCGGGTGTGCGGGCAGCGCGGCGTGCGGGCGGTGGAGGGCGCCTACTCGGTGTGCTGCGACCGACCCAACCCCGCACTGCAGGTGGGGAAAAATTATATAAAAGTGAAACAACAAATCCCAATCCCATATCCCGACTCATGCAGTGAGCGCATTCGGAAGCACTAATAACACAGGGGCGGGAGGGAAAGGAGGGAAAGGCGAGGAAGGAGGCGAGGGGAAAGGGTATTGAGGAAGAGAGGGAGGGGCTTTCGCAGGTTTGTTTTACGTGATGGGGTTCCTGTTCAAACGCGTGATCGCTTTGCGGTCTCGACACCCACCCTCCCCAATCCTGCCTTCCCTCAATCCAGCTCCTTCCCTCAAGCTGCGCCTTCCCCCGCCCCCGCTCCTCCCGCCCCCCCTCCCCCCCCAGATCGCCTACCTCGTGATGGTGCTGGGTGGGTTCGCCATGTACTGGGTGCACCTGCTCCGCCTGCTGCCCAACCCCTGGGTGGACGAGGGACACATGTGGGGCCGGGGGGGGGGGAGGGGGTTGGGGGGAGGGGTGGCGTGGCTGGGACTGCAGAGGATATAGAGTAATTGTACAACGGCGTTGGGGTTAGTTAGGGGCTCCTTTGTTAGTCCGTTAGCAATCCAGAGTGCTATTGCCGTAAAGGAGGCTCCGCCGGCAGGATGAGGCAGCGGGTCGGGGAGCGTGCAGGAGCTGAACGAGGAGTGGACGTGCCTCTCTAGCAGTGCGGGGGACCTTCTGAGACACACACCCCGCACTCAACCCCTGCCCCCTCCTCCTCCCCTACCCCTCCCCCCCCACACCCGCCCCCACCCCCCAGCCTCTCCGGCAGCGCTGCCGTGCTGACCAGCCTGGCCCTGTTCGTGGCGGCCAGCGCCTCCGACCCGGGCACCGTCACCCGCCACCCCGCCCACCTGGCCGCCTGGGGCGCGCTGTACCCGCTGGATGGCGCGCTGTTCCCGCCCAAGCACTGCCCCACATGCGACCTGCCACGACCCGCGCGGTCGAAACACTGCAGGGTGTGCAACAGGTGCGGTGGGGGTGGGGTGTGGAGGTGGGGGGTGGAGAGGGCTGGGTAGGGAGGAGCAGAGGAGCTGGTCGGGGTGTGTGTGTCTGACCTGCATGTGTGCATGTGTGCATGCGTGTTCCCCTTTCCCACGGCTGACCACATGCTCTATCCGTCTCTCGTTCCCCCCTCCTTACCACCCGCCTAACCGCTCCCTCCCCCACCCGCCCGCCCCCCCCCAGGTGTGTCGCGCGGCACGACCACCACTGCCAGTGGATCAACAATTGCGTGGGGTTCGCCAACCTGCGGCTCTTCCTCGCCTTCCTGGTCGCCAACCTCGCCATGTGCCTGTACGGCGCGGTGCTGGCGGGCCTCATCCTGGGCGGCGAGATGCAGGCGCGCGGGCTGCTGGCGGTGCAGCTGGTCAACTACCGCACCGGGCAGGTGCTGCCGCTGTGGAGGGTGCCCAGCAAGTGAGGCGGGGCGGGGGGAGGGTATGGGTGGCCAGGGGGAGGGAGAGGGGACGGCGGTGGGCGCTTTGGATTGGGGGAGTGGGTGGTAGTGCAGGAGGCGTAAGCCATGATGGCTTGGACCTGCCATGATTCCTTCTTTCCTGCCCATATGCTGGTCCTTGTCCCATACCGGTACCTGCTCCCCACCTGTCTTTGCCTTCCCTTCCCCCGCTCCCGCTTTCTCTCCCATGGCTCAATTGCATTACCACACCCATCCCTTACCCTCCTTCGTCCTCCTCCTCTTCTCCTGCCCTGTCCTCTCCTGCCCTGTCCTCCTCCTCAGGCTGCTGGAGTGGGTGGTGTACTACTACCCCCTGGGCGCCGCCCTCGCCCTCTTCCTGCTGGTTGCCGCCGCCCTGATGGCCACCTTCCTGGCCTACCAGCTCTACCTGCTGGCGGAGGGGCGCACGCAGTACGAGGTGTTCAAGGCGAGGGAGCTGCACCACTGCCTGCTGGAGCGGGCGGAGGCGGCACAGGTGGAGGAAGAGGAGGAGGAGGAGAGGAGGGCGCGGGAGGAGGAGGGGAGGGAGAAGGATGGAAGCGGTGGTGGAAGCAGCGGTGGTGATAAGAAAGGCGGGTGGCTGTGGGGACTGATGAGGTGGAGGGGTGGGCAGAAAGGGCGGCAGAGGCGGCCAAGGCGGAGGGTGGTGGTGGAGATGCCGCGCAACATCTACCACAAGGGGTTCTGGGGCAATGCATGGGAGGTGTTGTTGCCGGAGTATACCTTCTTCATGGCGACCAGGGCGGCGCAGAAGGCGGCAGCAGCAGCGGAGGCAGGGGCGGGGGCAGCGGGGGGCAAGGCTAGGAGTGGTGAAAAGAGGAGTGAGCAGGGGAGGCAGGGGAAGAAGGTACGGTAGAGTGGCTAGAGCAGGCGGAGGCCTCCTAGGAGTGTTGCGTAGGAGGAGCAGCACTGAGGCTATAGGCATTGTGGCGATCCTTGTTCGGGTTACCGTAGTGCAGAAAATGTGGATACGAGGAAGTCCGTTCGTAGAGACGGTATCATGCCACGGTATCTTGCAGGTCGCCTGCTTAACTCCCTACGCTTACATGCTGCACGCTGTGTCACCGACAAGCTAAGTAGCTAAGAGCCCGCTACAGCCTCCGACTCAGCCACTGGAACCTAGCGGCCCTAATGACCCCTCTGCCGTACGTAGCATATTGTAATGGTTATAGCGGCCCTTACCACTGCCGTCATATTTTATGTAACATACTGCGTAACGGCCCTTACCGCTTCCGCCCGCACGTTCCAGAGCGCAGACACGTTCCCTCTTGGGAAACGGAGAGCAGGCACACGGCTACAAACACATGAGAAGGACTGTGCCCCTTTGCGGGACAAGCCAACCCGTTTTGCACCTCCGTCAGTCACGTTGTGCTTTAACCTTAACCTTACCCAGCCCTATTACAGGTTATTACGCCTCCTGCCTTTACTGGCGGTGTACCCCCCACCCCACCCCACACACACCCCACAATCACAGTATGTTCCTACTCGCGGCCAGTTTTCTTAACACACCGGTTCGGCCCCGCTCGCAGCTCATGCACCCCCCAACCCCTGCCCCCGCCACCCCTGTCACCACCACCACCACACCCTCATAAGCCTGGACGAAGCCTGCAACACATGCAGCGGCACACGCTGTACAGTACACGCTTTGTTGCCCCTTGGCAGCCCATCACCCATGCCACAGCCTCTGACGGCTGACCTCCCCCACTCGAGTGCACGGCAGCCAGCCGCTACGACACGGCCCTCCGCACCTCCGCCGTCAAGACACCCCTCAGACAGCTCACCCAGACACCCCCACTCCGCCACCTTCCACCGGCACCGCCGCTACACCAGCACCACCACCAGTACCACCAGCACCACCACCACCACCTTCCAACCCCGCCACCACCGCCGCCGCCGTCGACACCACATCAGCCACCGCTGCCGCCGCTGCCACCACCGGTGCCTCCGTCGCAGCCGCCGCCGCCGTCACCTCCACCTGGGTCGCTGCTGCGGCAGCTGCACCACCCAGTGGACCCCCCTTGCTACCCCCATTCTTCTTGTCCGGCTGCAGCAACTGCTGCCGCTGCCGCTGCGTCTGCTGCTGCTTGGGAGGTTGCTGCTGTCGAGTCAGGCGCTCCACCCCCGGCGCCCAGGGCATGCAGAGGCGGCGCAGCAGTCCGCGGCTGACGGGCGGCTCGGGGCCCGTGAACCAGCACTGCTGGGTGAGGGTGGGGATGCTGCCCCAGCGCCCTGGGGGGGCGCAGGGTGGGCGGGAGGCGGAGGTGAGCGGGGCATGTGAAGGGCAGACGTGTGAAGAGGAAGGCATGTAAGGAGTAACGCGCAGTAGTAACTGGTAACACTACTGTTCCTTCAACCCAGTCCCAAGAGTCCGACCACACTCTCGCACACAGCCATTCTCACTAACAGGTTATGAGCCTGTTAGTGAGAATGGGCTCATAACCTGTTAGTGAGAATGGCTGTGTGCGAGAGTGTGGTCGGACTCTTGGGACTGGGTTGAAGGAACAGTAGTGTTACCGGTTACTACTGATTGCCACAATCATAGGCAGCTCTCTGCTTGGAGCCCTTGCAACTACTGACAAGGCAAAGCGCGGGACCAAAAGTACCTGAGCCACATAAGTCCAATGCCTCATGCGTCAACTGTACGACCACTGCATAACGAACCAACCAACGGACTAACCGTCCGACTCTTACAACTCAACGTAGCCAGGTGTGGCAGATGCAAGAACAAGCAAGAGACAGAGGTGGAGTCGCGGGGGCCGGCTCGTAAGTGTATCCTTCTGGAGATCTGGCGAGATGTGTCGTACGGCTGCTTGCGCACTCCGCTCACCCACCTTGGTATCTCTGCCAGAGGGAGGTGTCGTGCACCACCTGGGGTAGCGGGTAGCAGGAGCCAGCAGCCCCTCCTGCTGCCCCTCCTGCTGCTGCTGCCAGAGGATGCTGCGCACCCGCTACCGTTGTTACCACCACAGATGAACCCGCATCCGCTGCTACCGTCGCCGCTGCCCCCATCCCGCTCCCCTCTGTCTCAGGTGCAGACCTGACCTCCGCCGCTGCCCTCCTCCGCCACGTCAGCACGCCTCCCTTGGCGGCAGCGGCCGCCATGCACCTCCCCAGCCGTGACGCCGCGCCCGCAGCCGCCCTCGCCGCACCGGCCGCCTGCGCTGCTGCCTCACTGGCTGCCCTTGCTGCCGCTGCCGCAGTTGCATTCCTGGGAGGTACCACGGAGCTGCTCTTGTTGCTGCTGCTGCCGTGGGTCGGGGGTGGAGGCAGCAGCCGATGGACACCGTCGCTGCTGGCAAGCTCGTCAGGGTGGTCGGCAAAAGTGGCACCTTGGCCCGCGGGTGCCTGGGACCGCGGCGACCCCCCGGTGGGACTCCCCCCCGGCTGGGAGGTGGAGGTGGGCCCGGGGTGGGGCGCCAGGTGCGGCAGGCTGCAGCCGCGGGAGAGCACGAGGGGACAGGATGACCCATGGGTCTGCAGGGTCGCCGGCATGGGTGAGCGGAGGTAGAGGATAAGAGGGAAGGATTTAGAGAGAAGTAAACGATAGAATAGCAACTGTGAACGTCATGCAGATGCAATCTTGACCCCCCACCCACCCAGCCCCCCCCCCCACGGGATTGGGACTCGTTGTTTCACATATTTAATTTTTTCCCCCCACCAGTCCGGCCAGGCGCAGCAGCCTGCGCGGGCTCCACACGGGTCCCCTCCGCGAGGTGCGGTCGTTGGCCACCAGGAACAGGCGCGGGATGGTGCCGCACTGCGGGCAGGAGAGGGGGGGAGCGAGGGAGGGGCAGGCGGGGAGTGAGGGACGCTACGTACTGAGAGCAGGGGGGGGGTACGGTACGGAAAGGGGAGGCAAGGGGAGGAGGCAGGTGGTGGTGTGCTACGCTAGGCGAGGAGGGAGACTCAGCTAGGATAAGTAGTTGCGTGCACGCCTAATAAGGTGTGCCTGGACCAGGTAGTTGTGGGTGTGGGTGGAAAGGCGGCGCCGCACGCGCCCTACTACGCCAGGCAGGGACGAGGGGAGCGCACCCCTCTCCACCGCTCCCACGCAACCCGCTGTCACCTTTCAACCCCTCCCACGGCCCCGAGACCCAGTTTGCGCTCTTCCCCTCCCCCCCACCCTCACATGCGGGTAGATGCCATGTCCGTTTATGGCCACATGTCCCACGATGCGGCCGCAGGGGGTGCGGGGCACCTGGGCGGCGGGCACCCACTCGCCCTCTATGTTGCGGTGCGCGTTGTACCACACACCCTGGGGGGGAGAGGAGGAGGAGGGGAAGGAGGAGGAGGGGGAGGGGGAGGGGAGGAGGAGGTGGGAGGGGGAAGAAGGATACCCAATATGTTGTGCGGCAGTGGTAAAGCCCTGGAGGAAACATATGCTGTGAGCTCATGCAGGGCTTGACACCCGCCCCCGCCCCCGCACCTGCAGCTGCAGTGAGGCCGCATGCAGCCGCACCGTCAGGTGCTCCCAGTCTGCACTCGAGGAGGGGGGGAAAGGGGGGAGGCGAGGAGTGGAGGTGGAGGAGGAGAGCGGCTTGGGATCTGGGTTATGAGAGCGGAAGCGCGATAACGGCGGCGAGGAACAGCCGCATGGGGACGCACGTACCCCCCGCCCCCCCAACCTCCTTTCCTCCCCTCACCTCCCACATGGTGTCCTGCTCGGAACAGCGGCAGCCCCCCCGGCAGGTCGTAGTGGCCGTTGAAGGCGTAGAAGGTGGCGTAGTTGAGCTCGTACGCCTCCGGGGCGCCGTACTCGTCAACCACCAGCTGCGGGGGGGGGAGCGGGAGAGGGAGGAGGAGGATGTCAGGGGGAAAGCACCGCGAGTGAAACCGGGAGGCGTGATATACCGAGTTGCAGTAGCTGATGTGGCGGGTGTTGGGCGGGGAGTGGCGCTAGGCTGCTTGCTGGCCTCCTACCGACGTAGATCCATGGACAGGAAGGCGGTAGACGGTGTACGACAATGTCGCTCAACCCAACTGCCAACCGCTGTTCCTAGTCATCCCAGGCGAGCAACCGTACCTTTGTGTGCACGTAGATGGGCACATCGCTAAGGCTCTCCGCGGGGCACCCGCCATAGTGCTCCGGTGCAACTGTGAGGCTGAGATTGCCAGGAAGGGCAGTTTTCGACTGGATGTCTGCGGACACAGACCACCTAATTTCTTAACATATGGCTCATTATATGGTTTCCATTCGGCGGGAATTTGCTAAAACAGGGGAGAGCGTCATACATGACACTAATTTTGTTCAAAGGGTGGTTGAATGGGCGCACCTAGCAAGTTCTCCTGGGAGACGCTCCCGGCAGCTATTAGTGTGATGACGCCACCAGGAACCTGGTCAAGCTCTAAAAGCTCCGCTGTGCCTGTTATGCCTTGCGGGTAGTAGTTGAGCTGCGCTCGCTCTATGAACCACTCCACTGGCACCGGAAGATAAGCATCATCATGATGAAGAAACAATACAGGGCAAAATGCAGCTAAGACCTCGTCCGGAAGTGCAGGAGCGGTGTCAGCTGTCATATAGGTGTTGCAAAAATACGGTAGATATCACAGAAAATAATGCTTAGTAATATATTTGGGCTACGTTGCTTTGTATGCCAGACAGTGACGACGAGTCTTGGGCGGTAAAGTAGGCGCCTGACCGTTCACATTGGTGGCACCGCATGCATGGCCGATTCCTCGCGCAACGTTTCTTACTGCAAAGTGTGTACACGATGTTAATTTCCTACTGTGAAGACACATACGGCTTGAAGTGCTGTTGAGGTGTTGTAATCAGGAAAGGGAATGTGGGTTACAGCTGATGTGGACCGGCTCTCTCTCCGCCTCTGCCACAACAAGGCGGTAGCTGCTAAGTTGTCGCATTGCGTCGCATGTACGGTATGGGGTGGCGACTGAGTGCAAGTTCAACAGCGCGCTGCAACGATGCGCTATGCCTAAAGAGGTGGAAGGGTAGCCGCGCCTGCGCCTGTGCGACGTTAGTTGAACAAACCGTGCCTTTTATTTGGCATTCTAAACTGTGCCCGGGTTACCAAAGTTCCCGCGAGCAGGAAGGTAGGACCACTATTGCCATCTAACTCCACTCTTCGATGGGGACATGGACAGCCACACGAACAGCCACCTCTTCTCAACCCCCAAGCAATGAAAGCCAAGCCCTCCCTCTCTATACTTCTCCCGCGTTTCTGTGCTCTCAACCCGACCCACCAACCTTTTCACGATGCGTTTTGCGTACGCCCGTTCGTGTAGAGCTCTGCATGCCTGTTGGTGATGCGTGCATGTCTTGTGGTTTGCTTGGGTGGGTCTTCCTCGCATGGCATGCCGGCTCCCTCGCAAGGCAGAGGGGGGCGCCTCGGAAGGCGGCTGCGCGGGAGCATGGAAGGGTTGAGTGGGATATGCATGCGGTGCCTCACGCATTGGTTTTCCTCGTATGCTGCGACCCACGGGTCTGGTTTTGCGAGGTTGTGCCTGAAGGTATTGATAATTTTGTTATTGGTGACTACCAATCATACTTTTGGTATAATGAAGACTACCGTCTTCATAATGAAGATATAATGGTATAATGAAGATTACCGCAGAGTTGTTGTGGGTGTAGGTCATTTTGCAATTACATAGCCGCTGGATACTCCTGGGATACTTGCAAGATATAAGATGCTTTCCTCCCTCCCCTCCTTGCTCAGGAGGGGAGGGTACCCTCCGTGCGCCTTCTATGCATGACATGTGGTGCATGAAATAGTACTATTACTCAGCTAAATCAGCAGCCTCGCTGGGCCTCGTGACATAAAGCCGCCGCAGTTCAATTGTACGTTAAACCGGGACACAACTTCAAAAGTACCAGGCTTCCCCACAAAGTACTCCTCCTTAGGCTTGCGAACCCTTTCCTGTTAAGTCCTAATCCACAAGGTTCATATGAAGAAGACCGTTATTAGGCGTATAAGCCGAGGTGAAGGTGAGTTGTACGACAAGTAGTTCAAAACTCTAGTAGAACGTAGCGGAAACGACGCAACGGAGGAGGAGATTATTGATAAGGAATTACGCATAAACGAGGCATGCTCGTTACATTTTAGCGTCCCTTGGAACCACTTTACCAAAACGCCTCAATCACCACTAACAGTGACGCCCAATCCGAATCAGGCAGCCCGTAGGGATTAGCCCTTCGCAGCAGGCACGCAGTTCCCGCCCCTTCCCTAAAATCGTGAGCTACCCGGCACCCCAACATGCTCATAGAGCGTCCGTGAGTCTTCGAGATGCCCCATACATGCTGTGCCTTGGCGTCTACCGGTAAGTACAGGGTACGACAACATCCCGAGGACCAGCAGCTCCAATCATCATCAGGCGCTTTTATTCCAACCTGCAACAGACCCATGGGTCGTTCATCGCTTTCCAGACCACAACGATAGTAGACAACCGCGAATCCGAAACAATTGGTTAACAACGTCCTACGATCCATACCAGCTTTCTTCCTTCGCCGACCAATAGTGGCGCACATGCACCATACCAGCATACGCCCACCCCTGCATAGCCTGCAACCCACATCCCTCCGGTTCCCCCGCATTCCCTTTCCAAGCTGGGGCCCTCTTGAGGGGCCGGGAGGCCTTTACGCATCCCGCTGCTGACGCTCCTGCATTTCACACTCCACGAGGTATAGCCCCTCCCGTCTTTCTCCCTCTCCCCTCCGTAGCACCCCCTCCCTCCCTGTCGCCCTCCCTCCCCACACGCACGTCACCATCAGTCCTGCTGCAGGTAGAGCTTCAGTGTGATGATCTGGAAGGGCTCGTACGACACATCCACCGACCCGCCCGCATCACCCCGGCTGCTGCTGCTGCCACCACCACTGCCACCTGGTACTCCTGCTCCTGCACCCTCCGCACCACCACCACCCACCAAGCCGGCCACCCCCCTCCCCTCCCTTCCCTCCACCTCCTGCGTGTCCCGCTCCAGCAGGTCGCAGCGGGTCACATGCGACACCCGCAGCCAGCCAGCCCACCGCAGCCGGGCTACACCCCGGGCGCCGTGGGGCTCGTACAGCCGGACGATGAGCGCCTGGGGCCGCTGCGGCTGGGGGGGCTGCATGGACAGCGTGTGTCGTACCCCTGCTGTCGTACCCTGCTCCTGCCCTACCGGCCCCCCTGGGTGGCGGTGGAGCTGCTCCAGGGGCGGCTCGGGCAGCTTGAGGGTGTCCAGGATGAGGGGCGGTGCGGACAGGCCGGAAGAGGCGGCGGGGGAGAGGCCGGAGTGCAGGGGGCTGGGGCGGGCGGGGGTGACCTGCGGGGATACGGTAGTAGGGATGGGTGGGTGTGGAGGGGGTCAGAGAGAAGTCTAGTCTACCGAAACGGTGCGACATGCGCTTGCTTGGGAAGAACGGGGAATGCATTACATTGCATAAGCGTTCCGTTGACCCCCCCTCCCCCCACCCCCACTCCTGCCCGCTGCCCGCTGCTGCCCACACCCACCCCCACCCACCCACCCACCCACCCACACCCACCGTAAACATCGGTTGGGAGGGGTTGTACCCGCGCAACGCCGCCGCCGCCTGCCGCCGCTGTTGGGCCTGCTGCTGCCGCTGCGAGGGCTGCTGCCCCGCCGCCACCAGCCTCAGCGGTGCGTTGAAGGCCCAGCCGTGCGCCGCCACCCCCGCCGCCCCCCAGTCTGCTGCATGCGGCAGCAGGGCGAAGCGCATGCGGTGCTCACCCAGGTCGGTGTGTGCATCGGGGGCCTTGGGGGACCTGGGGGTGGGGGGTGGGGAGGGGAGGGGGTAATGTATAGCGGTTATACTCGGCGGCTTACTCGGGGCGGGCAGGAGTGGGAGGGACGGGGGAAGGAGGGAGGAGGAAGGGCGAGGCAGGGACACTTGAGCGAAGCAACGAGGTGTGGCAAGGAGGACGAACAGCGCTCGGAGCTTTGGGGCTTTGGGGAAGGGAGCAAAGGACAGTCTTGCAGCGGCGCCGGTTCCAAGCAATCCGGACGGGGCGGGAGGATGTCGGCTCTACATACATACTGGCCCCACAGCGGAGCAGCAGCCTCCGAAGTCCTAACCCGCCCCCTGCCCCCCTCCGCCCCCCCGGCCCCCCCTACACACACCTTAGCAGCGTGAGCCGCATGACGTTGCCGTGGGTGGCGTGTCCGTACTTGCAGTCATTCAACAACGCCACACCGTAACCCGGCTCTCCCAGGTCAGCCCACCTATGGGGGCGAGTAGGGAGTGGGTTAGGAGGAAGAAAGTAACGAGCTGTATGACCAGGGAGGGGAGGAAGTGGAGGCTGGGGGCAGCAGGGAAACCGGACGGCCGCATAACCGCACTCGAGGAGTGCTTTACATTCCTACGCTCGCCCTATCCCAGCTCTTCTAAACCCTCGCACCCCTTCCGCCTCCTTCCCTCTCACTTCGTCTTCAATAACCACCTCCCCCCACCACTTGACACCTCCCCCCCCACACACACCCACTTGTGCGCCACCACCTCGAACCTCGCCCAGTCCCAGGAGGTGTTCGTGTGGGTGGGCCGCCGTACCGCGCCGTACTGCACCTCGTAGGTGGCCTCGCTGGCCGCCAGCAGCAGCGGGAACTCCACCTTGAGGGCGGTGCGGCTCTCCTGCCAGAAGATGTGGGCGTGGAAGTCGAGTCTGGAGGGGGGCAGGGAGGGGGAGGGAGAGGGGGTTGTTGCGGGTTTGGGTGTTGCTGGTTTGGCAGGGGTGGGTAGTTGAGCGGAAACAAGAGCAAGCAGTTGGGATAGGTTCGCATGTGAACCGCAAGTACAAGCCAAACAGAGGTAACCAAACCTGAACCGTAACTCAAAAACTGCTTAGATAGCTGGTGCTGGATGTAGGAAGAGGTGGGTATGTAGGGGTCTAGGAGGCACGTCGCCAGTGCGGGCTGTGCTTCCTAGCTGCCGGTACCCGGGTTGCTTGGGGTTGGTAACTCAGCATGCAGCCGCCATGCACCTTCCCTCTCCACCTTCCCTCAGCCTTTCTTCGCGGGTAGTTCCTTTACTCCCCTACCACCCACCCAACCCCGTCCCCCCCTCACCTCCTGCTGACCGCTGTCATGCTGACCGTCTGTCTGAGGCGCGAGGTGGGGCTGAGGGGCAGCTCCAGCAGCAGCGAGCAGCGCAGCGGGCCGCTCTCCTGGATGGAGAGCTGGGGGAGGGGAGGTGAAGGTGGGCAGGGAGAGGTGGGGAGGGATTAATAGGGATACATATTCCGCATTAGGCTGGATTACAGGGGTAGGGAGAGGTAGAGGCGTAGGGTGGGTAGTTCAACGCACCGGACTAACAAGTGCAAGTAACGGTACTGGGAGCCCCAAGAGGGGTACCAGGAGGGGCAAAAACGAGGAAACTCAAGAGCGTGTGAGGTGTGACGAGGCTTCACCATGGATTGCTACATTGGACCCGGGGGGGGGGGAGGGCCCTAAGGCGCTCGCATGCAGGACAGGCTGCCGGACGTGTGGAAGCTGTGCAGCACTGCAATGGCACTACGTGTTGCGTGGCGCCGTACCTGTGGCGGCGGCATGCCGTGACCCGCGGGTCGGCCCTTCTCCAGGTGGTAGATCTGCACACATGGCAACAGCAGATGGAGGGAGGGGATGGCCCGGGATGAGAAGGAGGATAGGAGGGAGGGCGAGGGTGTGAGTGAGGACGAGGACGTGTCAAGGTTTGTGAACAGAGCGGGCAGAAAGGTGTGGGGGAGCAGGGGGACCGATTGCCGAGGAGACGTAGTACTTATACTGCTCCGCCTTCCCTCCTCGAACACAAGGTGAGCACTTCCCCCCGCCCGCGCTCGCGCCCACCTCAATGTCCCATGCGTCCCAGAACAGCGGTATATCCTCGTACATCCTGGGGGGGGGAAGAGGGGGGCAAGTGGTGGTGGGGGGGGGGGCAGGTCGGGGGGAGGGGCAGGTGCAGGCGAGGGGGGAGGGGCAGTAGGGGGGACCAAGCAAGCAAGATTAAGAAGCAGGAAGGAAGCAGGAGTAGCGGTGCAGGTGCAGGTGCAGGAGCATAGCCTGCTAACCAGTCACGGAGCCACCCCCTGTCTGAGGCCCTCTGAATTCCCGCCAGTGCCCCCTTCCTATTATTTAGCCGTACGCCTTCCCTCACTTGGTTTTTGGACACACACACCTACACCACTTCATCTTCCGGCAATCACAGTACGTCCCGACTCGCGGCCAGTTCTATCAACACCCCCACCCCCACCTGAACACGTTCCCCGGCTGCCCCTCCGGCACCAGCTCCCGCTGCCAACCCAGGTCGTACAGACTCACCAGCCGCCCGCCCTCGTCGAACACAGCACGCACCTGCGCCAGCGGGGGGGGGGGGGGCGGCAGCAGCAGCAGCAGTGGGGTGAGCAGCAGGGTGGCGGGATGGTGAAGGGGAATGGCGAACGGAATGGAGGAGGAGGAGGAGGGGGAGGGTTTCGTGCAGGCGGCGGCGCCAAAGAAACAAAAAGGGCCGGGGATCCCTGCCTGTCACAACGCGGCTATCACGCTGTGCAGCTGGCAGTGTGCAGGGAGGCTCTAGCCGCGGCGTTACGGCAACAAGCGTCATCCGCAGGACTAGAGGGGGCGCAGGCCTTCCAGCCACACGTGGTATGTGCAAGCTTGGTAGCATGGTAATTTATTTCACGCCGACTTCGCTTGCATACGTCCCTTCTCCCACCCCTTACCCCGCCCGCCCGCCCACCTTTCCCGCCCCCTCCCCCCTCACCATGTTGTTTTGCATGACGTACACAAAACCCTCTCCCGCACCCGCACTGCCCCCTGGGTGCTGTGCGGCGCCACCCGCACCACCCCGCGACAGTGCGGCGCGGGTGGTGCGATAGCAGGTAGCGCCGCCGCCGCCGCCAGCGACCCATGGGTCATCCTTGCGCCCATGGGGCGATGATGCCGCCTTCTTTTCCGGCGCTGCCGCTGCAGCTTGCAGATTCAGCCGACGTAGGCCCCCCTCCACCTCCACCTCCGCAGCAGCAGCAGCAGCACCATGAGCATCAGAGCAGGAGCCGGCGGCCCCAAGCCCAGCAGCAAGCTCCTCCGCCGCCGCCGCAGTCGCCCCCGCCTCCACCTCCTCCGCCCACACCGGCGTGAGGCTCAGAGGCGGCGCCTTCACCACCACCAGCGCTGCCGTACCGTCAGAGGTCCTCTGCCGTACATTTGCACCTCCTCCTCCCCCTCCTCCTGCCGTACGAAGCAGCAGCAGCTCTGCGGGAACCTCCATCACCTCCAGCCGCGGGAAGGAAAGGCTGTTAAACACCCAGGCAACGGGTGCCGTAGCTGCTGCCGTACCTGCTGCTGCCGTACCTGCGGCTGCTGCCGTACTGGTAGGTGCTGGCTGTACGGAAGACAATCTGTTGCCCGGCGCTGCTGCTGCTGCTGCTGCTGCTGCAGTCGGCGTTGATGCCGCGCTATCCACCACTAGCAACCTAGCTCCGGCCACATCCGCAATACCCAGGCTGAGGGGGTTGCTCGGGTAGCTGCGGGTGTGGCCTTGGGATGGTAGGTGGGTGGTGGGGGCGGTGGAGATAGCCGAGGCGGTGGCGGTGGCGGTGGAGGTGGCGGAGGTGGAGGAGGAATGTGGCGGTGGGGGTGGTGGCGGTGGTGGGGGGGCAGCAGCAATGAGCGCTGCGAGCGCCTCGTCCCTGATGCGAGTTAGGGACTGCAGCATCTGGGGGTACCTGGGAGGATGGAGGGAGGTGGGTGGAGGGGTGGCGGGGAAGAGGGGCAACAGCGGCGGCATTACAAGAGCTGGTAAGCGACTCTCTTTGCTTGCGCAGCTGCTACATATCTGCTGCCACTGCCGCTGTCGTCACCAGCGCGCCCCAATGACTTGCGCCCATGCAACATGTAACGCTGGGAGTGCTGAGTGAGGGATGATTTGTGTGGCACCCATGTGAGCAGGGGCACCCATCCTGGCCCCTCCTGCCCTGCCGCCCCCACCCCACCTCTGCGCCGTGACTTGGTACACCCTCTCGATGGCACTCCCCGGCAGCACATCGTGGAACTGGAACAGCAGCACGTCCTTCCAAATGGCGTCTAGCTCGGATCTGGTTGGTGGTGGGGAGGAGGAGGGTAAAATAAAGGAAAGGGGTGGGGGGGTGAGGGGGGTTATGAGGCAGGGGCAAGGCGGGGTGAGGCGGGGGGTGACATGGTGGCGAACGGGTGGTGTGAGGTAGCGGTGCAAGCCCCTGAGGTAGCGCTCTGTTTACCCCTCTCCTCACAACCTTCACACACGCAGCAAGAAGTGCATCCCCTACCCCCACCCAGCCAACCACCCAGCCCGCACCTGGGGTAGGTGTACCCCCCCTCCCCGCCCTCCCCCAGCGCCGCTGCCGCCGCCGCCCCCGCCGCCTCCGCCTCCCGCAGTAGCACCTCGCAGCCCCGGTTGTCCGCCTTGTTGGCCGCGTGGCTGGTGTAGGTACCGCGGTGCAGCTCGAAATACAACTCACCGCGCCTGGGGGGGGGGGGGGCGGGGGGGGGGGAGGGGGGAGGGGGGTTACGGGCTTGGGAGTGCACGGGGGAAGCGGTGTACGGCATGCATCGCAATGCCGGTACAGTGCTCAACCCCTGCCTTATGTGCGCCCCCCCGACCCCTCCCCGCCCCGTCCCTACCCCCATCCCTCAATCTACAACTCCAGCAAGCCCCGTTCGCTCCCCCCTTTCCCTTCTGGCTGACCCTATACCGTACACATTAACCCTCCCCCTGACCCCTCCCTCCCCCCTCCTCCCCCACACACCACGTCAGCAGGTCCCGCGCCCCCGCCTCCAGCCGCCTGAAGAACTCCCCGGGCGCCACCACCCCCGCACTCGCCACCCCCCGGCACCCCGCAAGCCGCGCCAGGCTCTCGCACATGTCGGGGGTGGGGCCGCCGCCGCCGTCTCCGTTGCCGTACAACATGTAGGCGGCGGGGGCGCGGTCCTTGTCCTTGGAGGCTGAGGCAGTGAGGAGCAGGTCGTGGGCGTCAGCCTGGGGGGGGGGGAGAGGGGGGGGGGGTTAAGGACCATAGCAAACCATAGGAAACCATAGCCGCCGTGCTGGGCGGGCACGGGGAGGGCGAAGGCGTCATCACTGACGGTCCCCTTTACCTCCTCTGTCGCCACCGCCGTCAGTGATGACGCCTTCGCCCTCCCCGTGCCCGCCCTAGGAGGGAGGGAAGGAGGGAGGGGTGGGTGGGTTTCTTCCTCCTCTCAACCCCCACCCCCACCCCCTACCTGCGCATTGTATGTGTTTGCGGGCGGGAAATGTGTGAGCAGCTGCGAGCCGTCCAGCCCCTCCCACAGAAAGGTGGAGTGCGGGAAGGTGTTGATGTTGTTCCAGCTGAGCTTCTGAGTCAGGAAGTAGCGGATACCTGGGGCAGTGAGATGGGGGGAGGAGGGGTGCCTGAGGGGTTACGAGTGGATACCGTATTGCCCTAAATTTAATAGACAAAAATAAAATGTTTTGGGTTTCGTCAAATGGGGCAAAAATTTTTTTTGCCATGTCAAATGGGGCTGGAAATTCGCTGGCAAGGTGTCAAATGGGGGCAAAATATTCCGCCTGGGGTGACTGCAGGGTAACTAAGATGGAAACGGAGAGGTAGGGGGCAACTGACTTGCCAGTGCGCTGGATCCTCACCGCGCCATGCCCAGTCGGTGTTCCACTTATCCTCCTAGGGCTGCACAGCGGCAAACAGCTGAACAGCTCCTTTCCTTACCATGTTACATCCAACACGTACGGCGGCTTTTGGGGCGTTTTGGCGCATGTAAAATGGGGCTAGAAATTCACCATCAGGAAGTCAAATGGGGCATAAATTATTCCCGCTTTGTCAAATGGGGCTGGAAAATAGGCCTCCAAACGCATGTCAATAAAATTTTGGGCAATACGGTATGGAGCAAAAGCATGCTCTTTCCAGCGCCCACCACAACACACACGCGTAATCCGTAAGGGGGAGACTCTCCAACACCACCACCACCACCACCACCGTAGACGGGTTAGGAAGGTTTGCTTCCCGCTCCCCTCCCTCATACTTCCTTTCATACCTCCCCACCCCCCCCCCCCTCTCCCCCCACCTGCCCCCCGTGCGATCTGAGGCAGCTGTCCGCAGTACCCGAACGTGTCGGGCAACCAAAACACATCGCACAGCGCCCCGAAGTGCGCAGCGAAGTAGCGCTGGCCGTACAGGAACTGCCGTACCAGCGACTCCCCCCCCGGCAGGTTGGTGTCCATTTCCACCCAGGAGCCTGGGGGGGGCGGGGGAGGTGAGGAGGTGAGTGGCATGCAGAGGAATGCTGTGCCACAGTTTGCAGGAAGCGCCCCTCGCTCTCGTGTGAATCCTCCTCGACCCTTCCTTCCTTCCCCTCCATGCCTCGCTCCTCAGCACCCCCCCTCCCCGCCCCGCTCCCCCCCCCGCCCCCCTCCCTCACCCCCAACCGGCACGAAGCTCCCGCGCCCCGCCGCCTGCCGTACTTCCTCGAACAGCCCCGGGTAGTCGGCCTGCAGCCACTCGTACTGCTGGGCCTGGGGGAGGGGGGGAAGGGGAGAGGGGGGGGAAGTGTGGGCGCCAGGGGGAGGGAGACGTACACACCGAGGAGGAAGCTCGCACGCGGAGGGTTTCGGTCGCAAGCAGGAAAGAGGTGACAGCTCATTCCCCAATTCCCATTCCCCCCTCCCACCCTCCCCACCCCTCCCCCTCCCCTCCTCCTACCGACGAGGCCGTGAACACGTGCCATGGGAAGCGCTCGGTCAGCCTCAGCTGCGCGCTCCAGCTGCGGGCGGTCTTGCGGCGTGTCTCGGAGAAGGGCCACAGCCAGGCGGTGTCGATGTGGCAGTGCCCCACCGCGTGCACCTGGAAAGGGGGGGGGGTAAGTAGGGATACATGCTCCGCATTTGGGCGAAATATGGAATTGTGTGAAGGTAGTCATACTTGTTGGGGTCGTAGCAACAACCATAAAGTACAAACCATTCCTCCCACGTCCCCCCCCCCACCTGCAGCCGCTGCCCCGGGTCGCGCACCCCTAGCACCCCCGCAGCCAGGGCCCGGCAGGAGTCGAGGGAGGCGGGGTCGTCGGGGCGGTAGGTGTTCAGGATCTGAGGGGGGGGGAGGGGAAAGAAGAATTCCAATGAAGGGAGGGAGAGGAGGGGGTTAATTTGGAGACAGAATCCGCATTAAGCTGGAGAGGAGGGGGGGGAGAGGTGAGGGAAGGGCAAAGTGTGAAGGGATTGCAACCCGCATAGGACTGGGGGGGGCGGGAGGGGGGGCACGAGGCAGGTGGCAGCGCTTCAGGTGGGACGGCACGAGGCAAGCTAGTGCACAGCAGGCGCCCCTGCAGTCGCACCACCAACACCGCCACCCCCCACCCCACCTTCGGGCTGGGCGCGTCGGGCTGGCTCACATGTTGCAAACCATGATGGTTACGCCTTGTATCACACCGTCAGTTAGTTGTTTCCTCTTTAAACCCCACCCACCACCACCCACCTTGTTCGCGGTGTACAGCGCCGCCTCCCCGGTTGCATCCCCCGCCGGCAGCTCCCGTGCGAGACCGGCTAGGGCGCGCAGGTCGTGGAAGAGGGCGGTGGCGGGCAGGTGCGGCAGCGCCAGCTCGGCCTGGGGGCAGCGGGGGGGCCAGGCGGCGTGCAGCGGGTTTCCTGCTGCTGTTGGCTAGGGTGCTTGCAGCCCTAGCGGGGAGAGGGGATTAGGTAAGCTGAGCCGCGGAAACACTGACCCTGACCGGAGAGGGGAGAGGGGAGAAGGTGTGTGCTCGAAGGGGGGTTAAAGACCATACCGAACCACAGGAAACCAGGGGGGGCGCCACCCCAGCCACCTCACACCCTACACCGCATTGCAGCAGCCTTTCTCTTCTCAAGGCTGCCACCTCGCACTGCTGCAACGGCGCGAGTCAGTGCGAGGCAGTGTGAGGTGCCGAGAGGTGTGTGTACTGCAGGCCACCGGTGCCCCAAACCCCACCATTGACACGCATGCTGCTGGGGGGGGGGAAACGTGCGGGGGAGGGGAGCAGGGACGGCAGGGAGGCTGGCCGACCGCACCGTTTTGAGGGTGAAGTAGCGGTTCTCATCGGGTGGTTGGATATCGGTACCGTTACCGAACATTCCGTTAGCCGCCATCTCCACGTAGAACAACAGCTCCTGGGGGGGAGGGGGGGGACGGGGTGGTGGTGGTGGTGGTGGTGGGGAGGGGGGAGAGGGGAGAGGTTGGCGGAAGAGCTGGAAGAGAAAGAAAAGGGGTGAGCAGGGGCGCATGCGCATACCAATGCAGAACCAGCCCCTTCCATTAGGGAAGGGGGCTGCCCGGCTAGTGGCCCCAAGTCACGCACGCCAAACATGCCAAGCAGTGCAACCTGCTCTAATCCCCGAAACCCTAGCTCCCCCCCCCTTCACCTTCCCCCCCTTCCCCCCCCTCACCTTCCCCCCCTCCGCCACCTCCGCCAGCACGTACTCGTTGCGCTGGTCAGTCAGCCCCTGCCGCGGGGTGGGGCCCCGGTACAACATGGCCTCGGAGCCGCTGTCCCACCTGACCGGGGGGGGGGGAGGGGGAGGGAGGGGGTGTTTAGGACGCTGGCGGGTATGGCACGGCGGGTGTGTACGGCAGCAGCGGTGGCAGAGGTATCAGCCAGGGTGTGTCAGCGGCGGTCAAGGAAAGTACGGCTAGCAGACGGGGCAGCGGCGCTCCCACGCCCTCGCCTGGGCAACCACCACTCCATGCCCGACCCGCACCACCCAGCATGATGCATGAGACCCCTCCTCCTCCCTTCCTCCTTTCCTCTTCCCAATGCTTTGCCCCTCTCCCCAGTGCTACCTCCTCCCCCCCCACCTGAACATGAGCGGCCCCCTGCCCCCCCACTCCGCCGGCACCGCCACCCGCACTCGAAACCAGTGGGTGGTCCAGGAGGGGCCGAACTGCTCGCCAACACGGGTGGGGCGGTACGGCATGTGTATCGCCTGCTCGTAGCTGGGGTACGGCTGGTCTGGGGTGGGTGGGAGAAGGGGGTATAAACGAGGAAACTAACGAACTGGGTGACGAGGCTTCACGACGGGCGGGGAGGTTGTATGGTTGACACGCATGTGGGGGTGGCTGGGGTGGACAACGGGAGGGGGGGGGGGAGGCGGCAAGAAGACGGCGAGCGGCGGCGTCGGCGGCAGCTAGCGAGGCCAGGTGAGGCCGGCAGGGGCCCTTTTACCTCCCTTCCCCTCCCCCTCCCAGCCCCCCCTCCCAGCCCCCCCTCCCACCCTTTGGGTGGCTGTACACCTCCAGGCTCACGCACTCCGAGTTGCGCCCCGCCCACAGCTGCGACCGCAGGTTGACATCGGAGAACTGGTTGGCGGCCAGGTAGGTGTCCTGGCGGGGGGGGGGGGAGATGGGGAAGGGGATAGGGAACAGGTAATAAAGGAGTAAAAACCCTGAGTGCACGCTTTGGACGATAACGGCAAAGCACGCTGCAACCCCACCATCACCCATCAACCCATCAACCCACCACCCACCACCCCACCACCCAAAACCCCACCCACCACCCACCACCCACCCACCACCCACCACCCACCCCACCACCCACCAGTCGGCCCAGTGTGATGTCCCGGTGGTGCTGCGGCACCCAGAGGGAGGGGGCGGAGGGGGCAGCAGCAGCGGGGGAAGAGGGCAGCATGGCTATCCACCCGTTCGCAGGCCCTGTATCCCGGGGGGTTGGAGGGTTTGGAGGGAGATGCGAAGGGTTGGAACTTGGGAGGAATGAGGAGGGCGGGGTTCCGCGACGACGAAGTCAAATATTTGTGGATGACACTCAATGCACCCTACCCTCCTGCGGCAGGGCAAACCCTCTCCGTCTGCGGTTGCAATGGAATGTTGCCTCTTTCGCGGCGCCCCTCGCACCTTACAACAGCCCCAGCCTAAGCGGCCCCTAGCGGCTGCAGTCAACGAGGTTACTCTTAGGATTAGTGGTGCAGCGTCGAGGGCATCAGAGGTCCAGTAGCGACCGCAATGGCAATGCGGACCGCACAACAGCCTCGAACACACTGCTTGTAAGGGAAAGGGTACCGAGCTAGGTTGACGACACAGTATTAAAGATAAATGGGAACTTCGTCCCGGACAGAAATGGGCGCTCAAGCATAAGGCGATAAAGTCGCACCAGCAGAGCCCTACCTAGGCGCACAGCCAAGCGCAATGGCCCCGTTGCAAGCCCATAAGGAACACCACTGTTATCTGATGGGTGCGATAACGCTATGTGTCTGAATTCTGCTGCGCTGATCGGAGCAAGCGTGACAACGTGATCTGTCCTCGGACGACAATTGACGACAGATGCACGACAACATGCACAGTCACCCAAGCGCGACCAACCGCTGCAACAGCCGAATATCATTATCAGTCTCTTTTGTATAGGAAGAATGCAAAATGCGACTTACGATGAAACCCTTTTGGACGCTCGCGGCATTGCAATTCCTCGTGGCGGGAGGAGACCCTACCTGTGGGCTGTGTCGGGATTTGACGTAGATGGCGAAGCTATTATGTAAGCTTAACAGATGGCAACGCAGTAAAGCCGTAGCTGTTGCTCCGCTCCTGACATTCCAGCGCTCGTCAACCGACATTTGCCTGCGGCACTGCTTATGACTACCGCAGAAGCGTCATGGCAACGTGCTTTGACTCCACAGTGTGGTTCAGTCGCTGCTACGCAAGTGAGGTCGTCAAGCAACTCGCGGTGGGTGTGAGCATGCGGACTCAATTACAACAAGTTGTCACACTGCCTCTCCCCCTTCACCGTACACCCGCTGATGACGTACACGCACACCCCTCCTGTACGACACGGCACGCAGGAGGACCTGGGTGCCGTACTCAGCGATCGGGAGCTGCTGGCCTTCATACAGGAGGCGCTGGAGCCCTCGTCCGCCGGCAGTGGCAGCACCACCACCTTAACCACCACCATTTCTAGCAGCAGTGCCGCCCCTGTTGCCGCAATCACCACCTCGGGAGCAGCACCCGCAGCACCCGCAGGTGCCGTAACTCGCCCTCCCATTCCGCAAGCCTCGCTGCCAACGCAGGGCTCCTTACCAGCAGCAGCAGCAGCCACCCCCCCACAACTGGCGGCAGCACCTGCAACACCTGCAGCAGCCCCGCCAGCTGCCGACCCGCCGGCGCTGTGTTTGGAGCTGCCGGGTGGTGGCTGCAGCAGCAGCTGCTCCCCACCGGCAGCAGCAGCAGCAGGGGGGGTGGGAGACCCGGGAGCAGGGGCGGACGCCGCGGTGGCGGATGCAGCCGCGGCTGCTGCTGGTGCTGCTGGCGCTGGGGGTGCTGGTGCTGGTGCTGCTGGCGGTGCTGGGGGTGCTCATGTGACGGTGGTGCTGCCGCGGGCGCGGTTCGGGGGCAGCGAGGTGGCGGTCAGGTGGGGCAGCAGCAGGAGAGGAAGGTTGATGGAGGGGGGCGAAGAGGAGGAATAAGCTGACGAGCTGTATGACACGGCTTCATCACCATGGGGTGGAAACATGGGGAAGGCGAGGGAGAGGGAGAGCGCCGGAGGCGTTTCCATTCCGGTGGTCTTTTCGCATGCATTACTTTGCGGCATCCTATGTGCACCCTCGCCGGGTTACGGTTTCTGTCACGGCGACGGTTGTCCCATGTTCACTTACCGGTATCAAGCAGGTCCTCCTCCCTCTTCCCCGCCTCCCTCCCGCCCACCTCAGGCTGCCCCCCAGCGGCGCCATGCAGCTGGTGGCGGGTCCGCAGGCGCAGCAGGCGTGCATGGGTGGGTGCGGGGTTGCAGGGCGGGACGTGCGGGGTGAGGAACAACAGCAGTTTGCACGCCCCCCAGTGAGATAGCCGCTATCCGGTATACTTGTCATCACGTGTCTACGTCTGCGTCTTCCACTACGTGCCTACCGTCACCATGCCCCCTCTCTCTCCCCTGCCTTCCTCCCGCTTTCTCCCCCCCCCCTCCTTCCCCCTCCCCAGCCCTAGCCTGCAACCTGCACGCCCAGCTGCAGGAGCGCCAGCAGCAGCTGCAGCTCCTCTCCTCCCACCTAGCTCGAGCCTTGGAGGACAACGCGGTCCTATCATCACAGCTGGCCTCGGCAGCAGCAGCAGCGGGGGCGGCGGCCAACGGCGCCTCTGTGCGGGTGCAGTACGGGCTGGCGGGTGCGCCGCAGCCGCTGCCCAAGCGCTATCGCACCGCCTCCGCGCCGCCTCCGCTGGTGCCGCTGTCGCAGCTACTGATGCAGGCGCCGCTGCGGACGCTGTCACAGCAGCAGCAGGCGGCGGCGGCTGCGGCGGCGTCGCAAGGAGCTGGGGAGGGCGGAGGGCTGGGGTTGGGGCTGGGTGGGAGCAGGTCCCTGTCACAGGGGCTGCCCCAGCAGTCCCAGCAGCAGGTGCAGTCCCAGCAGCAGCAGCAGATGCAGTTGTCGCTGTGTTCAGAGCGACAGCGGTCTCAGTGGCTGAGAAACGGAGGGGCCACTGGCGGTGGAGTGGGGAGCGGAGGTGGCGGGCTGCTGCTGCTGCCGCACCCTCTCAGCCATGTAGCAGCAGCCGGCATGCCAGGGTTCACACTAGCTCCCGCACCGGCACAGGTTGCAGCAGCAGCTGCTGCTGCTGTGGCAATACCGCTGGTGTCGGCACCCGCCGCCCTGGGGGCTCATGCCTCCGCACCAGCAGGGGCAGGAGCAGCAGCAGCAGGTGCAGGAGCAGGGGCAGCAGGTGCAGGGGCAGAAGGGGACGTGGTGGGCTCAGCCGGTAGAGGTACGGCACCTCCCACAAACGCGGCCGGTGCGGGGCAGGGCGCTTATGCGGAAGCGGAGGGGCTTGGTCCGCCACGTGAGGGAGCTCTACGCGAGCGCGGCGAGGGGAACGGCGGTGGCCAGGGTGCGCATGCGGGGGTGCCGCCCGCCACCGCTCAAGGGGAGGGAGGCCTGGGAGCAGGGGTGCAGGGGGCGGATGGGGCTGGTGGGGGGGCCAGTGGTGGCGGGGGTGCAGGGACGCAAGGCCACCAGGGGACGCAGGCGCCTCAGGGTCAGCAGGGGACGCAGGGGTCGCCGGCGGTGGTGGCGGCAAGGGATCCCACGCGGGTGGGAGTGACGGTGCGGGTGACGGGTGGAGGCGGTCGGGGGCACATGCGGGGCAGGGGCAGGGGGCTGCGGTGTTGAGGTGGATGCAGGGGCGTCCAGTGGGTGTGTGTCCGCGGGGTTGCCTGCCTGCTGCTGCTGCTGCTGGGGGGAGGATTCGAGGTAGGCTCCTGGGTGTTAGTTGAGGTGTCATCTGCGGCAGGTGTTGGGCGCCTTGAGGGTGCGACTGGGGGGCAGAAGCGTCTGGGGCGCTGTGGGAAGGGATGTGCGCCGCCGTGTGCTGAGCCTTGTTGCCAGCTGTTTTTATGTAACTTGGGACGATATCCCGCGGGAATGTGGTCACCTCCTACGGTGTCTAGGGGCCTCCCTCGCGCGCCCTCTGGGTTGGCCTAAAGTGGAAGGAAGGCAGGGCCGTGCCTATCTCAGGTCGGGATGGTTTGCAGGGGACGAAAGGGGCGGTTGGTACTCGCTACCGGTACGTGTTGGGTTAGCCCTGGGCCAGCAGTGTGGAAAATGGCTTCAGTGGTCCACCATAATACCTTACACCCTTATTTTACACCTACTCCCCCTATCCACCTTTGTCTCGTTGGCTGGCAATACATGAGTGAAGTGAATCCACAAAATGCACAACGCAATAGCTCGATGACCAAGAGGGTGTCGGGTCAGTGTATGTACCGGTATACACCTGAGTCTGCTAGGACCCATGGGTCGTTATATTGACAATGTACGGTGCACAAGCATTCAACTAGTGCTTGGTCCCGCTGAACATTGTCCCAGCAGTTGACACCACATGACTGGTGCAAGTGCACAGCAACCAGTAACCAATTTGCAATGTCGTAAAACTGTGTCTATGAAGAAAGCTCTGAACAGGCAATGCGAAACCCGCCCTCCGGACACCAAACATAACATCATATCAATGCGCTAATGGCTTATACCGCTAGTGTGTAGCTGAGTAGTACAAGAGCAAGCCATTGGGAGAGGTTCGCATGAGTAGTGGTTCGCACCGCTAGTGTGTGATAACTGTAGTCGTTGCCATGCTGTAGGCCCCCCGGGCGGCGCCTGCAAGCCAAGCACTCCAAAGGTGCCCAACTGCCAAGGAGTGCGGCTGTGCGGTGTACGGCATTAACGACAACAACAACAACAACAACAACAACGGGAACGCGGACCTAGCAGTCGATTGTGATGTATGGTAGCACCCCGGCGGGCGGGTGGGGACAGACTGCTGCTGTCCCGGCGAAGGAAAAGCCCTAAACACTTGGCATGCGTATACATACATAAATACATATAACACATATACACATTGCATCACGTACTTCAGTGCAATACAGCAGTCCATCTAACCCCTAGGCGTCATTGAAACGTGGGTCTCGGGGTGAGAGCTGCAGTTCAGGACCCCCAATGCACGCATGCACCACACAATCATTAATACCCCACATCTGCTCTCAGCCCACATAGTACATCCCTCGCCCGCCAGCTCTCAATCCCCTGATGAGCGCATACTACAGTGGCCCCAGCCTGGCCATATGCTGCTAGGCTGTCAGTAACAGTCCACACGCACCCCTACCTGTCAAGCCCATCCATGCACCTAACCCCGACCGGACAGTACCTTCCTGACAGTAACCACTCCAAGCCATTCGGTATATATTGGTTTCTAGCCTAACAGCCTACCTTACCGTAACAGCAGTTTTCCTGACTACAATTCACAGCTGCAGCACTGCAGCCCCGCAGTCCTACACCCTGCCCATCATGTGCCCGGGACGGCAGTAAGCGCCCGTCAGAGAGGACTTTTGACTGCCACCTTCTTGCCAGCTGCCTGGCCCTAGAGAAACCATGCAACAAGCGTCATGAGGCTCCCCCATAGCAGTGCAGCCGAGCGACATCCAAGGTAGCTTTGGCTCTGTTTATGGTTGGTAGGTTATAAGAACAGCCCTAGCTACGATCTCAACTTGGCTGATGCTGTCAACAACATAGTCCTGCTTACCGGTAACACCTCTGGCCCTGATCCTGCATCCCTAGGCCCTAATCCCAACCGTCAACAGCAGTCCCCTGCTCGCCAAGCATTCAGCCTTGTGCCCGCCCTCCCAGTGCTGCTTCTGACACGCCACGCTGCAGTAGTGTACGGCACGGCAGCCAGCGCACCTGCTGAGCCTCAGCGCCCCCTCGCATGCGCCGCCGTAGTCCTCGCACCTCGGGTTGCCGCACATCCGCAGCACCCGGCGAACCAGCGGCACTACCACTGGCGGCGGCAGTGCCGCTGTGGCAGCTGCGGTGTGTCCCTGCTTTTCTTTCGAGATGTCGTTCAGGTTTGCTTCAGCAATCGCCGCCTCCACCTCCGGCAGCACGCCTGCGCCGAGCCCCTCCCCGCCCCCTGCCTCGTCGCTCCGCAGCCGCAGCCCCACCCGGTCCAGCAGCGCACCCACATCCGCTGCGGCCGCCGCCCGCCACATCGCCCGCAGCGCACGTGCCTCCGCCGTATCCCAGCCCGCCAGCCCCTCCAGCAGCATCGCACCGGCGCTGCTCAACGCTGCACCAGCGGCCGCTGTCACACCTGCCGCCTCCGCCGGCCAGCCCAGCAGGGCCAACGCATGCGCACGCAGCGACACAGCCGGACCTGCCGAGCCTTCTGTGGTGCTGAACCACTCAGTTCCGCCACACGTCTCTGACAACATGGAAGCTAGCAGAATGCGTATTTGCACCAAAATTCCTTCAGCTACTGCATCGTCCGTTTTCGCAGCAGCCCCCATGCGGCCCAGCATCACCCCCAGCGCCGCCAGCAGCCGGTGCGGTTGCGCAGCCAGCAGCGCCGCCGCCGGTACCTTGCCGTACAGCGACGTCAGGGCGAACAGGCCAGCCATGGTCAACGGCATCACTAAATCATCTGTCAATGTGGCCCCGCCGCATCCACCCAGCGTCTCCGCCGCCCGCAGCAGCAGCGGCGCCGCCAGCACGCATGCCGCCCGGGTCACCAGCGTCAGCACCTCCGTCAGGCGGGCGGCGGTGGAGGCAGGCAGGCCCGGTGGGGGGCGCTCCCACACCTCCAGCAGGCCAGTGCGGGGCGCCAAGAACTTGACTAGCATGCCCACCAGCGACATCTCCAGCAGCTTTAGGGCCGCTAGCAGCGGTGCTGGCTTCACGGGCGGCAATGATCCCGCTGACGGCTGCAAGCCTGATGCTTCCTGAGACGCCGCTGCTTGCCCCAGGCCAGCCGCCATATTCAGTGCCATTTTGCTGACCGTGATGAAGAGCCCCAGCTCCCGCTTGGCGTCCCATTGGACCGCTGCACGTTGCTCCTCGCCAACGCAAACTCCCGCTACCTTCAGCTGCTTGAGCCATGTCTCCATAAGCATCCCATGCTGCAAATGCACCACCTCTGTTTTACGGGTCATTATGGCGACTATATTACCAAACGTAGAGGTCGGGGCGGGGTCGATCGACAAAGTGGCAAGTCTGCCGGTTGCTACCACCAGCGCAACACAGCGCAGCAGGGAATCAAACGTGCGCAGCAGACCTGCCCGGCCCAGCCGTAGCGCCAGGCTGTCACGCTCGTTCGCCGGCAACTGAATGCCTGCATCGGTGGTTCAGGGCAGAGCATCCAGGGCGGGGGCGTTAGCACGGGAGTTGCCTAAAGGAGCAACGTTGCAGCAAGACGTGCATGCACAGCAGCCCTGGGAGACGTGGCCCGGGATGTCCCAGCAAAACGTCCACACGTCCAGAAATCTCCTCACCCAACTTACCGGAGAGGTGCCTCAAAGATGTAAGGCACGTGTTCAGGCACGTCCACAGCCGGGACTCAGCAGCATCTGTGGCGCGGTCTCCGTGGATGCTGCTCTGTGCGAGGCTCCTGACCAGCCCACTGGTCGCCACCTTCATCGCCCACACGCACGCCTCCTGCGCGTCAGCTACAGCCGCCACATCCGCCTGGCTCCCGGCGGCAAGGATGTGCAAGTCGACATCCCGGGCCACAGCGCCTACCACCTTGTCCAGGCTAGACGACACGTCCCTTTTGTACACCCCACCAACACCGCTGCCGCATGCCAGGCTGTGCATCGCCCGCATCAGCCGCAGCGCAAGCCGCATGCGCTCGGGCGGGCTGGGTAGTGAGGAACGCAGCCGCGGGAAGTTGTCAAGCTCCGTCCATAGCTTGAGCACCAGCCCCACCGGTGCCGCATTCACGGGGGAAACGCCCTCTTTCAGGGGCGGAAGAAGCTGCTTGAGCCCAACGGGGAGCTTTTGGACGTCTGTCAGCAGTGGCCAGGTTCTGGCGCTGCTGCCATCACCGCCACCGCTCGACGCATCCTGGTCGCCACCGTTATCACCACCATCACCTCCACCCGACACAAGCCACTCCACCAGCCTCCGCTGCAGCTCCACCACCTCGGGTGCCGCCAGGACCTCCAACAGGGCCTGCCTGTCGGCCTGGAGAGAGCCCAGAAAGTCAGAGAAAACCAGCCCTGACAAGAGGCTTGTGACAGACCACATGCCATTGACGCTGGAGTGCAGGTCCCTTGCATCATTGGTGAGCTGTTCAATGCCATCCGGTCTGCATGAGGACATGATGGACCAGAAGGGAGGAGCCGCGAGCAAAGCACCACAGACCGCCGGCATAACGCCACTGTCGCGCATCATTGGTGCCAGCTGCTGCACCAGCTGCTTCCGCTGCTTTTTCAGTTGCTCCCGCAGCTTCCGATCCCGTGGGACAGGCTGACTGCCAACTAGGGCTGCAAGGTCGTGTGTGAATTGCGACGCGCGGATTAGCAATTTGACGGATGCCTCCCACAAGTGCAAGAGCACTGACGCCAACTCATCCGGACTCAGCACCTCCTTCGCGGCCTTGAGTACAGCTGCTTCGGATGACAGGGGTGGTGGTGCTGGCGGTGGTTGGTCTGATGCCTGCTGGCCCCTCATGCTGGATGCCACCACAGTCGTTGGTGCCTGACCTGGGCGCTGCAACGCGGCCAGCAGCGGCCAGACCTCCGACTGGACGAAGCGCACGGCAGCGGTCATGGCGCGTCCAACGGTGACGTCACACAGCTGCTCGTGCAGCCAGAGCTGGTGGGCAGAGTGCGAGCGGCTAGGGGGAATGTTAACGGCTAGGCGTTTGCCCTGGACTCTCCATAAGCCGAGCGGAACCTGAGCACAGGCAAGCAGGACGTTCACCAGCTCGGCGGCCAGCTCCGTGACGTGGCGCAGGCGGGCGAGCCGGAAGATGTTGACTTGGCTCGGGGCCACAGACGTTGTGGATGTGGAAGCAGCGGCGGACGAGGACGTAATTTTCCCTCCTTCTCCGACAAGCCCATCGTTGCCCGATAATTGCTGCGTTGGCAGCTGCCGTGTCTCAGGGAGAAATAGTTGTTCTATAAGCTGAGCCGTGCGCCCAATAACGTTCAGCCCCAGTACCTCTTGCGTCGCAACAGTAAAGGAATCCGGCTGCACCTGTAATAGGCTTTTTACAGCTTTACGTAAAGGCGATATGTCAGTTGGTAATTTAAAGCGCTCCAAGAAGACGCGCCGGAACTCGTTTTGCCGCAATCGGCTCCGCTGTTTTGGTTCGACCGTGGCTCCGTTCACGCTTTTGGAAATGTCTATATTACCAAGTTCACTCGCAATTTGTTGGACAGCTTTTTGCATGCTGTCAGGCGGAGTCAAACTCCTCGTTTGCGCATAGTTGGCTAGTTGTTTACACAGGACAACCCATAGTAGCCTAGCTTCCAATCCAAGACAGTACAATGCAGCTTGCTTCCGTTGGTAATAAATAATACAGTGCACATGTGTACGGTAATAACAGTGAGTACAGCGTCCGTACGAGCCTGGCCCCCTGGCTCGTACGGACACACTGTACATGCGTGCAGGCTGTAACTGTACCTGTAACCCCGAGCGGCTCCCGCCCATGAGTACATCTGCGCTTCAGCGCTTCCTTGCAAAGATGTTGTGGCAGGCAGCTACACATCCCGGTACACCCATTGCTCCGGTGTATGTTTGCTGGGGCCTGAACCTATGGAGAAGGGCCCGTGGGTTATCCGCCCCAAGTACACCACCTCGCGCCAGATAGATCCCGCATCAGAGCTGCACTCGGAGCGCTCACGCTGGGTGCAGGTGCTGAGTATAGGTGCTGGGGCAGGGTTGCAGGGGCATGGGTACCATGGGTGGATGGTGGGTGCAGCTTTGCAAAGCGGGTGCAACGCTGAAGACCCCATCACGACTCTGACCTCAGCTTGATTTGAGGCAAAGTCCGGTGCCGATGTGGCTGCACCAGTTGCTGCATGCTCCCTGCAAGGCCGATAACGCGCTGTGGGAGAGAACCTCGCTACTTGGGCGGGGTGGGGATGCGTCCGTACATCAGCACGGTAACCGGGCACACGGTGGGTGTGCGCACAAGCATGGGCGCCGGTATCTGGGCATGGAGGGTATGCATGCATGTATCGGAGCCAGTTGATGGGCCCGGTGGGTATGCATTCGCGTATCGGCGTTGGTGCATGGGTGGGTATGACGAGAGTGTCTTCCGCCTTAATCGGCACATGTGGTTTGGAAGGGTGGCGTACTGGTCTTGCTTGTGCGCATGGGCGCTAGCTCCGGGCAGGACGAGGGGATACCTGCACGAGAGGGGCGGGGGAGCACCAATACACAAGAGGGGTGATGACCAGGCCAGCCATGAGACCCATGACATAAGAGAGAGATGACCCATGGGTCACCTCGCCAACACTGCACCTCGTGGTCGCATTAATATGCGTATGACTGCTGTAGCCTGCTATGCTACACATAAATCATTGTTGGTTTCAGCAACCTGGGTGATGGCTCTCCAATGCATTGGCTCCGAAGCAGCTGATACCGTACATCTTCAAGGGTAAGTAACAGTGGCAGTCGCAGATCCATGTGCTGAGGAAGCAGCTATGCCACATAAATTATAATAATTATGGCCGCAAGTCGTCATTCCCTAGAAAGCTCGCGCCGCCTCCGATAGGCCGTCTCCGGCTGAGCAAATGTTGAAGCCCTGCAACGAACAACATACCTAATCCTCATTTACCGGAATACCCCTACTTCCTGTCTACCATGGAGATTCAACCGAACACAAGCCTGGATCAGCCAGAGCACCTGCCGCCAAATGAAGAAGGCCGACCAGCGCTGTTCACCCTGCCGGATCACATGCTTTCTCGCATTCTGGCAGAAGCAGCAACCGGAGCAGCGGGCGCGTATGCCTCTTGCAGCACCCTTCGAAGCGCGTGGCAGGCCGCGCTCAGCCAGCCGGCGGGCGCCGCGCGGTACCTGGTCGCGCGCTATGGCTACCAGAACGCTGTGCTGTTCCTCTACGGCTGCCCTGGCTTGCTGAAGTTTATGCTGGCTTCTGTACCGATTGAAGATCACGAGCGAAGAATTATGGAGCTGCTGCTTGAAATAGAACGCGCGCAGCCGCAGCAGCAAAAAGGGCTGAGGTTTAACGATGAGCCAAACGAGCCTTGGAGCGAGGAGCACGGCTATAACTCTGCTGCTGCTGCTGCTGCCCACACCGCTTCTTTGTCCTCTTCTTCTTCTTCTCTGCTTTCGCCCTCCGAGCGTATCGAGAAGCTAGGAAATACCGCCTTCGGCGCAGCTGCTGCCGGTCACCTTTCCGTCCTCAAACGGCTGCTTCGCCGCCACAACGCGCCGCTCAACGCCAATACGTGTAGGGGGGCAGTCGTGTGGGGGCAGCTCCACGTGGTGCGTTACCTCCTACCACACTTACTGCGCCTGCGAGCCGCAGCAGCTGCTGATGCCTCGCGGCCTCTCGCGGGAGGCCAACAACAGGGTCCGGCACCCGGAGCGGAGGGCCAGCACGGGCATCTGCCCGATGATGGGGGCGGTCAGGACGAGGCAGCGGCAGAAGGAGGAGACGGTGCGGGAGACCCCTGGCGTACGGAGGATGCCGCGACGGCTGAGTCTGCGCTGGTGTGGGCGGCTACGTTTGGCCATGTGGATATGGTCAGGGTGCTGGTGGAGGCGGGGGCGGATGCCCGGCACGAGGAGAGCGGGACGCTGCAGGTGGCGGCGAAATGGTGAGGCAGGCGGGCGGGCTAGGGAGCGAGGAGCGGAGAGGGTGTGCGGGAGGGAGGGAAGGAGGAAGGGACGGAGCAAGACAAGGGATGAAGGGGTGTATGGGGCTTAGCTTTGTGCTGCTGTTTAACCAAGGGCGCACGGTAAGCTGGAGGAGGAATGAACGAATGATGTTTTTCCTTGGGCGGGCATGCATGCTTGGGGGAGGGGGGGGAGGTGACGGGGATGGCACTTTGGAGGAGCTTTTGCTCCTTGCGTTGCAGCAAGCCCCACCCTGGGTAACCCGGCGAGACCCCCTGGAGGGACCCCAGCGCCATCTTATCGCTGTGATATACGGGCACCAACTAATGCCGGGTGTACGACTGCCCTGCTGCCTATCTATCTCCGCCTCTTCCGCTACATCCCTTATCACGCTCATGCAACAGAAGCCGCCTAACCAGTTGGCCATTCACACCTTACACTCCCTCACACCCCCTCACACCCCCTCACACCCCCTCACACCCCCTCACACCCCCTCACATTCCTTTCCTTGTTAACATCAGGGGCCACGCGGACGTCATAACGGCGCTGATAGCAGCCGGCGCCGACCCCAGGGCGCGGAACTCTGTGGCCCTGGTCCTGGCCTGCATGTACGGCTTCCCACACGTCGTACGGCAGCTCATAGCCGCAGGCGCTGACATGAACACGGAGGAGGGCTTGCCCTTGTGCGCGGCATGCAAGTACGGCCAAGCGGACGTCGTGCGGGAGCTTCTGGCGGCAGGTGCGGACCCGCACATGAACGAGGATGGGCCGCTGCAGCTGGCAGCCAAGCGAGGCCATGCTGACGTGGTGCGGATCCTGATAGAAGCGGGCTCGGACCCGAACGCCGAGGACGGAGCCCCACTGCTGATGGCCTGCACGGAAGGACACCTAGAGGTGTTGGAGGCGTTGCTAGCGGCGGGCGCGGATCCCGCCCCGCGCAACAACCTCGCCATCAGCGCTGCTTGCTTGTGCGGCCATGCGGCCATCGTACAGCGGCTGCTGGCGGCGGGCGTGGACGCCAAGGGCAGGTTGATGGTCAACATGATTGCGGCTGTCCAGTCAGGGCAGCCGGAGGTGGTGCGGCTGCTGATGGATGGTGGCGCATGCTTGCAGATGGCGCAGCATGCGGCTGCGATGTGTTTGCTTAGGTTTGGGTGGCTGCGGTTGGGGTTGAGCGTTGCGATGTCGGGCCGGGCGGAGCGGTTGTGGAGCTGGACCTTTGGGCGGCGAGGTGCATAGGGCAGCGTAGGTGCGTGTGGGGTTTAGGGCGGTTGGTTGCTCTGGGCGTTGGAGTGAACGACAACGGAGGAGTCTCTTGCCGATGCCGCTTACCTCATCGGCCATTAGCAGTTGCTATTTGGTGCGGTACGCCCTATTCTGGAGAATGGTGGGTAAGGGTAAGTGATGGGCATGACAGTTGCGGTGCCAAGTTGGCTGGATGGCTGTTGGTAGCGTGAGGGATGACGACTGATGTTGGTTTTGGGCCGTACAACCGCGTTGGTGATAGCGATTGGGAAAGAAGGGTTAGCCACGCCGGCGTGACGCGGTGTGATGGGACGAGCTGGGAACCGTAATAGTGCACTTCTGCACTCCAGGGAATCTTTAGTTGCATTCAAAATCCCTAATAGCTACTGCGTGCTCCCCATTTCCTGGGCTGGCACACTGTTGCGCATCCCAGCCACGGGCTACATGTCATGTCTTCCCAGTGCCACGCGAGTGTTGGCTTGCTGCTGGTGCCGTAACTAACATCCTCCAACCACCTTTCTATACACGGCTCTGTGACCGTATCTCATGCCGAACGGGACAGCGTAGCTCCCAAAAACGTCATCAGAGGTGCATTTTGGTGGCCACCGCACCGCTGCCAAAGGGTGTTGCAGCCCTGGGAAGTTGCGTGACACACGCAAGGATCGCTCCCCACAGGATGGGGTCACCTTATAATCCCATTTGGTGCCTTAGGCTGCATACATAACTACTGCGCCAGCCAGGGTTTCCTTGCGTCTCCAGTTGTGTTTTAATTGAACTGCTAGGGGAAGGGGGCCATACAGCATTCGCTCATTCCAGCCTTAGCCCTTCTCTGCTGCTGCGACCCACGCAGCACGGTCGCCTTGGCCGGGAGCTGGGCGGCTGGACTGGCGTCTGGATCAAGCTTCGTGGTACTGCCATAAGAGCGTGCTCTGCAACACTGTGACCCATGGTTCAGGAGGCCCTCCAAGGCTCTGCAGGTCCGCAGCAGGAGGCCAGCGACAGGGAATGAACGCAAACAGTTTCAGTAATGGTGACAGCAGCCCGAAATGGGGGCGTACCGGTATAACCCCTGAAATCAAAGTGGTGTCGAAACCTAAACCTGACAGGAATTTGACAGTTCTGTGTGAGTCATTGATCTATGGCGTCCGGCGGTCCTTGTAAAGAACAGCGACCCATGGACCCGCATGGATGGCTGACCTCCTGGCAGGTAGAGAGGAATACACCCTCTTGAAGACGCCTTCATGCCGCACACCAGCCGCCCTGTAACACAACATACCTCTGCATTGCACTACGTGTGACTGCGTGTCCAGCAGTGCCTCGTAACAAACACAATATCTCTTGTGTATGCTTCAATGAGAAGCCGCCCAGCTGGGGGACTGCATGGGTATGTATTCTCCGGCAGCCACTGCAACCCCCCCACCCGACTGGGCACAGGGGTAAGGGTTAAGAGGAAACGACTAACGAACCGTGTGATAACGCGTCATCATGGTTTGCAACATGACAGAGGTAAGGGGCGGGGCCGCCTGTTCAGCTGCCTTTTTATGTACGTGGGTGGTGTAGGGGCACTCAAGCGAGCTGTGCTGGCGCCGAGGTGCGGTCCTGGAAGCACTGGTGCGGCAGATGGCAACACATGGGGTTGGCCGCTGTGGGGAAAGCAGTGCACAGCGCCGATGAGCTTTGCCTGTTGGCAATGAGTCCCGCAGCCCTTGGCCTCTCTGGTATGGGCTGTATGTGCGCAAGGTTTGCATGGAATTTGCCCAAAGCACAACAAAAGCACGCGCAACGTGTGAAGACGGTGACAACATGCTCGGGGTTCGTGGGTGAGGTTGGAGAATGGGGCAAGTCCGCCTGCGTGCTATGCCGTAACCATGCCATGCTCATTGCACAGGTGGGTCAGCCGTACTTCATAGCTTTACGCAGCAAACATGTTACCAGACGGTTAATAGGATAGCACCTAAAGCAAGCTAGTTAGTTTGATACTCACCAGCCCGCTAGCTAGGTCCACAAGCTTACATCCTTGCCGGACGCGGGCTGGGCTAGGAGGCCTTCAGTACTGAAATAGGCGAGAATGCAAGCAGGTCTACGCCGGGGCTTACGGTCGGGGACCCTTCGGGGGCTAGCATTTAAGGCTGCACGATGCAAGCACGTAATGGCTGTCGCTTCTGCGAAAACGTCTATAATTCGCGAAATCCAAAGGCAAATTGTTAGTAAGGAACGCAGTGCAGTAGAGATCACACAACAGTATCTTGACGCTATCAGCAAGGCGGATTCTACCGTCTGCAGCTTTATCACAGTCGATGCGGAGCAGGCACTTGCGCAGGTGCGCAAATGTGAATAAAAAAACATATTGTTGAGTTTTGTGAGACACGCATAATGGGTTGTGCAGGCTCGTGCGGTCGATGCACGGATAGCCAGCGGAGGCACAGAGGGCCTTGGCCCTCTCGCCGGCGTTCCCCTTGCCATAAAGGTGTGTGGCAGCTGACAAGTAATTGCCAACCTTGCTTCCCACCAAACTAGGATAGCTGGGCGGACGCAACATTCATGGGTGGTGCCCACGTGTCTATGCTCAGAACTGTGTTATAGGCCTGGTCAACACCATCCGTTACATCTCAAACCTCTCACAGACACTCCACCGATGTTTTGTTTCTTGCATCTCGACAGGACAACATCTGCACGCAAGGCACCCGCACCACAGCTGGATCCCAAATCCTGCGCGACTATGTGCCAACCTTCGACGCGACCGCGGTCAGCAAGCTGCGCGCTGCTGGCGCCATCTTCCTCGGCAAAACCAACATGGACGAGTTCGGCATGGGCAGCTCCACGGAAAACTCATCCTACAAGGTACGACAAGTACGACTGTCGTTCCCGCACTGATGTTCCCGAACTGGAAGCCTCGATGTTGTCTTTTGAAAACATTTTCAACCGCCATCGCAGCCTCTAGCGGGGTGCCTCTAGTTCCTCACGCCGTGACATGCCCCTCCAGCCCTGACTGCTTTCCCAGCCTGACGCCCCCGCTCCCCCGCTCCAACTCCCTTCCCCCTCCTTTCCTTCCCCCAGCCCACCCGCAACCCCTGGGACCCACAGCGTGTGCCCGGCGGCTCCTCGGGCGGTTCCGCGGCGGCAGTGGCGGCGAGGGAGTGCGTGGCGGCCCTGGGCTCCGACACGGGTAGGGGCGCGCTGGGACATGAAAGGGGCGAGGGAGGCCATCTGGGCCTCCCAGCTCCTACCACCTTCTCCCATCCGTCCCTGACCCACCCTTTTACCACCGGCTCCCTGACCCCTCGCCTCCCACCACCCCTACCCTCCCCTCCCCTCGCCTGCCAGGCGGCAGCATTCGCCAGCCCGCCCACTTCTGCGGCATCGTGGGTCTGAAGCCCACCTACGGCCGCGTGTCGCGGTACGGCCTCATGTCGTATGCCTCTTCGCTGGACGTCATAGGGCCCATGACGCACAGCGTGGAGGACGCGGCGCTGCTGCTCAACGTGATGGCGGGTGGGTCTGCTGAGGGCGGAGAACAGCCACTGCTGCTACTATTGGTGGTGGTACTTGCGCTCTAGGAACAAAACCCATGCAGCACATGCAAGGTGCAGCACATGCAGGCAGCGCATGCAGGCAGCGCTGCCGTGCGGTGCGGCACCTGCAATCCTGCATACTTCCCCTCCTCATATCATGGCGTCAGGCGCCGACACACTTCTTGCCAGCCTGGCCCCCACTCACCCCGCTGTTTGCAACCCACTCCCGGCCCCTGGCCCCTGGTCAGGCGGTGACCCACGGGACGCCACCAGCAGCGGCCAGCCCGTCCAGGACTTCACTGCGGGGCTGCGGCACAGCAGCAGCAGCAGCGGCTCCTGCTCCTCCTCCTCCTCAGCAGCAGCAGCAGGGACAGGGAGCAGCGGCAGCGGCAGCAGCAGTCGCCCCCTGGCGGGTCGTCGCGTGGGTCTGGTGTGTGAGACGCTGGGGGAGGGGGTGGCGCCCGAGGTGGAGGCGGCGGTGCGGGCGGCGGCGGGGCACCTGCAGCAGCTGGGGGCGGAGGTGGAGGAGGTGAGCGGGCGGGGAGGGGCGGGGCTGGGGCGAGGCTGGGAAGGGTGGGCGTTGCAGCCCCCTCCCTGTGCTGCCGGCTTGCACGTTGCTCTTGCCGCTGCTTGTATGCCGGCACACTCGGGCGTGGCTCACCCCCACAACCCCGCTCCCGCTCCTCCAGCACCACGCTGTCCGCTCACTTCCCCTCATTCCGCATTGGGAACCACCCCAATGCTGCTGACTCTTCCACCCCACCTTCTCAGCACACGCCCCTCCATCCATGCACCACACGCACCGTCCATACGCACCCCGCTCCTCCCCACACCTCCCCACACCCCTTCCCCCTCCCCACACCCCCCCAGATCTCCCTGCCTACCTTCGGTCTGGGCCTGCCCGCCTACTACGTCCTCGCTCTGTCCGAGGCCTCCGCCAACCTGTCGCGCTACGACGGGGTGCGCTACGGCGCGCGGGCGCCCTCCGCGGCCGACCTGGCCTCGCTGTTCTGCGGCTCCCGGGGCGCGGGGCTGGGCGGCGAGGTGAAGCGGCGCATCCTGATGGGCAGCTACGCGCTGTCGGCGGGGTACTACGACGCGTACTACAAGCGCGCGCAGCAGGTGGGGGGCGGGTGGGAGGTGGAGGGAGGGGGAGGGAGGTGGAGGGAGGGAGAGGGAAGCAGTGCGGATACGCGCAGTATCCGGCGCGGAAGAGAAATGGAGCGTGGACGAGGTCCACTGAGGGCGATGTAACAAAAGGCTCCTTGCTTCCCGCCTGCATTGCCCGACCATACCGACAGTATGCAGCTCAGTTGCAATTACGAACATCCGCCGACGCCTTGCCTCGCCCCCCCTGCCAGTAAACTACGGTCACGGGCAGTCTTTCCACGGCTCAGTATGACCAATCCCCCCCCCTCCGCCCCCCCCCGCCCCCCTTCCGCCACCCAGGTTCGCACCCTAGTCCAACGTGAGATGTCGGGCGCCCTGCAGCGCTGCGACGCGTTGCTCACCCCCACCGCCCCCACCCCCGCCTACCGACTGGGGGAGAAGGCCTCCGACCCGCTGGCCATGTACAAGGGAGACCTCATGACCGTCAACGTCAACCTTGCGGGCCTGCCCGCGATTGTGCTGCCGGCGGGGTACGTGCGGGTGCCAGCAGGGGCAGCAGCAGGGGATGCAGCAGCAGGGGAGGGGGTGCAGCTGCCGATTGGCATGCAGCTGATCGGTCGGGCGTTTGACGAGGCGGGGCTGCTGCAGCTGGCGCATGTGTACGAGCAGACGGCGCAGCTGCCCGCGTTGACGCCACCGCTGGCAGTGTGCTGAGGAGGCGGGGGGGTGTGGGTTACGGGTTACGGTGTGCATTGGGAGCAGCGTTGGTGGGGCCCGGCTGGTTGGTGTGGATTAACGAGGGTGTAGGGAACCGCAGCAATGTGCGTAAGTGAGCTGCGTGTGGTTCCATGTCAGGGTTCATGTCGGCTTCCGGGTTGCGTGCGTGTAGTTGGTGGCTTATCGCTTGCAGTGCCCCCGCCCACGGAAGGGGTTGTGAAGGGGAAGCAACTGGGGCAGGGGGTACAGCAGCTGTGGGTGGCAGGCTGGCTGGCAGGCTGGCTGGCAGGAGGGCGCGCGCAAAGGCAGCATAGCGGCGTAGGGACTCTGGCCGCACAGCTAGGAGTGAGCAGCTAGCTAACTAGGGCAGTTCCTAACCTCGAGCTGCGCTGCTTGGCAGTACTTTGAAGGTACAGTTTTGAGGCGGATTCTGTGTGATGGTTACGTGCAGTGTGGCGCTGGCCTTGCAGCTTCCAAGGAGCTTCCAGGAGCCCAGCCTGCGAGCCGGAGGTCTCGTGCGGGTGAAGTGCCGCATGCGGGCTGAGTGAGGGCTGCTGGGGCGGGTGGCGCTGCGGCGGTGGCCACAGAAGGCCGTCCGGGTGGGAGGTCGTACCACAGTGCCTTGTGGTTGGCACTAGCTTGGCCGTTGTACGGTATTCATCCACGGTTATTTATGCATATGTCCGGAAGCCCAGACCCAACAGGATTCCCTTTCTTTTCATAGACGTTGCACGTCGCGTGCATGATCATTCATGTGGCACACACCATGACAGTTCGTAATAGTCATTGCTGCAGTGAAGGCATGCAGCACTTTACGCCGCCCCCACCAGGAAAGAGCCCAGGATTCAGGCAACCAAATCAGGGAAGGGCCTCCCATACGTAGTTCAGCAATACTAGGAATCACCACGCCGGGCCCCAACGGGACGTCTGTACATGCCACCGTGCATTCAGGGCCCCGCAACAGCCAACACAGGAAATGAAATGAAGAAGCGTCGTACCCATCACCACCATGCTCGGTCACTCAATCACACAGGCAGCATGCGCACAAGGAAGAGCCCATCCAAGTCCTTTCGAACAAGCAAAATACCGGCACCCCAGCTAGTCCTCATCTAGCCACGACACCGGTAGCATTATTGCAGTAATCTAGCCCAGCATGAATAGAACGGCACATCCTACGAGAGGTGAGAGGCGCGTACGCCAAGAATCCAACAAAAAGCTTTAACTACTTACGTAACATCAAGTGTGGCAAGGGTGGCAACACCGGCCAGAAGCCGTAACCGGATGCCTTGGTACGGAGGCCTTCGTCCAACAATAACCATCTTTTCCAAAGCATTTCTATCTTATTACTGCTATCTTATAGCCATCCCGAAGTGGCATGCAACCGAGAACCCCTGATGGAGGCGCTCCCGTGCTACCCGGCCTACCTATCTTACGAAGAAGGATGCATGTAAGGCACTGGTTAGGAATCCCGCTATGCTGCATTTCTGTAGGCTCTGACCAGCCTCCGCTGCTATGCATCCAGGTACAGACCGGTGACTGAAAGCCCGACCCGACCCATGGGTCAGCACAGACAGCCCAACCTGCGAAGCCCGCCTGACCCGCCTAAGTCCCGTATGATCACACACATACTGTAATTTCCGCTCTCGCTCTCTGGGAACTCGCACACACTGTCCATGTACGCTTTGTTCCCTCCGTACGGATTAACCTGTGACAGCAACCCACCTAGCTGATCTGGCCAATACCTCAACACCCTCCAATACCGGGTGCGGGATAGTCCCATAAAGGAAACATGGAAGCGATTGTATCCTAGTACAGGTAAGTTTCGTCAATAACTAGGCATGGAAGCAAGGTTTTAACTACCGATAGTTTCACTCAACCAAGCAAGCAGGTGCCCACACCGCTCACGATCGCACGACGTTCTCCGCGGCTGGCACCTGCGCGGGCGGCAAGGTGCGTCCCTCCGGCGCCCGGATGCGGCCATCTGATGAGAAACGGAGCTTGTGGGACCTGCAGCAGGGGCAGCAGCGTGAGAAGCACCAACCAAAAATGCAGCTAGGCACAAGCACCTAGGGAGACCTAGTATAGGCGTGCGGCGGATGCTACGGACTTCAAGATCAACGGGCCGTGCTCCGGTTAGGATCGGCCAGCAGCCCCCGATAAAGAGACAGCAGACCCGATGGCCACTGAGCCCTTCACAACACCGTTCCCTCCCCAACAGCGTGCACTATGCTCTACGCACTACGCTACGCTACGCTGTACTCACGGGGGGTCGGCAGTCAGTCGGTCAAACATGCGGCTGGGCGAGGCCAGTCCGTTGTCGTTCAGTCGCACGGGTGAGTCGGAGCGGCAGTTCGCGATCAGGTGCCGCCGACCCACGGAGCCCGGGCGCGGACCCGTGGGGCTGAGCGGTGTGGGGAAGCCCTTGCCGCCGTCGTTGCTGCCGGCGCGCTGGTAGAGCACGGGGCAGCCGCCGCGGGAGGGAGGCGGCATGAGGCCTGCAGTGCAGGTGTGGGAGGGAAGGGAGGAGAGGGGAGGGGAGGGTTGGTTCAGCTGAGGCGCGGTGAGACACTACTGGCCGAGACCGCATGAGGGGGGAAAGGAATCGAACCTGACTAGGGTTGGCATTGCGAGGTAGGTGGCAGGTACACAGGTAAGGCGGGTCAGGATTAACGGTATGCAGTAGGTAATGCTCTGGACGAGAGAGAGGGGGTGTTGAGGAGGGTGTGGGGTGGCTTACTTGGCGTGTGTAGGTTGGCTCGGGAGAATTCGCCCGAGGCGCCCAAGTAGCCTGCACCCTTGGCGGCACGCTCGCGACCTGCTCGCAAACAAGGGCAGATAGATCTTAGTTGCGGTGGATTGTACCGGTACGGTCGAATTGTAAAGGGGCTCCGGAGATTGGTGTTGGGAGTCACAGCCGGGCCGCTACCGGCAAGCCCCGGCACCAACGCCACTCGAAGCGGTCCTTGTACGTACCCGGGTTAACTGCAGTGCGAGGAAGGCGACGGGAGGAAGGTATAGCTTAGTAACATTCTGGTTTTAAGAATGTGAGGATTAATGCTTAGTACTTAAGCTGTAAAGGGGCAGGGATGGGTGTCGTATCAGTTTGTGTCCATTTGTAGCTAGGTTAGGGTAGGGCGGCAGAAGGTGAGCCGGAGCCTGAGCGTCCTGCGATGTTATTATCCTACGTAGAACCCAATCCAATGATTATTTCTGTTTGTGCAGGACCATCAAGCATCTGGGCCCTGAGTCGCGCGGTCTCCCGCCGCTGGGCTTTGCAGTTTGTGCTGCTTTTGGGCATGAACAAGTCGTTGGCTGTACAATTATGCAAAGATTATGTTAAGCAAAGAGTTGGTGGCTGTTCGTGCATCGGACGCTGACCAACTGGAGGGAAGGAAGACGAACGGATGGCATGGAAATGCTAACGCTGCTTGCACAAGGCATGCGGCCGCACACCAACTTACGTCTTGTGTCTGTGAGTTTGTCGAAGACGCTGCTGTTTTGTCCGTCCTCCATGGTAAGTTGGTCGAGAGCGAAATGTACCTAGTCGAATTTCGTTGCGGTGCAGTTAACTCGCGATGCTTACTGGTAATGTTTACTTCTAACGTGTTTGTAATGGCCTAAGATTTTGCAGCGTCAACTGTAGATATGGCAAGCAGGCAAACGTAGTACATCTTTTTCCTGCTCTTCCCATGAGCCCGCTCAACTACCGTCGGCCTGCCGAATACCGCGAACTATGCGTTCATAAGTCACTGCTATGTAAAAGTAAAAATAACAGTCAAAGCATGCTACCGTCTGAGGGCTTCGGGCGTTGCATCGCGTATTACGCATAGCGGCGCCCGTTGGAAACCTCCGCCCGCGTCTGTCCAAAACTGTGAGCCTTGCTGCCATCCTTGCATAGAGCTCTCCAAAGTGTATTGTGAAGTCAGATAGTTGAAATAGTAAACCATCCACAGCAGACAATGCCGAAACCGCGGTTTTCACCATGCCATGTAGAGCGAAGGCCGAGCAGCAAGTGACCGGTGCCCGCCAGCAGTCCCAAAGAAGCGCGCAGTCCCGCCAGAATTATACCCAATATAATCCATAGGTACCTTCATCTGCATTAAGATGTCGCCGTTCTCCATTTATACCGAGCCCGGTTCGCGCCAGACCTTACAAGAGAGTCCTAAGCAGACGCATGCTCAATTGCACTGGAGGAAGAGCCCGGGCTATAAAGAGCCCGGTAATCCATGGCACCATGACTGCCTAGCCTAAAACACGCCGTTTGTAGCCCTCAGGGATACTTGTGTAACGGCCTTCCAAGTCAGTCCCAATTCACGGCGACCATCGAGAAACACGCGGACGGGGTTACAGAGCGTCCGGAAAAAACGTCCGGTTGCTGCCACCGCAACCGTAAAATCCGTCACGACCACTGTGCAGCAGACACTACCGATAAAACCTACAAATGTAAGAAACATACACCCCTGCCACTGCACACATATCCTACCAACACAGCACGTATCTTATCCCTTACGCCCCTCTTTCAAGCATTAGCACATAACACGCACGCATGCATGCATGCATGCGGGGCCTGTCTGCAATTCATCTGCCTCTGCCCCTGTCCTGCGTGCGGTCACGTCACCACGCACACATTACCACGAACACGGCCCCTTCTTGCGTCATGAGACCTACCTACCAGCGATGTGTTGGAACCCCATGCTCGCATCCGCCGTATGCAAAACCAGTAAACCACATTACGAGTACGCTCCTACTCGCGGCCAGTTTTCCCAACCACATTGCCACAACCACCCCACACTTTTTCTTTCACAGCCTCTAAAGCGTCTTCAGAGCGTCAGGTTCGAGAGCTCCAAGTCACCAAAGTCAAACTTGGGTGGATCCGCCATGGGAGGTATCTCGTACAGGTTGCTGAGGTTGGCCAGGTCGTCATCCGCTAGGCTGCTGCCGGTCTCTGAGGTGAAGCTGCTGCTGGGGCCGGCCGCCAGCAGGGGGCCCGAGGTGAGGTGGTGAGCAGGGTGCGGGTGCTGCTGCTGCGGGTGCTGCTCGAGGTGGTTGTGTTGGTGGTGGTGGTGGTGCCGGATGCCGCCGCCGCCGCCAATGAAGAGGGAGTGGGAGGCGGGGCCGTCAGCGGAGGTCCTTGCGAGGGACAGTCCGCCACCTGGGATGCCGCCGGCGGGGTGAGCTGCAGCAGTAGGAGGAGTGGGAGGGAGCGAAGGAGGGAAGAGGTTACACAGCAGCCAGCAAACGGAAAAAGGAGGGCTGGCGGAGGAACCATGCAAGCACGGCAGCAGCAGCTCCACGGAGGACAAAGGCCATGGGAAAAGCTGAAAGGAGAAGCTGCATCCGAGCAGTTTCGACCCATGAGTTAACACTCACCTGCAGCCTCGGACTTGCCACCTAGCTCCACACACCCAGCCGTCGGACCTGCTACACCACCCTGCTCCGCACCGCCTGCACCGCCCGCGTCGTCTTGCACCGCCCCCGCCGGCCAGTCGCCCCCGCCGCTGGCCACCCCAGTATGCGAATCCCCCCCTGAAGACACACCGCGACGGCGCCCTTGGAGCGCATCTGAACCCGCCCCTGCTGCCGCCGCCGCCGCCGCCGCCCCTGCCCCGGGCGACAGCGGCTGCGTCGCGGCCCCCACTGCCCCCCTCATCGTCGCCGTGTTCGCTGCTCGTGTTCCGCCCTCACTTGCCGTCGTTGCAGCCAAGGACGCCGCCTCTGACAGCAGCTCCGCCACCTGACCGCACCGCAGTCGGACGGACGCCAGCATGCGGCGCCGCTGCTGGGCTGCTAGCTGGCCGGAGGAGGAGCAGGAGGAGCAGCCCACCAGGCTGCCGGCGCCGTCCGCGGCAGTGTCTCCGTAGGTGGAGCTGCTACTGGCGGCGGCGGCGCCCGCAGAGGAGGCGGTGGTTGGGCCATGGTGTAGGGAGGTGGTCCGGAGCACGCTGAGCAGCGTGTGCAGCGAATGCACCTGCAGCGGGGTACAGGGGCAACCTTTGAGTACATCACAAGATCGCCGCATCAAACCCACCCTGGATGCTTTACGGCACTGCTCATGTAACTAAGCCATGGCCATTCGAATCGGAGTCCTATGGCAAGCCACCTCACCCCCCACCGGACCCCCGCCCTCACCTCGTTGTTTCTCTTCCAGAACTCCTCATCCGTCACCACCTCGCCCGCCGCCGCCGCCGCCTGCGCCTCCGCCAGCGCATCCTGCAGTCGGCCCCGCGCCGCCGCCTCCGCCACCTCCACCACCGCCGCCAGCCGCCCCCGAACCAGCTCCAGCTCCCCTCGCAACGCCCGACACCGCGCCCGCAGCACCACCGGGTTGCACGCTGCGTCCCCGCCCTCTGCCCCGTCTTCCCAATCCGCCTCATCAACATCTGCTAGTGCGCCGCCCTCTGACCCTACCCCCTGCGACCCTGCTGCCGCTGGCCCCGCCGCCGCTGCCGAGGGAGCTGTCGCCGCCGCCGCCGCAGCTGCCGCCGAAGCAGCGGCCGCTGCTGCCGTTGCTTCAGCCAGCTGCCCCCTCAGCCGCTCCAGCTCTGCCGTGTGCCGCTGCTCCACATCCTGTAACGCGCGGCGCGACCCGGATTGCTGCACCGCCGCATCGGCCTCCGCCTCTGCTAGGCTCCCCTGTAGCGCCTCCAACTGCGCCTCCAGTGCCCTTACCCGCTCTTGCGCGTCTGCTAGTTGGCCCTGTACCTTCGCCAGCTCCTGCTGCTGCTCTTGCTGCTCCCGCTGCTGCAGTGCCAGCTGTTGCTGCTGCTCCTGTTGTTTCTGTGTCGTAGCGCTGCATGCAGCAGTGGCACGCGCCAGCTGCTCCTCCAGCGTGCCAACACGCTGTTGGGCCTCCGTCAGCTTCTCCCGCAGCTGCCCTAGCTCCCGCTCATGCTCCTGCTGTTGCTGCTCCTGACGCTGCGGCTGCTGCTGCTGCTGGTCCGCCACCGCCGCAGCAGCCGTCAGTCGCGCCAGTTGCTCCTCTAGGGACGCCACACGCTGCAAGGAGGACGTCTGTACGGCAGCTAGTTGCGCCTGGGCGGCTGCCAGCTCGGTCCGCAGCGCCTCCAGCTCCGCCTGCGTCCCCTCCGCAGCCTCCTCCAGTCGCCGCTGCGCTGCCGCCAACTCCGTCTGGGCGGTTTCCAACGCCGTCCGCAGCTCTGAAACCAGCGCAGCGGACTCCGCAGCCGACCCCGCCGTTGCTGCTGCCGTTGCCGGCATCGAACCCAAGTTGCTGCCCTCTGCCGCCGCCGCAGCAGCAGCCTCCAGCTCAGCTACCCTCTCTTCCAGCCGTGCCCTCTCCCCCTCCGCCGCCTTCACCCTCGCCTGCAACTCCTCCTGCGCCGCCTCCACCTGCCGCGCCCTCTCCACCGCCTCCTCCATCTCCTGCTGCGCCTTCAGCTTCTCGCTATTCGCCGCCTTGACGTCACGTGAGGCCGCTGTGGCCTCGAAGCGCGCCACCTGCGCCTCCGCCCGCACCTCCCGCATGTCCGCCTGCAGTCGCGTCACACGCTGCCGGGCCGTCTCCAGCTCCTTGACGGCCTTGTCGCGAGCTTGCCGCTCCTGCCGCTCCCGCTGCTCAGCCTCAGCTAGCCGCCCCTGCAACTCCGCGTGAGCGGCGGTGGCCGCTGCTAGTTGGGTCTCCAATGAGGAGATGATCTCCCGGGCGGAGTCCAGGTCGGAGGCAAGGCGGGAGGTTTCGGAGGCGGCCGCGGCCTTGGCGAAGGTGGCCTCTGCGACGGCTGCTTCCGCTGCTGCCGCTGCCTCTCGTCGGGCTTCCCGCAGCTCCGCGGCTAGGGCGTCTCTCTCCGCTGAGAGCTGCTCCGTGAGCGCCGAGGAGGGTTCCGATCCGGCAGGGTCGGTGGAGGGCTCCGAACGAATCGGCGATGCCTGCTGGAGTAGCAGCTGCTGTTGTTGCTGCTGGATGAGCTGCAGCTGGTGCTGCTGCTCCTGCATGCGTTGCCGCGCGTCTTCCAACAGGTCCTGCGCCTGTTGCGCGGCCTTGGCGCGAGCCTCCCCTTGCGCCTCCGCGACCGCCAGGCGCTGCTTCAGCGACGCCTCCAGCTGCGCTGCTGCGGTCTTGGCGGCCTGCTCCTGTACCTGCAGCTGCTCCTGCGCCTCCTGCAGCTCTGCCTGCAACCGGGAAACGGTTCCCTGCGCGGCCTGCAGCTCTGCAGTGACAGCGGCTGCGGCCATGTGCTGCTGCTCGCACCGCTGCTGCGCCGCTGCCACCTCGGCCTCCAGCTGGGCGAGCCGCTTCCGAGCCGCTTCGAGCTCCTCCGAGGCAGCCGCCCCGGCCCGCTGCTGCAACGCCAGCTCCCCGCGTGCCTCTGTCACCTCGCCCTGTAACCGGGAGACGTCTGACTCCAGTCGGGAGATGCAGGCTCGCGCGGCCTCGAGCTCTGCGTCTGCTGCCGCTGCTGCCTGCCTCATTCTCCGCATGTCTTCCTCATGATGCATGTCCTGCGACTGCACATGCTGCTGTGCTGCCTGCTGCTGCTGTGCATGCTGCTGCTGCTGCTGGCTGTCATGTGGGTCACTCACGGGCTTGGTGGCCCACTCAAAGTCCTCATCCGTGTTCCAAGAGTCCGAGCTCACGCGGCACGACCGCTGCTGCTCCGCCCGCACCGCGCCGCCGCCCGCAACAACCGCGGCACCGTCGCCCCCTTCAGAGCTGACGCGCGCAGTGCTGCCTGGCGCGCGGCCAGCAGCAGTCCTGCCTCCCGAGGAGGACACCCGCTGCGGGGCGGTGGCACCGCTACACGCAACTGCAACGCCGGCCGCAGTTCCCGCGGCTCCCGCTGCTGCTGCAGCAGCAGTGCCGGCTGCTGCTGCTGCGGTGGCTGCCAGGTCAGCTCGCAGGCGCGCCACCTCGCCCAGCAGCTGCTCGTTGTCCTGCCGCAGCCGGGCCGCCTCCGCGTCCCGCCGGCGAAGCACCTTGCCCAGCAGGCGCCGCAGCTCGGGAGGCAGCTGCGGGCGGACGGGCGGGGGGGCCGCGGAGGAGGGGTGAGTTAGCCGGAAAGCGGTACGTGCAGCGATGGAGGAAGGCTGCAGAGCTGTGAGGCTGTAACCGCCGTCAGGTTCGTGCATCCCTGCCCCATCCCTGCCCTCACATGTTCCGCCAACACCTAGCGTCGCCTTTCCACCCCACCCCAGTCCCAGCCCCCACTCACATCATGGACGCGCGCATGCATGTGCCGCACATGCGTTGCATCGCCCTCCAAGCCGCCTGCTGCCCCGCCATTCGCCGCTGCCCCCCGGCCACCGCCTGCCACCCAGCTGCCGCCGCTGTGGGGGTGCTGCTGCTGTCCGGAGGTGCCGGGAGTCGTGGCTGCACCTGCCGCCGCCGCTGCCGCAGCCCCCAGTGCTGCCGCCACTGACGCCAGCGCGGTGCCCGCTGAACCGCAGCTGTCGAAGGAGGCGCGGCGCTCCCCGGGAGGTGTCATGCAGGCGCCGTCGTCGAAGAGCTGCGGCAAGGGAGCGGCCGTAGGTCGGGGAGTGTTATAGAACAGGGTAAGCAGGTAGGACCACGCGCTTAAGGTACGTGCGCGGGTGCATATGCTCCTTGCTTCGACAGGCATTCAACACTACCGACAGCATGCGCACACTCTCCCATCCACCCCACCCCGTATACCTCCATTTCCCGCAGGCGTGCGTCCAGCGCCGCCGCCCTGCCCCTCTCCGCCTGCAGCTCCTCCTCCATCCTGCGCGCCTGCAGCCGCAGCTCATGCATCTCTCCCTCCGCCTGCAGCGCCTGGTCCTGCAGCGCCTGGTTCATCTGGCGCAGGTGAGCCACCTGGTGGCCCAGCTGGCAGTCGGCGCGCAGAGACTGGGGGGGGGGAGAGAGCGGGAGCGGCAAGGGAAGGAGAGGGTGAGGGGGAAGAAGTGGGGGAAGTGGCATTGTTGGAACGTGGAGAAACGCATGAACGCGTGACAGGACTTCACACCCGTTGCCTTCTTCCCATCTTCCTGAATCCTCGACGTGTCCAGACGCTGTGCTCCTAACATTACGGTCAACACGTTATCCACCGTCCCCCTCCCGCTCCCTTTCCGCCTCCTCCCCTTAGCTGTTTACCCCCCCCCCCTTTTCCCTCTCACATTGATCTCCTCCTCCATGGCCATGCGCGCCAGCTGCGCCTCGTGCAGCTGCGCCAGCAGGTGCTGCGCGGCGTGCTTCTGCAGCGTGAGCTCCACCTGCAGGTTGTAGTTGTCGGTGGCCATGCGGGTGGCGCTGGCCATCTCCTGGGGAGGGAGGTATGACAAAATTGTCAAGAGATGTGCCAACATACCACAGGTTAGGAGGCAAAGCAATGGGGGAGGGGGGCATCCAGGCGGTGGGGAGGTGCGATGGCAGCAGCCAATGCCACAGCGCTGTTTTGGAGACAGAGCTCGGGCGGCCTAACAGGAGACACGCCCGTAGCATCGACGAGGTTGCGAGGAGAAGGTTATGCGCACCTTGGCCACGTTCTTTAGCTCGGCGATGCAGGGCTGGAGCTGCGGGGAACCGCCGGAGTAGTGGCAGCTATCCACCACCAACCCAAAGCTCCCTTTCAGCGCACAGGCCATAGAGCGCAAATCCTTTCGCAAAGCACGGTAAACGTCGACCCCGCTGCGGATGTCGTCCGGGCCCTCGCCCAGAAACAAAGTGTCCCATTCTTTTGTGAGCTGCTCTCTAGCGTGCTGATCCATGTGATCCTGAAAGGCTTGGTCAGGCTGTTTTTGTGCTGGCACGTTCGGAAGGAATGAAAATCGGGCATCCCTGGCGGGCGTTCCACGGACCTCGGGCGTGCCAAAGACCATAACATCTGGGCTGTATGACGGTAGCGTACGGGGTTGAAGGCTTGGGGACGCCCGCTGCAGGGAAAGGTGTTGGTTAGGATGCCAGCGTCGTCCCGACCACGCTTGAACATAAGGACTACACCTTACCGGAGTAAGGCCAAGTTGATCAGGAGTGTTGGAAAATGTCCTGCTGAGTGCCTCGGCTGCTCGCCCCAGCCCGCTAGGACCTGGAGACTCCATTAGCAAGGGAGCTAATGCTTTGCCGCCTTAAACTCCTGCTCGACAGATAAGAGACCTGTGGTCCGTCGATCTTAGTCTGTGTGCGGGCCTTGTTTTAGTGAAAGCTGAACCATGTTCAAGTGCAAAACGTCACAGGAAGCCTAGAAACGACTAAACTATGCTCCTCTAATTGTTGAGTACGTAACCCTGTTATGGAGCCAGGCGGCAGAAGCAAAGCTTCTGGCCCTGGCTCGCCAACAATGGTGACAAAGACGTGGGGCAACTTGGCAACACCCTAGTCTACACCCTAAAGGTGCTAACGTTTTAGCCTATGTGTCTACTTTGCAAAAAAGAGCAAGCGCGCAACGCATACCAACATGTTGTACGCACAACTGCCTTCCCCAAGTTCCCCTGAGATGACTACGGCACTCCTGACGCACCAATCCGATGAATATGCATCGCATTGCGAACGGCAACAGAGCTTGACACTCGCCTCACAACGCCTTTCTCCATACGCCCTAAAACACAGACGAGCGACTTGCGATCCCCTACACGAATTTCAGACAGGGTTTCCTGTCGCTCTGACAAGTTCACTTAAACCTAACGCATTGATGTTATGCATTCGAAGACAACTACCAGGTCGCCTTCAATCGCGCCAGGCAACTCAGCGCCGGCCGCTAAGGGTTGCATGGCGGAGCTTGCCGCGCGTCGCTCCGCCCCAACGCGACGGCAACCAGGCGCCCGCGGTCGCCAAGCGAGCGGATGGCCCCAGCACCGACCTGCGCGTCATCCTTGAGCGCTTGGTGCAGGTGAGCTGCGCACATCGGTCGCTTTCCGCGATTGTGGACGGCATTCCCCGAACGCCCAAGTCGCTTCCCCTGCCAACACGTTTTGCAACATCTCTTAAGCCTGCATATGCTTTTAATCGTAACGCTAAGGCACGACGTACGTGCGTCCGTACAACCGGGTGTAACTGCTCCGCAGTTGGGCCTACCGTACTGGCAAACTGAACCCTCGGCCCGATGGAAGCTGGCGGGCGTGGTGGGCCTTACCCTCAGCACCACCGTAGTCAGGTGGGAGGGCGGCGCGGCGACCGAACGCCCCTGTGCGCCGGTGTTTGCAATCACCGATGGCGGAGGGTGTGGGGTTAGAGACTGGTGGGTGGGGTGCCTCTCAAAGGTTGGACGCGGCTGGCTGCGCAACCAGAGTGCAAAGGGCGCGACAAAACCAGCTGAAAAGGTTCAGAACAGGAACAGCAGCACGTACGGCAACTCATGTACGGCAATCGCTGCCGTACCGCGCTATAGCATTTTGCTGCCGTGGACACGCGCGGGCCCCCCCCCCCCCAAGGTGGAGGAGAGGGATGTAGGGACGCCAGCGGCCGCGGAACCCCCTAGCAGCCCCTCTCCAGCACCCCAGCAGTGGCAGCAGCGGCACCCTAGCAGGGGCAGCGGGTAAATGACAGCAACAAACCGTACGACGTAACTGTACGACAGCCAGCACAGCAGTGCCGCTGTGTGCGTACGTGCATGCATGCATGCCGCAGCAGCCGCACGACGAGGAAACCAGGAGCGAAGCCACCAGCTTCCTCAACCCTATGCCCTTGCACGGATGAAGCTACACCACGTGCTGGCAGTGGGGACAGTCCCCTTTTCGGGGCAGCGTATGACGTACGACCCAGAGAGCAAACTAATGATACTATACACGTATACAGCACCCCCCACATGTGCAACAGCCACTCGACTGACCTGTTTCCCTCCCCTGTGAAGACATGCATGGCCTGAGGTGGCAGCAGGGACGACAGTGTCCACAAGCAGTGCCGCGGCTGTACCTGTGCTTCCCTCTCTTTGCCTTCCTTCCCGCTTTACGCTCCTTTTCTTTTTGTCCCTGCCCCTTCTTCCTCGCCCACCCGCTCTTCCCCTCTTCTATGCTATGGCCAGCGTCCCTCCCCTTCTTAACCCTATCGGCATCACCATCCCATCCTTCCCTCCACCCGCCACCTCCCCCCTCCTCGTCGCACGCTGGGCTAGCACGACGAACTCGCTTCCCCTCTCCGGCATCTTGTCGTCTTGTTCACCATTCTCACTCAACACATAGGGCATATTCTCCTTCCTCCCCCCCCCCCTCCTGCCCCCCCCCCAGCGTCATCTTCAACTTCCTGGGTCGCGACTTCTTCACCGCGCTGTCCGAGAAGGACGAGGCCGCCTTCCACTGGCAGCTGGCCAAGTACCTGGGCGGATTCGCGGCGGGCATACCCGTGTTCGTGTTCAGGGGCTACTTCCAGGTGGGGCGGGGGGGGCGAGGGGAGGGGGGCGGGGGGAAGGGGAAAGAAGCCACAGGTTAGGGCGAAGCAAAAGGGGATAGGAGGCGGCAGGGCGCGACGGGGAGGGGAGGTGGACTACAAGGGTGGGTCAAAGAGGTACCCAACCTTCTGGTGGGGGGAAGGGGGGAGGGAGCCGCGTCAGTTCCTAGAGATGTCTATCTTGCACGTCCTGGTCGACGATGCGTGCGTGCCAGCCCCCTCTCCCCCCTTCTCCTCCGCGCACTCCTCCCTACCGGTGTATGTATGGTAAGCACCCCCACCCCTTCCCTTCTTCCTTTCCCATCTTCCTCCTCTCCCCCCCTCCCCCCTCCCCCTCCCAGAGCAAGCTGTCCCTGGAGTGGCGGCAGTGGCTGACCCAGTCGCTGCTCTCCGACTACCTCTCCCGGCGCGCCTTCTACAGCCTGCAGCAGGGCGGCGAGGTGGACAACCCCGACCAGCGCATTGCCGCGGATGTGGCGTGAGTGGGGGGGTTCCGTTGGGAGGGTGGGGGGCGGGGGGGGGGGGGTAGAAATAAGGAGACTGACGAACTGTATGACAAACTGTATGGCTGAGGGTGGGCGACGGGGACGGGGGCGGGAAGGGCTGGGGAAGGGCTGGTACAGCGGCCGCGCTGGCATGGCTGGGTTTGCTCTCGCTCTGGCACCCCATCTCTCCCATACACACCATCAGTCACAGCCCGCCTCCTCCTGGGGGGCGGGGGTCGGGCTGGCTCACATGTTGCAAACCATGTTGACGCCTTATACCACATGGTCAGTTACTTATTTCCTCTTTACCTCCCTCCCCCTCCCCACTCCCTCTCCCCCTCATTGGGTATTCTTCTTTTCCTCTCCCCTCCCCTCCCCCCCTCCCCTCCCCCCCCAGCACCTTCACGGACACCGCGCTATCCCTGTCGCTCACCGCCCTCAACGCGCTGATCGACCTGGTTTCCTTCTCCGGCATCCTCTTCGCCATCTACCCGCCGCTGTTCGGAGCGCTGCTGGCGTATGCGCTGGGGGGCACCGCGGCGTCGGTGGCGCTGGGGAAGGTAAGGGGGGGGGGCCGGGGTAAAAAAGGGAAACTAACGAGCTGTATAGCGAGGCTTCACCATGGGTTGCTACATGAGAAGGGCGGAAGGGGGGTCAAAGACCGTACCGAACCATAGGAAATCACAGGCGTACTTGCATAAAAGCCCAGGATGGTTGATGCCGGATGCAACCCTTATCCCCCATTCCGCCGTCCCTGTCGCTGATCCCTTCCCTTCCACCCTGCTAACCTCCCTCCCTCCTCCCTCCCTTGTCCCCCCCTCCCCCCCTGCCACCCAGAACCTGGTCACACTCAACTTCCAGCAGGAGGCGCGCGAGGCCGACCTGCGGTACGGGCTGGTGCGCGTGCGGGAGAACGCGGAGAGCATTGCGTTCTACGGGGGGGAGGAGCAGGAGCGGGAGCTGCTCAAGCAGGTGACAGGGGAATGGGGAGGGAGGGGGGAGGAGGGAGGGAGAGGAGGGGGAGTGGAGAAAAAGGGGCAGGTGGTGGGATGGCTAGGGAATCAGGGAAGGTGGTGTTAAAGAGGTGTCAGTGTGGGTAAGCGTCCCCACCGTGCCGCCTGTCCTGCCTCCCACCCACCCCCCTTCCCCCCCACCTGTGGATTTGGTATACCTCTAGACCTTCCCCCCACATACACCTCCCGTACAAATCCCCCCCTCCCCCCCCATTGTTTTGCCCTAACTTGTGGTCTCCTATGGTTTGGTATGGTCTTTGACCCCCCAGCGCCTGCAAGCCGCCGTGACCAACTACCTGGGTCTGCTGGTGGCCTCACGCAATCTGGACTTCTTCACCTCCTTCTACCGCTACCTCATCCAGCTGCTGCCGGCGGCGGTGGTGGCGCCGCTGTTCTTCCAGGCGGGGCAAGGGGGGGGGTGGGGGAGGGGCACCCACCGCCACAGGGGAAGGTGTGTGTGTGTGGGGGGGGGGGGGGTTAAAATTAAGGAAACTGACTGGGCAACTAACGAGCTGGGTGTGGGCGGGGTGGGCGGGCAGGGAGTTCTAGCTGCTCATCGCTGCTGCGCTGCTGTGCTACCGGGCAATGGCCGCTGATGTCAGCACTGCTCTGTCTGCGCTGCGCTGCATGCCGCGCAGGGCAAGATTGACTTTGGCGTGATCAACCAGAGTCAGTCCGCGTTTAATCACATCCTCAACGACGTGTCGCTGGTCATTTACCAGGTGGGGGGGACGGGAGGGGGGGATGAAGGAAAGACCCACCGTGTTGCGTGATTGGGGGAGTGGGTGGGTGCGGGCGGGATGGGTGGCGGGGGAGTGCAGGGCCGCAGCAGGCAGGGAGGTGGGGTTCGCGGGCGGGGAGGAGGGAGAGGGAGAGTGGAGTTCCCCGCCGCTCCCGCTCCTCTTTGCTCCCGCACCTGTGTCCCCCCCTTTCCAACCCCTACCTGCCAATCAATCTCCTTGCCCTGTCTCCCAACATCCTCTGCTCCCTCCCTCCCTCCTCCCCCAGATTGAGTCGCTGGCCGGCTTCAGTGCGGTGGTGGACCGGCTGGGTGAGTTCAATGAGGCTATCAGTGCGAGGAGGGGGCTGCAGGACAGGCAGGAGGCGGCGGCAGCGGAGGAGGAGGAGGAGCGGGAGCGGGAGAAGGAGGCGGCGGTGCTAGAGACGGTGATAGAGGTGGAGGCAACGGAGGTGGTGGCTGCTGCTGCTGCAGGGGACAGCAGCAATGGCAGCAGCAGCAGCAGCAACAGTGGCAGTAGTGGCAGCGGCGGGTCAGTAGCGGCGGCAGGCGAAGGGCAGCTAGGCGGGCAACAGCAACAGCAGCAGGAGGAAGCAGCACCGCCGCTGCCCGGCATTCGGCTGCGCTTCCTGTCAGAGGAGCAGCAGGCGGAGCAACACCAGCAACACCTGCAGCAGCGGCAGCAACACCCGCAGCAGCAGCAGCGGCATGCAGCAGGGGGCAGTTCGGCCGCCCCTGCTGCCCAGCCGCCCCTGCTGCATATCCGGGGTCTGACGCTGGTGACCCCCCGGGGTGGTGACGTGCTGCTGAGGGGACTGGACCTGCAGGTGGGGGTGCGGGGGCCAGTGGGGTGAAGATAAGGGGGAGGGGGCTAGTGGGGTGGGGTGGGGTCAAAGATATACCAGAACCACAGGTTTGGGCAAAGCAATGGGGTTAGAGAGGTGCGGTGGGATGGGTGGGTGGGGGGTTGGGGTGGCCCCGCCGCAGCTCCGTCCCCTCCCCGTCTTGAGCTATACACCGTGCCGCCTTCTAACCCCTCCTACCCTCATGATGGTCATTTCTAGTCTGCACCTGTTTTGTTTCCTCCATCCGGGTTTCCTCCAACCCACCCCTGCTGTCAACATCATCTCATCCCACCCATGCAATCCCAACTCTTCTCCGCCCCCCCTCCTCCCCCCCCTCCTCCAGGTCCCCCGCGGCTCCTCGCTGCTCATCATGGGGCCCAGCGGTGCCGGCAAGACCAGTCTGCTGCGGGCGGTGGCGGGGCTGTGGAGCGAGGGCGGGGGGCGAGTGGCGGTGGGGGCGGGGCGGGCGCAGGTGGTGTTCTTGCCGCAGCGGCCCTACATGGTGCTGGGCTCGCTGAGGGAGCAGGCGCTGTATCCCAGGTGGGGAGGGGGTGGGGGGGGGGGGTGGAAATTTACAGATAAGTGCAACAACGCAGTGCGAATCCCGAATCCCGACTCATGCAGTGAGCGCATTCGGAGGGGGGCGTTAGGAACTGGCAGCCGTGCATCTTTACTGATCCGGGGTGTGGTGGATAAAAGGTGTGCGTGGGGTGTGTCGGTGTGTTGAGGATACCGCTCTGGAGTTCAGAGTGTTGGGAACCCGTAGTTGTAGCTGGAAAATGGGAGGGATGGTGTGTCTGTGGCTGAAGGCTGGCGAAACAACGCTTGGTCCTCTTTAAGTGCATACTCAGCACCGCCCGGGCTCCCTCCTTCCCGCTTCCTCCCCACTCATTCCTTCCCCTCCTCAAAGGCGCTATGGTGAGGCCTGCAACGGCGACACCACTCCCGCTGACAGCAACGGCAGCAGCAGTGCCCCAACCAGCGGCACCACCACTACCGCCGCCACCAGCAACAGCAGCGGCGACGGAAATGGTGCTAGCAGCATCAGCAGCAACGGCGACAGCAACCCCGTTGCTACGCCTGCTGCCTCCTCCTCCTCCTCCTCCCGCCCGCTGCCCAGTGACGAGGAGGTCCTGCGGGTGCTGCGGCTGGTGCAGCTGGGACACCTGCTGGCCAGATACGGTGAGATGAGATCAGCGGGGTGGGTCAAAGACTGGCCCAGACCATAGTAAACCACAGGTTAGGGCAAGGCAATGGGGATAGGAGGGGGGTCAAAGACCATATCATAACATAGGAAGCCACATGTTAGGGCCAAGCAAATGGGGGGTGGGGTTGCGGGAGGCGGAGGGGTGCGGGAGGGGAGTGGGAGGGGGCCGCTGTTCCCTCCTGCTCCGATGGTTCCCCCAACGTGCACGCGCATCCGCCGCTTATATATATATATATATATACGTAGGGGCGCGCTACTTGCCCGCGGTATCCATCCATGCACGATGAGTCGATGAACCACTCCCCTCCCTTCCCCGCCACGCGCCTGCCCGCACCTGCTACCGGTCCTGCTCCCCCTCCCCTGCTCACCACACATTGGAATCCTTTTTTCCCTTACCCTTCTACCTCCCCCTTCCGTAACATCCCCCCCCTTCCCCCCTCATCCTGCAGCCCACAAGCCGCCCGCTGCAGCGCCTCCCTCCACCAGCAGCGGTACTGACACCAACAGCAGCAACAGCAACAGCACCGGCAACAGCAATGCACCTGACCACCACCACCACCCCGACCACAACAGCTCCCTCTCCGCCCTAGACGCGGTAGCGGACTGGGCCTCCACGCTGTCGCTGGGGGAGCAGCAGCGGCTGGGCTGGGCGAGGCTGCTGCTGGCGCGCCCGCAGCTGGCGTTGCTTGATGAGGCAACCTCGGCGCTAGATCAGGACACGGAGGCAAAGCTGTACAGGGTAGGAGAAGGGGAGGTGAAGGGAGTTCGGAGGTTACAGATGGGGGCGATGTAGGGGTGAAGGGGGATTCCTCAGTCAGCTTACCAAGGCTAGAGTTGCTCCACTGCCCCCCCTTCCGCTGCTGCTGCATTCCCATCCCATGTTCCCAGCCCGGCACCTCTTCTCCCTCCTCTCCCTCCGGCCCCGCCCCTCCTCTCCCCCCCCTCAGGCCCTGCAGCAGTCCGGTATCACCTACGTCAGTGTGGGCCACCGCTCCAGCCTGCGTGAGTATCACACCACACTGCTGCTGCTGAGGAACGAGGGGGGCAGCAGCAGCGGGGGGGAGGGCAGCAGCGGAGCGACATGGGAGGTACGGCAGCTGGCAGCAGGGGATGGAGCGGCGGCCTCGTCGGCTGCTGCGGCTGCGGCTGCCGCTGGGGGTGTGGGGCAACAGCGATGAGCATGCGGGGAAGCGGGGCAGAGGGGTGGAGGCTCTGAGGACGTGAGGAGATGATATGGAGAAGGTGAGGGGAGCTGGAATTGTTAATTGAACATCCACAACTTAGCGGTAGCGCTTATTCACAAGTGCTTCAGGAGACAGCGTTTGGGTATGCAGGGAAGAGAGCAGTTCAGGGCGGGTTTGAGAGGCGAACGGGAGTGAGCGCAGGCACGTATTAGGGACGGAGAGCGGTGTGACGACCCGCGGGTCAGTATATTCGTGAGTTGCTTTGTATATTACTTTGGTGCGAGAGATGTGTACATGCATTTTACGGACAAGACGAAACAGAAATGGAGACTCCGTAGTTAACGAGGGAGAGACTACCGGTGGGTGCTGGCAACAGGGAAGCAGCGGAGGCCCCTGCAGGATGGTACGGCAGGTGAATTGTACGGTGAAGAGAAAGTACGATATATATGATGCATGGCGGGTGACCTTTCATCACTATTGAAATGCTGTCCCTGGGCATCTCACATATAAGGAGCGTGTACTGTATTACACCACGACGCGAACGCCTTTAAGGTTGAGCTTGCGCGGCTTCTTGCAACCGTTTTTAGCGTAGTAGCAGGGTTGACACGAGGTGAGAGGTGCAGGCATGGGGAGTGTGCCCGCTGCAGGTGTGACTCTTGCTGTTGAAGTGTAAACCGCGTCGGATTCTGTCAAGGAACTCAACCTGTAACACATATTCGTGCGTCATTGCAATGATCACCGGCGTTCGAGGGGGTCACGTGGCATGTGTACGTGTACTCCCATGCTTGCTACGATTTTGGCATGTGTCTTGGAACACCCTTATTTACGGTATTACGGGCTGGGACATGCGGCCACCCTGCATCTCTTTATGTAGGTCTCCAGGAACCCGCCGGGTCTAACACAGCCGCCCGCCGCAGCCAACACAGGCTGCATACAGCAACATGCGGCACACGGGTTCAAACACAGAGGCACGGACAATACAAAGTACAATGGAGGGCGATCGCGAGTAGGATATGGCCGCAACATGACGGACATCTTCATTGCTCTAACGACACGATATGGCAGGGAGAGATAAAGCGTGTGCACCTGCACAACAACAACAAAAGGGTTCGTTTGGTTTCGTTCCAGATCCATAGAAATCATACAACCGTCCATCCGAATACCCATCATAACAGCAATCGTACTTCTTCGTCAGTTTGCATGACACACCTCCCAAGTTCGACCGCCCTCCGCCCCGTCCGGGCCCCCCAAAGCGCCCTCGCTTAAATCTCACGCCATGCACTTAACGACGTTCATTTCGGCTTCACGAGCAGCGGCAACCCTAGCAGCATCGGTGCCGCAAGACCTGCCTCTTCCATGTACTCACCTCGAATCTCCAACCCACCAATCGCACCCGCCACAACACCACCAAGCAGCAATACAAACCAAAGCGCGTGCGTCTAATAAAATCTACAATGTTGCATGACGATAATGGGTACGAGTCAAACGTGGCAGGAAGCTGTACGGGGCACACCTTTACCCCGGTGCAAGGCACCCCTCAGATGACCAAACGTAGGCGACGGTGATGACTTTTGAAAAGGGAAGAGGTCAGGGGAGGCTGAAGACCAGAGGAGCCACGCCACGCCGCGTGTGCACCCGCCACAAGCAGTGCTTGTGAAGTGCCGTTCGCGGGGCCATTCCGCGCCTTGCTCAGCTGCAATGCGTCGGGGTAAGACAAGTTTTCTATCAAACCTCACTGTCACACCTCACACAGTTCCCGTCATGAGGGCCCACGTCATGAGGGCCCACGTCAGCAGCGTCATGTGAGTCGGGAATCGGGGGTTGGGTAAAATGGGATCCGGATACAGTTAACGTCCACACACATCACAGTAACAGTGTAAAGCGTTGCTAGCACACGGCATGGGTATGGAAAACCGGCTCCCATACAAGAAGCACAACACACACGCGGGATATGACACGACGGGACGCCTCCATGCCACTATGTAAGCACTATGAGGAGGAACAGCGCACACGGGTTTTCTCCAAAAGGGCACATTACACAAACACACAAAAAGCGTGGCAAAAGTGTAACAACAACCATGGAACACCACCACCACTAACAGCATCAACAGCACCATCCAAAGCACAAACGGCCCTCTTAGGGGGTTCAAATTGAAGACTCGCCAGGATTAGAGGACCCGCTCAGCTCCACCTTCCAACAGCAGTAGCCCCCTCCCCCAGCCACCACCACCTCCTCCTCCTCCTCCCCCCCCAGGCTGCATGTCTCCATGCTGCCCGGCTGACCTGGCAGCACCGTACCGCTAGTCGTACTCCTCCTCCTCCTGCGCCTCCCTGTCCCGCTCCCGCTCCCTCTCCCGCTGCTGCTTCAACACCTCCAACCGCGCCGACCGCTCGCCGCCGTACCGCTCCCTGTTCCCCACGCCACCGCCTGATCCCGTTCCTCCTCCCGACCCCAGCCGTCCGTTGCCGCCTCCCGCAGCTGCTCCTCCGCTCGGCATGCTGTGCCTCGATCCGCCCACTCCACCGCCGCCACCTCCACCGCTGCCATGCAGCCCGCCGTTTGAGATGCCTGCCATGGTGGCTGCGGCAGCAGCAGCTGCAGCTGCCGCCGCCGCGGCGGCGCTCCCTGACGCCATCCGGGGCGGCCTGCGGTCCACCTCTAGGTCGCTGCACGCCGCATTGCCCGGGTGCTCCTCCGAGCTGCTCTTGTCGGAGTAGCGGTGGCGCTTGGCGGGCTGGTCGTCGTCGCTGTCGGGGTGCAGCCGCCCGCGCCCTCCGCCGTACATGCCGTAGCCGTTGCGCTCCTTGCGGTCCGTGATCTGTGGTAAGGAGCAGCGGAGAAGGGTTCCGGGAAGGGTGGCGAGAGGGTGAACAGCAGATGACAAAGGGGAAGAGGGGGGAAGAACAGATGACGAAGTTTGGCTGGATCAATGTATATAGGGCAGGTAAGGTTGAGCTGGACTGGGTTAATTGGAGAGGCTTGTAACATGGGGAAAACAGGGGGCGAACAGGGCGTCAGGTTTCCGGTTGCAGGAACGAAGTCGGACATGGGTGTAATGCTACCCAGTCGAACCCACCTCCGTGCGCATGAACCGCAGCTCGTCGCGCAAACGCTCATTCTCCTCTTTTAGCCGCTTATTCTCATCCTCCAGCGACTGCATCCGTCGTTCCATATTGTTGAGCTGGTTCTCCATATCTCGCCGCTCATCCTCGAGAAGGTTTCGCTGCAAAGCAAAACAAATAAATTGTAGGTATGCTATAATGAGTATATTTGTCTTCTTAATATCATGAGGATATTTCCTGAGTAGATGCTGCATTTCGATAATCCGCGCAGCATGCCATTTCGGCAACGTCAACGGAGCCAGCAACCCCGCGTACCTCCTCCTCCAGCCTTGACAAATGCTCTTGTTTCCTTCGCCGGGATCGTCGAGCCGACTCTCGGTTGCTTAACATTCTGCGAGAACGCAAAGGTTACGGATTCGACATGCAGTTGCGGAACCCACGTGACACGGCAACGATTTACCTTCGGGCGCGCCGTGAATCCACCTTGTCCATATCCTTGTCCGAACTGACGCCACCATTATTGGAGGTACTGGTCAGGCGTGCACTGAGCGAGCCCAGCTGCCCAAGCTGCAGTGCAGCCGCAGCAGCTGCTGCTGGCGTGAGCGCTGTTGATAGCGGGTTGGCTGGGGGTGGGAACCCTGGCACGCCCTGGAGGGCTGCGGCTCCCACTGCGGAGAGCGAAGCCAGGTCCGATAGCGCTGGGATTCCAGCCAGGGGATACCCCGTGGGTAGCGGGGGAGCAGCCGGCAGGGCCACAGGCGGGGGCAGGGGTGGAACGACAGTGGCCGCTTTCAGCACCTCAGCTGCTTCTGACAGGCGGAAGGCAGGTGCGGTTGCTGCTGGTGGTGGAGGCTCGGTCTTGACCGGGGGAGGAGCGCTCAGTGCTGGTGCTGAGGGTGGTGGTGGTGGTGGGAATTGCACCAGTTGCCGGAGTAGCTCCAATGACGGAACGCGCGGAATGCCGCCAACAGCAGCAGCTGCTGACGTAACTACATCTGATAATACCGCAGCTGGCAGAGCACTGGAAGCCGAAGGCTGAGACGCTGCTGCACCTTGCTGCGCAGAGCTTTCGGCAACTGCTGCCGCCAAGTTGGTGGTCGAAGGAATACGCTTCAGAAATTCTTGAAACGCCGCTTCTGAGTCCGTGCGTCCCATACCAGCCTGGCCCAGACGCCAGAACCCGCCCAAGAGGTCATCAACACTTGTTTGCCGCTCCATACAGTTTTCAGGTTAATAGCAGAACCCTTCAGGGCCTAGATAAATATCTTGTTCTCTTTTGCAATTATCTTGCTAAGTGAATACCAAACTGAACAAGAAGCCACGTCAATGTCGACGTGTCAATGTGTACGAGCTCCACCGTGTACTTTATGCAGGCCCCGAAAAGAGCTGAGGTCACGGCCTTGTTGGCTTTGGCTTTTGAGGTGAACTCAGGGGATACAGACGACCTCTTCCTCTTTGGTCAGCACCCCTTGCAGTTCTTGGTAGTCGGGCAACCGCGCGTTCGCCGTAACAAATTTCCCCAACCCTAGGGCTGAATGATACGAGCATTATAAAACACGGTGTAATTTAACTAAGCGTGAAGTCCCTGGCTTGTGTGGTGTCCATCTGTCCTGCTTAGCGGTTCTTTGTCAATTGCATACTATCCTTACTTGTCGACTTATGTCGATAGCACCCTGGACACTTGGGGCAAGGGCGAAAACCCAGGGCACGTGGAGTTTTATGAAAGCTATGGTATGGGGCAAGGGCAAATCACGGGCGGGGTTTGGGAAATTTAGGTGGCTTGCCTGCACAAGAAACTGAAAGGACGTTCGTGGGACGCGTAGCGATCCTTATGTCCGCAGCGGTTGTCCCTGAAGCCTTTTCTGCTGCCTCTGGCAGAACCCTCCTCTGCCATGTTCCATGCATAACACTGCTGCTCTAGTAACACTGCGCCCCGTTTGAGGGGGCCCAGTGCACGCAGCCATAGGTGTGCGCCGCCAGTTGGGGATGCACGTCCGGCTCCAAGGGGGCAAGGGGCCGCAATAGAGCTGTTGGTGAGCAAGGGTACGTAACGGGAAGCTGGGGGAATGCTGGCCAGATGCGCGGCTGACAAAAGGGATTACAGGTCATTGGAGGGTCGATAGTGCATGTTATTAACGGATTGCGTTGTGCTCTGTGTGCAGAAAGGACCCACGGTTCAGGGAGTGTGTAGTTAGTGTGTTAGTCGCCAGGTAGGAGGAGGAGTTAGGGTGGGGGGTATGGTGCAGGATTCTGCTCTTAATCAACTGCATGGGACTGCTTGCTGTCAGAGCTCCCACCGTGCATGCAAGCGAGGCCTTCTTGTGGAGAGATTCTACAACCTTCAGGCAAGGAACCCAAGCCTAGCAGCTCGTATACCCGGCTGCATGCTGCCACCTGGCCCATGCAAAAATGCTCCGGGCGAGCCTGTCCCAGATCAATAGATGCCAGATTTGCACCTGCCCAGGAACAAATTCTTGGCAAGCACTGTTTGAATGCCGGGTCCTTGACCCAAGAGCACCCGGCATCCAGTCCAACCATACCCGACCTGGATGATTTGGGGCTAGGTGCTGCAGCCCCCAAGCGTGGCCTGCAGACCTACACTACTCTAGACGACCCAACTCCATCGGACACAAGCATGCAACAAGTCCGAGAGGCCGCAGTGTGCCACCACAACATCTGCCACCACAACAGAATGCATGGACCTTGCATATCTGGCTCCCGTCCAATGCTGAAGAGTGCTAGAAGCACGCAGCTAGGAAGGAATAATCATTGCCGCAAGCTATCCTGCCCATCTACCACTGCGGTTGGCTGTGGTTGTTGGTGGTATTGGATGTGCGCTCGCTCCTAAAAGGCCACTACAACTGCTGCCGCTCTTGTTGTTGCTGTTGCTGATGCAAAGCCTGCTGCTCGTGCAGCAATACCAGCAGTCCCTCCCTGTGTGTCACATCCACGATCCTGCTTGCCTTGCATACTGCCTCCTCCCAGTCCACGGGGCATCCCAGCTCCAGCAGCAAGCGCACAACCTCCAGGGGGCCAAATAGGTAGAAATCGGTGTTGAAGATCTGATCCGATCCCCAGGGGCAGCCCAGCCGCCCCAGGCAGCGCAGTGTGGCAAGGTCACCATTGCGGGCAGCATTCCTGTAGGCGCTGCCATCCTCCTGCGGCAGTCCAGGTCAGCAACACAGCATGCTTTACCGAGGCATGTGGCATGAGCGGTTAGCAGGGAAAACGTCAGGTCAACTCGCCGTAAATGGGATACCAGGCTGTTTAGAGAGGCCTTGTAGCACTTCTCCGACCCCTCATGCAGCTTGCCTACTGCAGCAAGCACCCCTGTTGACCACGCTTACCCCCCAGGGACAGCCCTGCTCCACCAGCCACTCAATCATCTCCTCGCTGCCAGCTTCCGCAGCGCAGCTGAGGTTGCTTTGATCTCGGATGCCAGGGCAGCGATGTTGCCGCAGCCACCTCAGCAGCTCCAAGTTGCCCGACGTGGCTGCATTGGAGAACATGCCCCTTCCCAAGCGCACTCCTGCCCTCTCCGCCAGCCAGGAAACGAGCTCAAGGTGCCCGCCGCGAGCAGCAGCATGTAACCCAATATCAGGGCAGGTGTCGAGCCATTGCACGGTGGCCAGGTGGCCGTTCGCAGATGCACGTGCCTTAGCAGTTATTGGATAGGTTACGAGCTGCTCATCCTCCCTGCGCAGGTATTCCAGGACGGCGATGTTGCCCCGAGCTGCCGCTGACTCTACAGTCTCCCTGAGCAGCGGATAGCCCTGCTGCCGCAGCCACCTCAGGCGGCTGAGTGCATCTGAGCAGGCAGCTGCTTCAGCACATGCAGAGGAGCGCTTGGTGAATCCCCGCTCCTCCAGCCAAAGCACCTTGTCCTGCCAGTCGGGGGTGGGGCTGCTGGCAGCGGCTGCGAGGATCTGCCATTTAACCATCTCCATCAATTGTTCGCCCCGCCAGTCCTCGTACAAGCGCTGCAGTGTTGCCAGGTCACAGCCCTTTGCGGCAGCCTTCAGCAGGTCCGCACTGCACACTTCATCAACTCCCTCCGGTTGATGCAGCAGCAGCCACTCCATGAGGCCCACGTGGCCCCCTTGTGCCGCAGCGTATACAGCTTCTTGGCTCCAGAGGCAGCCGGCAGCCAGCAGCCACTCGCAAGCCGGCTGCTGGCCCGCTCCTGCAGCTGCGGCCAAGGCTTCACGGCGCATGTGTACCCAGGGGCATCCCTGCTGCCGCAGCCACTGACACGCCTCCAGCTGCCCAGCAGCTGCTGCTGCCCCAAGGACATCAGCTGTCAGGGCGCATCCCGCGTATGTTGCTGCCACCTGAAGGTTGGGGAGGCTGCCGGAGGATGCTGTCAGGCACAGCAGCTGCCGGCGTTGCTTCAGCGTCAGGCCTCGCATGACGCCGGGACTGCCCCAGCGCTGCGCGAAGTCGTGAGGAGGAGTAGGCTGCGACAGCCGCACAGTGCAATATTGAAGGCCGCGGAAGTGCGCAGCAGTAGCTTTATTTACAAGACGGCCTGTGAGCGCGATCTCGTTGGCTGGCAAGAAGCGCACGATGGAGATCAAAAGCTCTTGCGGCATGTCGCGCCAGGGTTTCGGGTCAAGCTGCTCTGGATAATCGTTTTGGACAGCCATCTTAATGTTAAACTGAGATACGTTTAAGGTGATAAGCTGACTCTGACGTGTCAAACGCACGAAGCGGAAGGCACGAGGAGCTGAGCAGCTGGTTCTTTGGCGCTTTAACTAATCCTCGCGCGCGGGCCACTCACTGACATTGCCAAATTATCCTTGTTTAGAGTTGAAATATATGAACGCGGCTTGGAGCCAGGTCCAAGGACTCGCAAGGCAAGTGTACGGCAGCCTTACCTAAGCCTGTTCCTGAAGTCGTGTTGGATCATCCCTCTTACCCAAACCAGAGAATATTTATTTACCTGTTATACTCGCATTTGCTTACCCAAACCAGAGAACAATTTAGAAACCAAACGTACCGGGGCGGGAATGTCCCCTCATGCCCAATAGGCTCTTACCAATACTAAGCCCCACAGGTATCTGCCTTATAGCTGCCTGTCAATTTGACGACGCCTATTTTATCTTTCTACCTCACGGACGACTGGTGTAGCTTGTTCTGCGGCCACTTGTTCCCCCTTTCTTTCCAACAGCCCTTGCCAGCTCCAAGCTCCCCACAACGCCCATCTCGTCAACGCAAAGCCGTCACCACCCTGGAGCGCTAGGCACCGAGCACACCGCCACACAAGCAAGCATCCGACAGGCATTGATACGTCAGACAGGTGCGCGGAATGAACCTTGGCAACACATCCGACAGGAACACAAGTAAGACGGTATTCGCAAACAGTATGGCACACTGTGGTGCATGCAGGCAGCACATATGGCATCCCTATTAGCCCAGTCCCAACCAAGTCACCGGCCAAGTGTCATGTGTGCAATGCGTCAAGTACAAGCCACTAAGTCCAAGAGACCACATTGCGGCACCACAACAGATTGCATGGGTCTTGCATGCCTGGCTCCGTCCAATGCTTAGTCAGGAATTAATAGTCATTGCCACAAGCTATCCTTCCCATCTACCACTGTGCGGGGCTGTGGTTGTTGGCGGTATTGGATGTGCGCTCGTTCCTGAAGGCCACTACAACTGTTGCTGCTCTTGTTGTTGCTGCTGCTGATGCAAAGCCTGCCGCTCGTGCAGCAATACCAGCAACCCTTCCCTGAGTGTCACATCCACGATCCTGCTTGCCTTGCATACTGCCTCCTCCCAGTCCACGGGGCATCCCAGCTCCAGCAGCAAGCGCAACGCCTCCAGGGTTGATTGCTCACAGATACAGTTGGCGCAAGGATCCCCAGGGGCAGCCCAGCCGCTCCAGGCAGCGCAGTGTGGCCAGGTCGCCCTTCAAGGTACGATAGGCCTTGCCATCTTTCTGTAAGTACAAGGAAAGCATGTTGGGTCGGGTGCCATGAGGCGATGAACAGGGAACAGGCAGGGCTGGTTTGTCTTGAAGCTGTAGGGTACTGGGCCGCTCACGAAGGGTCTGAACCCATAGCAGCTTGGCAACTGCAGTAGCCGCTGCTGCTGCCTGCGTCGCACTTACCTCCCAGGGGCAGCCCTGCTCCACCAGCCACTCTAGAGCCTCTCCACAGCCCGACTCTGCAGCGCAGCTGAGGACGTGATCGTCCCAGGGGCAGCCGCGTTGCCGCAGCCACCTCAGCAGCTCCAGGTTGCCCGACAATGCTGCATAGGAAAACATTTCTGCTGTCAGGTTCGCCCCCGCCTCCTCCACCAGCCAGGAAACGAGCTCCAGGTGCCCGCCTCCAGCAGCAGGGTTGGGTGCAGCCTCAAGGCTGATGTGGAAGTGGGTGTGGAGCCACTGCAGGCAGGTTAGGTGCCCGCTCCTTGCCGTAGCAATTACAATAAACGGATGCATCAGAAGCTCCTTATCCTCCTTGTGCAGGTAATCCAGGGCGGCGATGTCACCCCTTTTTGCTGCATTCATTGACGCGGTCAAGTCCACTGGGTAGCCCTGCTGCCGCAGCCACCTCAGGCGGCTGAGTGCATCTGAACAGGTAGCAGCTTCAGCACATGCATGGTAGACCTTGGGGCAGCCCCGCTCCTTCAGCCACAGCACCTTGTCCTGCCAGTCGGGAGTGGGGCTGCTGGCAGCGGCTGCCAGGACCTGCCACTTATCCAGCTCCACCAATTGTTCAATCCGCCAGCCCATGTACAAGCGCTGCAGTGTCGCCAAGTCGCAGCCCTTCGCGGCAGCCTTGAGCAGCTCTGAGCTGTACACTAGACCAAATCCCTCCGGTTTCCGCGCCAGCAGCCACTTCATGAGGTCCGCATGGCCCCCTTGTGCCGCAGCGTACACAGCTTCCCCGCTCCAGGGGCAGCCGCGTTCCAGCAGCCACTCGCAAGCCGCCCGCTGCCCCGCCCCTGCAGCTGCAGCCAGAGCGTCACCCCAGGGGCAGCCATGCTGCCGCAGCCACCGACACGCCTCCAGTTGCCCAGCAGCTGCCGCTGCCTCAAGCTGTTTGGCTGTCAGGACGCATCCCGCGTATTTTGCTGCCACCTGAAGGTTGGGGAGGCTGCCGGAGGATGCTGTCAGGCACAGCAGCTGCCGGCGTTGCTTCAGCGTCAGGCCTCGCATGACGCCGGGACTGCCCCAGCGCTGCGCGAAGTCGTGAGGAGGAGTAGGCTGCGACAGCCGCACAGTGCAATACTGTAGGCCGCGGAAGTGTGCAGCAGTAGCTTTATTTACAAGACGGCCTGTGAGCGCGATCTCGTTGGCTGGCAGGAAGCGCACGATGGAGATCAAAAGCTCTTGCGGCATGTCGCGCCTGGATTCTGTGTCAAGCTGATCTGGTAGACACAGATAAGACGTTGCTTCGGCCATTGTAGCGCCAAGCCACTTGTAGCTGTTCAGGGCTGATAGGAGCTAGGTCAAAGGAGCTTAGCGGCTAACTGCTTTGGGGCCTTGCGGCCCTCGTCGTTGCCCTTGCACGGGTGCCGATGCTTGTGATAGAGTTTACCTTCTTAAATTGCAGAAACGAAGGTACCTGGGCGCGGCTCCGGGCTTCATGCTTCATGCACGGCAGCCGCTCAGATGGATTCGCCCTGCAAGAGCATCGGCCGGGCCCGCTTCAGAGCCACTGACCACCCTGGAGTACATCCAACTGGCCCGCCCGCATAGCACCGTTCTACTAAATGTAATTTCATAATCCTTACCTACAACCAACAAGGAACAACCTCCGTGCTTGACGTCCAACAAGAAAACCTGACCGTTAGGGCCGAAATTCCATGGCGCTAGACACTTGCCTTCTTCGCTGAATTAAAGCTGAATTCTTTTAATAAATTAAATGCAGCCATTTTAGTTAAAAGCCAGTCTAGGAAGCGAGGATTACACTGGAGGACCAACCAGTAAGGAGTCCATTTTGGCCAACCGTTAGACGTACATTCCAACAGAGCGTTGACCGCCCTACCCCAGGGGGCACACCAGGCCCGACAGAAAGGCCGCAAACCACCTACATCAAGCACGGTCAGCCGAAATACCAAGTATTGAGAGCCACAGGGTCCATGAATGAACTAAAGGAAACAAGTCCGAAGTGGGATATCCCGCACAGAGGAGGGAGCCGAAGACCAAGTGACCATGAGCCACCAACACCAAACACACATGGCCGCAGACCGAACAAAGGCCACAGGCCCCTAGGCGCGGAGGAAACCAACCAGGGTCACAATCATGGAGAACAAGGGGGAGAACCGGAATCAGGCGGCCCACAAAACACAACACGGCCACCCTGACGGGCAAGGAACGAGTGGTCCGACAGGACCGAGGCCCAGCCCCGGGGAATGACACCTAAACTGGCGAACGAGGATACCCTGGTCCAGAAATCAACAACCACCTCGGCGCCGATATGTCGCAGACGACCAGGGGGAGCAGGTGTACGTGAATCCCAATCATGATACAAGTACTGGCGGCCTCTCTCCAGTGCCGCCAGAGCAGCCAAAGCCACAATATCCCAAACGACGGGCTGAATCCGCAAGACAAGCCACAGCTGGGACCGTGAAAACGCATCACTAGAGGTTCAAGTTCCCGTACGACAGACCGCCGCCTCTAGTAGACCTACCTTACACATGGAGATGCATTAGGTTTGCAGGTCGGGTGCAATGTATGCTGATACGGAATGCAGCTGGTGGTCCCCTACAGTGCGCTACTGCTACACTAGTGCACATTAAGTCGGACTACCTTTGTTCCTCATAATGTCCGCGGCCCCCTCATAATGTCCGTGGCCCCCTGGCTCTTACGGACACACTGTACACGCGGACAGGCTGTAACTATAATCTAACACAGCTATAACCGAAGGCTACCACAACTACTACTGTTGTTGCTGCTGCGATTGTTGCTGCTCGAGAAGCCAGTAAAGGGCATCCTGCCCATACCGTAGCAGTCGTGGGCAGGCCCAGCGTGCTGAGGCGCTCAGCACCGTGTGGGCTAAGCAAGGAGTAACACATTCCTTGAAGCCTGAAGGAGTAACACATTCGCAAGTGCTCAGTCACAAAGAATCCCACCCACCATTACCGGTACCGGTATTGGATGCGGCGGCGGGTCCCCGGACTGTTACCGTACTTTGTTAAATCCCTTGTTACAAAATGCCAATGCCAGCGGCATGATCAGCCCCGTAGTCACCTAGTTGCCGAATCCATTAGCACAACTACCTGGCATACTCAGGCAGCCGTACCGCTGATGCGCTGTGCCGACACCCACCCGCGGCCCAGTTCATTTAACCCACCCCTGCAGCGTTGGCCATCAACCCACACCTGCCCATGGCCCTGGGGGGTTGGCTGGCCTTCACGGCCTTTCCCAGTTCCCAAGTAAGGCAACACAGATAGCGCCCGATGACAACAGCTTTGCACAAGTAAGGCCCCTGCTATGCTGACCGCATATGCATGACACCCCAAACCCCACCTTGCATGCTACCCTCAAGGCTGGCTCTCAACCCATAGCTCATGACCAAAGTCTTTGACTCCCTGCCGGATACTGCAGACTAACAGCGCTGGGTGGGTGGGGAAGACAGATAGAGCCGAATGCCGAGACACGTACGATGATGCAACTATAACCTGCGCGCATGGATTCTGAAGTGACACTCGCAAAACGGCACAACGTAGCCCTTAAGGCAGCGCACAAGGATTGGGGAAGCTATAGCTCCATAATTGAGTGAAGCCAGTCAGCAGCATGTTCTGCACTCCACTCCACCCGCCCATCGCACACCATCCTTGCAAAACGCACGAACAGCACTGAACATACAAATATGCACGCACATGATGACCTGTGAGTGTGACATACAATGTCTGGTCACAACGGGGCACCCGAATGCCCCTGTGCGCACATACCGGTAGCAGCATGAAACATGAAATGCACGTCTTGCAACCGCACTGAAACCTCGCTCCGTCCAGAGCCAGCAACGCAGAAGAATCACTACGTATCACAAAATGCTGCTACTCCGCTTCTAGTATTAACACTCGTATGGTGGGCTTTAGCGCCCACTCGATATTAGAAAGAAGGGGGCGTTGCCGTAGGATTGCGTTCAGTGGCGGCGGGGTGCCCTTCATGACCCACGGGTCAGTGCATGTCCCAAGGCTAAGCAAGGGCAGCGGCAGCACAGCTCAGATCCGACAGCAGATCGGGTGTATGCGACCGTGACTGCGTATTGCCAGTGTTTTACTGGAATATCATTACCGCCCGAGTTGTTCCTACTACCCTCTCTCACACCCAACTCAGGGAAATTACGCATATGATACAGCCATGCCATGTTCCCCATCGATACTGCACCACAGCCTCTCCGTGGGGCGACCAACCCTCCGCCCTCATCTTATCCCCCTTGCCTCCGTATCTCACGGATGATTCGTGATGCACCTTGCTTAGCGCCCGCCTCTGTTCGCCTTCATTCCCCACAGCCCACCTACCTAAATTGCATGCTCCCCTTTACCTATCCCTCAGCTAGTCCATCACAGCTCCATAGGCTCTCCGACTGCAAAGCCGCCTCCCATCTCCTCGTCATACACCACCTGCTCGTGCTCGTCCTGCTGCTGCCGCCCCTGCTGTTGATGCGCCCACTGCTGCAGCTGCACCTGCATCGCCGCCCTTGCCGTACCCAGCGCCGCCGCCGCCACCCGTTGCCACCCCGCCGACACCTCCCACGCTGCCGCCGCCACCTCAGGCCGCAGACAGTCCCTCAGCGCAGCTACCTGGTGACACAGCGTCAGACACAGCCGCAGGTTCACCCGGTTGCACGCCAGCGAGCGGAGGATGCCACACACCTCGGCCTCTGTTGGAGCGGGAGTGGAGGCCGCCATGGTTCCGGCAGCAGCTGAGCTGGCGCCACCCTCACCCATGCCTGCACCAGCAGCAGCAACGGCAGCAGCAGCAGCCGGGGCGGTGGGGTCACTGGCCAGGTCGTTAGCCCTGCTGGATGCCGCAACACCGGAGTCCAGAGCTCTGTCTGGTCGCTGCTGCTGGCTGCCGCTGCTTTCGTGGTCCTGCGGAGCGCTCAAGTCCACTTCCATGCCCGCCACCACAGCCTCTCCTTGGCACAGGTAGGCGGGTGTCTGGGTACCGCAACCGGGGTCTGTTGCTGCAGCTGCGGAGTCGGTAGCGGCAGCAGCAGCAGCAGTAGCGCTCACTAGAGCAGCTGGACCCACAGCTCTGTCACCCTCAGCGGCCGGGGCGGAGTTCCAAGGACCAAGGACAGGGGCAGCCTGCACTACTGGGCTGCCCCCGCAGCCCGCATTTCCAGGTGAGGTCATGGCGGCCTCGGAAGCGGCATGCGGCCGCAGCAGATTAGTATCGGGATTCTCGGCTCCGAAAGCGACGAGGTCTGGGGTGGTGGCGGAGGCGGCGGGAGGTGCGTGTGCGGCTGCGAAGGCTGCGAGCTGGGCGGCCCAGGAGCAGAAGGTGGCAGCGGTGGCGGGGTCCGGCAGGCCTGCAGCGGCGGAGTGAGTTCATGGTTTGGAGCGGTGATAAAAACCATGGTTTGGAGCAGCTGTCCGTGATGAGTTGCCCCCGCTATCCCCAATGTACGTGATAACGAGGTCTTGCAGGTCTTCCTCGCAGCCGCACCAATGGCCGGTACCCAGCCTGCTGCCCGATTAGGTCCGCGCCCCAAACCGCAGCAATCCCTGACACCTGTTCCCTGCAAACCCAACCCACCTGCAACCCATTCCAGCAGCTCCGGATCCCGCTGGAAGGCTGCTCGTACATCGGGCGCAGTGTACGGATCGAAATCCAACAGATCCGGCTCGCCCTCCGCCGCCTCCAGCAGCCCCTCCAGGCCCCACCAGCAGCACTCCTCCTCCTCCTGGCCCGCAGCAGCTGCACCGCCACCTGCTGAGCCCGAACCGCTCCTAGTCACACCAGCGGCCCCGGCGGCGGCGGGAGCAGCAGCAGCAGCGCAGCTAAGTTCCCCGGGTGCCGTCCCGTCCTGCTGGGTGCAGCGGGTCCCTGCTGGGGAGTAGGTGCGGTGCCACCCCCCTCCTATGTCTGCGTCTGTCACCATGCAGTTGTTACCGGTACCCCAAGCACCAGCACCAGCACCGCCTGCATCCGACCAAAGGGCCGCAGCGGCTGCGGGCGCCGCTGATGAGGGGTGTGAGCTGGTGCTGCCGCCACCACTGTCCCCACCCGAGTTGCTGCCGCTGCCGCCTGCTGGGTTAGCCTCAGCATCAGGGGAGCCAGCTCGCAGCAGCCACTGCGCCAGCGCCTCCTCCTCCTCCTCCTCCTCCTCCTGTTCCGCGCCGGCCTTCCCCTGGTGCTCCTGGGGCTGCTGCTGCTGCTGACACGCTTGGTCTTGGGGCCGCTGTTGCCATGACAACTGCTGCTGCTGTTGGTGTTGATGTTGGTGTTGGTGTTGCTTGCTTGTTGGAGGGGTTGCCGAATCAACATGCTGCGGGCCCCACTGCTGCCAAAACGACGTTTGCGCCTGACTGGCGCTGTTGCTGCTGCCACCGTTGCTGCCTCCGTTGGAGCCAGCATCCCATGGCTGTTGCTGCTGTTGCTGTTGTTGTACTTGGCTAGGCGGCCCCGGCTGTGCGGGCTCGTGCCAACCACAGCAGGGCCCCGACCGCTGCTGCTGCGGCTGTTGTTGCTGATGCTGGTGCTGCCTCGCAAGCAGCTGTTGTTGCACGGACGGAGGCGGCAGTGGCGGCAGCGGTGCCAGTCCTGTCGCTGCTCCTGCTCCCGGCTGCTGCTGCTGCTGCTGGCTGCCCAAAGCCGACGCCTGCTGGTAGGAGGTGGGTGCTGCGGGTGTGGTGGAGGTGCAGGGA